CCCTGCCGAATGCTTCTTCGCGCCATGATTTCTACGTGTTGCCATACTTGGCACCGGACAGGTGGAATTCTCCCTCTTTTGCAACAGCTAATGGCCTACTATACGGCCTCCTACTCAAAACGCACAGTCTATGGGCATTGGCCTAGTAAAAATGAAACCAGCAGCAGCAACAACAACAACAACAACAACGACGACGACAACGACGACGACGACGACGACGACGACGACGACAACAACAACAACAACAACAACAACAACAACAAAACCTATAAGAATCTTTCCAATAGAACATACAAAAGTCATGTACATGTAGATACGAATGAACTGTCGCCATGCCAGAAAAGAATGAGAGGCGTATAGATACCCGTTGCATTTGCTGTACATGTACCAGTATAGTACAATAGTCATGTACATCTCTGAAGCAGCAGGGTTCTTACGTCACAGGAAACGTATACCAAAGAACCTTATCGATATATCAGATGGTTTACGAATGACCAATAATCATGACCCTGAGCCTCTGGTCAATACAGTGTCCATGTCATGGGAAGAAGGAGAGCTCCAAACATGTCCCTAATCACCCTATCAGCATCTGCCGGGACACAGTAATTATGTCATGCGGGTTAGATCAATAAACCAGCAGCAGGATGGATCAAACCTAGATCTACCACAAGCCAATGATCCTTTCTCCTCAGAGAGACTGGTGGCCAGTTGTCGCTCCAGCCTCCCAGGGTAGATCTACCCAGGGCACTGCATTGCCCTATCCGGTTTCGTAGCGTCCCTGTGAAGTGCACGAACACGTCCGCAGATTGGAGTCCAGCAGCGCCTGTCGCCGCTGCACACGCGGCAGCAAAGCCGCGAGAGGTGCGTGTAGCCCCACGGGCATTCAAGGCCCGCAGCACGCTGTGTGGAGAGGCTCAGCTGTGCTATCAATGTTGACAAGTATCACTATCTAGCCTGTCATGAGAGCAATTCTAGAAATGGCATGGACACCATGTCGTAAATGTGTCGGTGAAGAAACAAAGGCCGACGACAAGCTGCAAGGAAACGCGCTGCCAGTTTCCAAGTACTCGGCTTTGGATAGGGCCTAAGCAGCTGCAAACATTCGACCTCACCGCCACGCACAGCCAACTACAGTTTAGACAATCCTGTGGCCGAATCATGGAATCATGGAGCATATGTGTTGGGCAATGGCACATACTGTAGGAGGCAGGTAATTGGGCCACGTCGCTCCCGCTCCTGGAATGGGTGCGGAATGTGTCGCAGCCATCAGAAAACATGGACGAGGAAGACAGCTGGACGCAGCGGAGACGCCGCAGAAAAAGGTCTCTACTGGATGATGATCTCAATGCATTGGTACCGAGTCGTCACATTCGACCTTTCTGATCGTTCAGAACGTCAACGCTACGCAAGAATTCACGGCTGCCTATACAAAGCAATGAAATGAGTACACGTGTTGAGGATAAGATGAGGGAGGCATAATAGCCAATGGCAATACCATGCTCATCCGGACAAGTGTGGCCGAGACCGGGCGAAGGGAGCCAGCAGCTGTTTGTCACCAAAAGTCGCCAAACATATCGCGACCACCAAATTGTCTTACGTCAGTCGTTGCAAGACGCTGTTTCAGCGATCAGCAGCATCGACGGACGACCCACGAAATGAGTATGAGCTGCACAGATCCTGCATCCCTACCCCTGGACTTCGATGCAGTGAACGAGTGACTGACTGTCTGTGTCTACCTCCTTGGTCTTGGACATGCATCAAAAGTCAAAAGTCAAAACATTGTCTCGAAGCGCCGACGTCAGACCGCACACCAACGACTGCCAGCTCATGAATACTAGTACACAACATACACAACCACTGAGCGCGGATCGCAGCACGCCGGCGCGCCCTGCACAAGATGGCGATGATGGAGCTACTGTGTTCACGATCAGGTGTTGAATCTACCATGCGTAGATCTAGTGAGAGTCAGTGAGGTGAAGACTCATCATGCGAGTAGCAATCACGAGCAGACCTGTCCGTCAGTAAATATTTGCTGCAGGGAGAGAACAGAGCTTAGGCTGTCAGGCAGCAATCCAGGGGGCATCCACCTTCATGAACAAATTAGTCGTGAAAGAGAAACAGGCAAAAAGAGGAAGCAGTTGTATGCTGGTGACCAGCCGGCCACACACAGAGCTGGGTGAAACCACACGTTCCACAGGCCTCTGAATCATTACAAGGAAGCACTTGTGCCTATTGGCCGAGCGAATCCCACCCGCCGACACTAATCAGACATATCAATGCACGGGGGTTCGGAATGGAGGTGTGATCGTGCAGAACTGTTAGAGCACACGTCAGCACAAACACACAGAAACATACATACGCGCAGAGAGAATGTGTAAGCAAACAACACAAAAAGAAGTTCTCATGTAATCGATATCTTTGATTGACACGGTGAGGCCGTCACGGGGAAACAAAACAGCAGCACCAGCATGCAAAAACACGCACCGTATCATGCAAGCTCGAGTGGGAGGAGGTTCATTTCAAAAATCATCTCCCTGCAAGACCTGATAACCCTTTCAAACTTGCCACCTTGTCAACAACAGGTGCAAGCAGGCATTGGAAGGGAGGGCAGATTCCCAAAAATGTGAAAAACAAACAAACATCATCCGTGTGAGTGGATGAGGGCAAGTCTGGCAGAACAGCAGATCGAGATTCCTTGCAGGCCAGGGACATCAGGGTTCATGATTGAAATTACAAGTTACTAACAGCTCTGAATGATGTCCCGACAACAAGCCGAAAACGGATAGGAGCTCAAGTGTTATAAGTTTCTGAGACAGAGACATGGGGGGGGGGGGGGGAGAGAGAGAGAGAGAGAGAGAGAGAGAGAGAGAGAGAGAGAGAGAGAGAGAGAGACCTGACAATATTGTGCTTGTCAAATGTCATGTAAGAAGAGTCCGAGTCTGAAGCTGTGGAAGTCTGTGAAGAAACACTGGCTTCAGTGCTTAGTGTATTTGGCAATCGGACTCAATGAAAAGAAAGATGTGTGCTGGATAGCCTGGCGTGTTCGGACGGGAGTAAGCGCACAAAGAAGAGATTTTCCTTTCCTTCTTGTTCTCATCCACACCCATGATAGGCACATAGAGCCATGATTGCCACGGAGAGATGACACCGTATGCTGGCACACGTGCAGCGACAGTCAGTCTGACCCGTGAAGGGAGCACGCCGCCACGCTTTGTGCACGAGTCAATAGCAGGTCATTGCGGTCGACTGGCAGCAAGAATGACATGGTAGGGTTCGGGCAGGCAAGGCAGGTGCGAGCACCACCATCACCATCACCACCAACACCGATCATTCACTAGCATATCTAGCATACCCCTTGATAGCCTATACCACACAGGCCTTCTACACCCACTCACACAGATACAAGTCCAACACGACTTGAAGCAAGTGCAAGATGACTGTACGGTGGGCAAGAGATCGACAACACAAAGAATACAGCCATCACCGAAGAACAACACTAGAGTTACCTCAAGGCTGGTGGTTACAAACTAGCGGTGAGGGTTCAAACAGATCAATGCTGGATATTGTCCATGCGGGTCACCTCCTAAAGGAAACAATCTTAGAAACATGCCCAGCAGGAATAAGGTACATGTACCGTCAAAGACCTGGCACTACAATACTTCAAAGTACATAATAATACTTGGGCTACAAGCAACAGTTATAATTATGTTAACATCCTAAAACATCCACAAAACGTGCAAATAAAAACACTTTGAGCTGGAACGGCAGCTCCCGGCCAAAACCCGTGACCTCAAACTCAATGCACCAAGTTGAAGGTGGGGTGGCGAAGAAGAGAAACACCAACTGGTGAAAGAAAAATCGAGAGTAAAATGTTGCAACTTGCTTCATCATTCAAGTCGCACTCAACCCACATGCCGCATAATCCGGCACATCCATGTCCAGTAGTCACCTCTCATCAGCCTCACTACAGTATGGCATATGGCACGGGGACAATATCATGTTACATAGCACCCGAAACAAAGCGCTGTCACCCCTAACCTTCCTGTGCTGCAATAGGACAACAGCACTGGCATGTCCACCTGGTTTTTCTTCACGTCCACACCACACCTTGCCACCTGAATCTAAATAAAGGATACCTTACAAGATGAGCCGTGTGAACTACAACAGCCTCAAGCAGTGCTTCTCCACACATGTTACGTTACTTACGTACATAACAGAGGTTATTCGGTTGAGCCATGATTCGGATGGGTGTATGTACAGAGAGGAGGCATCACAAGCAGTGGTTTGTCAGGCGCAGTACATGTACAAACATACATATGGATGCCATTGCAATATCCCGTTCCATACATGGGGCCTACTGTGGATGCGTACATGAAAATGTACCTTCTCCGGTTCAGTAAACTAGTTACTTGTCGTAGTTCTATGCGCACATATGATACGAGAGCAACAATTTTTACGAGCCAGAGAAAGTATACTTAGTAAGCAATCAACAAGAAAACACGGAGAGTACTGTAAAAGCCATTATTCTAACGAGGCGCATATATAACGATTTCCCAAAATTGACTAGTTTACGTGTACCAAAGGTAACGATTCTCACTCATTCTCAACGCTCAATAGGACAGTATATTTATCGATTTCTGAATAACGATTTCTATTTTAACGACAGATTTCTCCTCGTTAACTCGTTAAAGTTAGCACTTCGTTATATATACGGCTTTTACAGTACATACAATCCGCACGAGAGACGTCAGTCAGCGCACCCAATGGCTGGGTGTCAGAAAACGTGGACTAGTGGAGCAAGGCGGCGAGATAGGATCCACATACCCATCATCGCATCAGGAAGTACTAAGCATTTTGAAAATAGACAATCAACCATGCGTTAGTCTGTAATGCTAGATGACTCTGGTGTATGCAGTCTTGGCCATCATAGTGAGAAAAGCATGACCATATTATGGTCATGCTTTTCTCACTATACACCAGCAGTACGAAAAAAGAGAACAGACATTTCAAACGGGTTTTCTTTCAACATTTACCTTCAAAGGTCTTTAAAAAGACCTCAAAGCCTCGAAAGATACCTAACAAAACAAAAAATTCGCGTCACGTATTTAGCCAATGGCTAAAAATGTGTATGACTGAGTGTGTGAATGAAATCAAAAGAAAACTTGAACCTAACACACATCAAGCGTTCAAAACTAGTTCCAAATCGAACATCGCAAATATAGATCAAAAGGTAGAGGGTGACTAAATAGAAATTCCAACTGATAAAAACATACTTCAGTATATGAAGTCACTCTAGTGCACTCGACTAGAGCGCACGTGAATTTGTTAAATAACACGCCCTAATCGAAAGGATGTGTTTGGCTATTGCCTCGCTTGTTTTTAACAGATGAAAGCGAGGGAAACAAATTGCCGAAAGCTTTGCCAATAGTCCAGCCACACTGGGGTGAACAGTGAGCAATGCACTAGGTCACTGTATATCGCCTATCTAAACTAGACTAAGCTGCCAATGTTAAAGGCCTGCAACGCCTATTGCTACAACAACGTAGGGGTAGTTCATCACTTTGTCGAATTGTGGACGTATACAGTGAAGAGCATGAAGGGTGTACACCCGCTGCGCAGCACCTGATCCTTAAACATACTCCACAACCATGCCTGTAACCACAGTATACTCACAGGTCACCTCAACAGCTTACTCGAGTGATGGATGGTTGCCGGCTTGCCGCTGAGGCAGGTCACCACGGCAGGTTGTGCAAGTCAACATTACCACCGCTGATAATGACGGCCACTCGCTTGAGACCGTGCTCCTTGGCGAGGTCCTTGAAGCGGTCGCTGAGCACTGCAGCCACTGTCGACGCACCGCTGGGTTCAACCACCATCTATATTAAGCGCAGACAAATACGCCACATGGAAAAACACCTCATCAAGTCCTGTTACCGGAGACGATAGTGTCATTAATGGCGAGTAAATCCATTCAGAACCAGGGCACTTGGAGCAAAAAGGGGAAACATTTAGCTATCTCATTGGCTCTGCATCCGAGTCTATTGAGCTATCTCACTACAAATTGGACGCCAAGTAACCGCCTGGGGCACACCCAGAATCACTCAAGAAATTGCTGGGCCGTCCCCACTCAGCCCAGCATAATAAAGCACAGCAGGTCTTGCACAAAAATGCACAGGTAAAATGCTTACACAATACATAATTATGTACAACATGTACACACAAACATTTGGCAAATGACGGGACATGTAACAGGAGCATAGGGGCCATGTAAGTAGTTATGTAACTGTAATCAGTACAGAACACATAGCACCAAAGTAGAGACTCTGTAACAGCAGGGTGCCACACCTGATTCATCATAGTACACAACACTATCAATTGCAGGACAGGGGAATGTCTCATCGACAGCTGCCCCCGCTATGTAACAGTTATCACACAAACCAAGGCAACAGTGCAGTTACTGAGTACTACTAGCAGATTTGCTGCACAGCGGTAGTGCATTGCAGCCCAATCACCATACGTACACTGACTGCGAACTTTGGAAACACTTCTCAAGCAAGTCACACAGCAGGACAGCCCAGAGTACATCGGGTCGGCATTTCATAACGACTCAAGTACTCAAGTAGTTACGTTCATCAAGTGAGTTTTTATGATAGAATTGATACTGGCATTGGATCACATGACAGAGCAACTACATGTATAACAGCCCACAGAACACAGTAAAGTAGAGTAGGGCATCACGACCAAACAATCAGTGACATGCAGTGCAACACGTACACGCAATTGTGCACTCTGTGGCGTCTCCAGAAAGGTCATAAATTAACAGACGAAGGCATCAGACAACAGAACAGTGTTTTAGCTGATTACGGGCACACTACGATCAACAGCATGAACCTGATTGGTTACAATGAACACATGGAAACATCCAAGTAGCTGGTGAGGACTATGGAATGTCCCCTATGGCAGTCCTGGCCATGCAGCTCAACATTTCAACAGCGCACCCCTACTGAGATCACTATAGCACAACCGGTGCCACAGCACAACACATCCCAGTCTCTTTGACCGCAGCCGCACACAAAGGCTGTACGGCAGTGAACTCATTACATGACCGCACTAACCTTCATGTTTTCGAAAGCAAACTTCATTCCAGCAATGATTTCCTCATCCTCCTGCAAGCCAAACGTCAACGCAAAGCAGAGTAATTTGAAATTTGAACAGAACTATACATCGGAACACTCTAGCTAGGAGCAGGAAGAACCTAAAACCTCCCTATGCTTCACTCACTCCAATACCTTCTTCCAGAAGTGGTTCATTGAAGAATTCTGGACCAATTGTTCCTGTAATATTGAATCAGTGGCTGTTAGCTGTGGACGGAGTTGTCCCTTTCGGTAGTTGGTATTCCAGTAATAATTTGCTTCTAGTATGATCCAGACTAAACGAGACATACGGGTAAGATACGGCATCATTGGCCAATGACCACACACACGCAACAGTTTGGCTTAATCTAGCTTTCCACATACCAGAGCAACGGTGGACTTCTCGGCCATATCTCGTATGATTGGCCAGGTCAGACTGCCTGGCTGCTGGATACGCATACCATCAGCAATTGTATTCATCAAGCGTGGCGGGTTGGGCCACAGACGCTCGCCTGAACCAAAGCAAAGCATACACACAGCATGACAGTTCGCAATGTACACACAGACTGATCTGCAGTACAGTGTTTTGCCCCGGAGGCCAAGTGGCCACGCATGTTGATTTGGGGACAAACTTCTTGGACAAGTTGTGTAGAGACGTATAGTAGAGAGAGCTTGGCTCGTGCCTTCTCTGTCGCGAACGCGATCGTAATTTCCATAATTATCACTTAGACATAAATGTGTAGTGCTAGAGCCTACTACAGGTCCTCCCTCATTATAACGAGTCCGGTTACTACATAAACCCCGTTAGTAAATAGAAAGCTGAAATCCCCTGGCAAAACGTGGTCTATACAACTGTTTACAGGTCCGGTTACAACATAATCCGTTAGTACATAAAATCCGTTATAACGACTCTTTGACCAGGTCCCTGGAGTGCCAAACCCTCAGTATAAGATAATATTGACCATGCAGGACCAAGGCCAAAACACGTTGGATAAAGCAGAAAGAGGAAACGTATTATGTCTATGTATTCGTGAATATGGACGATCCTTTTTTTTTTTTTTTTTTTTTTTTTTTTTTTTTTTTTTTTTTTACTAGAGCCACGTAAACCCGTCATGTGTGAGCCATGAATAAGGGGAGTGGTGGCTTTGCATCAAAGGAAGAGTTATGTTGGAGTAACTTGGAGATTTTCAATTATCTTATAACGAGTTGAAGCATCGATAATTTATGTTGTATCGAGGGTAGCCCCGGTAAGTACGAAGTAGTGCCTATTTCACCTTTAGCTGCAAGTCCTGCTACAAGATAAGTCTCGTTATAAGATAACTTTTTCGATGGCCCAGAGATTATCTACTAATGAGGGAGGACCTGTATTTAATTTTGGTTGGATTTTCGCACTTTGAATTTTTTTTGAATAGACCCTTTGCACAGCGTACGCATTATGTCATCATTATCATGACGTCAGGGACCCGTGCTAGGTTGGAAGCAACTTGGCAGTAGGATCGCCAAGCCCTACTCAAGGGCCAGTTTTATTTGCAACCGCGGGAAACAAAGCCCCCATGACGCCGTCTTTTCAGGCCTTCAGGAATGGCCGAAATTCCGAAATTTGTGGAGGACTCTACCTGGCCCTCGTCGTCTCAGTGGCCGGTCAAGGGCAATCAAAGGGTGTTTTCGGCTCCGTAGGGATACCTTCTACCCCAATATGATATTAGTTTGAGGATGAGCTGCGTGAAGCGAAGTTACAGGGCTGATGTTTGTTGGACGTCGTCATTTCCATTTGCATTCATCAATCATTGGGCTCGAAAGAACTGGCTGGTAAGTGAAAACTGTATAACTGGCACTAAAGCCACTTGGTGGGTAGGTTGCCGCAACACTCTAGTTTATCAAACAACAAAAGAAAGCAGTGTGGGTGCTTGCCACACAACGCGGCACGAAATTCCCAGAGGTGTGTTGCCATTACGTGAAAATCACGACGTAATATTTTCGCACATATCAGGGGCGATATGTCTCTGTTTAGTATAGCAATCATGGGCAATGCATGTGTGACGCATCTATTGACAAAGAGCAAATGATGTAAAGTAATGTCGTGCCTTCCATAATGCTTGGACTTGAAAAAAGTAGCATTTAGCCAGTGAGTACTGTGGTACTCTAAAGATTTCCTTGAGTATGGATTTGTATTGCTCAAATAATGGAGGTGAATACGCCAGGAAATCTTTAGATTTTTCATAATATAGCAGTAGGGGATAGTCCGAAAAGATTCTTGGTACACTGCAGTATACATAATTATAATATACCATGCACATCATAAGCCGCGTCATGTTCCTGCTGTTGGAGCTGTTTGTGCTGGTACCACTGTGGTTGTCGTAGCTGAACATGATGATGCTGCTGCTGCTGTTGCTAATGAGGAGATTTGGGTTGATTATGTGACGATAGGTGCTGCAAATGGTTGTTGTCAGGGGTTGGTGCTACAGCTAGTTGTGCTATTACGACGGGTTATTTTGCAGCAACAAATTGTGGGGCTTTGAAGGGTTGTGCAGATTTGCTGCAAGGTTTGTGCTGGTGCTTGAGGTGCGCTCACGCTGCACATACTCCCCCCCCCCCCCCCCCCACTGAGGCCGCAATCAGGATTTGTAACGTAACTGTGACGTTCAGTTCATGTGTGTGCTGTTGCCATTCAACTTACCCGCTTTTGCGCATGGCCACCGGTTTTGGTCGCAATGTGAGCATGCCCTCAGTGGGTTGTACTGCTGCTGCTGCGATTGTTGCTGCTGCTGCCACTGGCATTACCGCTACCGCTGGTGTTGCTTTTTTTAGCATTGTTGCTGCTGTCGCTCCTCCTGGGACCCGTGTTGCTGCTGTGATCGTTATTGAGTCTGTACACTTGCCGTTGCAGTCTTGAATCTGGATCACTTTATCAATGGTCCTTGTGCACGTTGTACAGATGTACGAATTCCCGTAGTTGTTTGTATTCCTGCTTGGGTGTTCGTTGTGTGCCATACATGCACATTTGATCGACCAATTTAGACCAATAATCATGGGAAGACAATCGCTTTTCCAGCTTCATCACTTTGGATAGAGCTCAAGACTAGCTAGATCTTCTTTGGAAAAATGGTTCCGTATGAAATGCCTTCAGGGCACGTTTCATAAAGCAAAGAGCAGTGAACACGTTTTTCGGTACATTCAACACCCAACACAGTCTACAGGATTCTACAAGATTCTATGAAATTTCTTGCATCTGTACAGCATTACTTGTTGAGTACAGAAACCCATGACTAGGCATTACATGAGTTGAAAATGTTGCCGCGGTACATGTATTTGTCGCGATGTCTACGTGTGGTATATCGGTCCTGTGGAAACCACGACAGGTGTCTTCGCAGTTGATTCTTTACCACTGCGTGTTATTTTGTGTGTTATCTACAGATGTCATGGAGAACGTGTGCAGCATACCTTTCTGAACCCCGACAGACATGTGTCGGTCAACCATTGACATTATAGCAATGTATGCATGGCAGCAATGTTTATCAGCTCAGCCGAATGTCTATATGTTTCCACCACGTCGATCAGGAAGGTGTGTACATGCTTGATTCTGCATGTAACTGTGTGGCTTGGCCTCTAGCACTGTATACTATTGTGTATATTCTGCTTCAAACATTCACCGCAGTGACTTCCAGAGGTTAAGACAATTTGATAGCAGTTCGAATGGCATATCTCTCGCTTGCATACGATAAGCCAAACTTGCCAAATCGCCAATTCTATGCTCACGTTGCCATACCACGTCAATCACATACATGTATCATACATTACATTGGGCTCTTTCGATTACACATTCTCGACCCAGGTTTTATAATCCTTGAATGACCAGAATGAACGGATTGCGGCTATGTAAACAAACTACACGTAGAAATCGTAAAGGGGGATCACGTGGGATCCCGTACACCCTCGCCCGCAAGTGTACCTAGCATGGCGTGTACGTCGAGTGTGTAATTTCTGAATTCTAGAAACGACGAGATTTTGTGTAATAGGACGCGCCCATTGTAGATACTTCTTACCTTAGTTGGTGCCATTCTGGAGTTGTTGCTTTTTTGTGTTGCTGTGTGCAGGGTGTCTGGTTCTTGCCTCTGCCGCAGAAGATTCCATCGCTGCTCCAGGATTGAGTTGTAGAGGAACTGCCGCATGTCCGACCCATCTCGGTGAAGCACGATGCCGTGATTGATCAGTGATGGTGATGATGGCCTGTACCTGGTGGTCTGTGCTGGCTGGTGCACGCTACCCTATCCACAAGTTGCCTGTCAGGATGTGCAGCTAGGCATTGTAACATGTGCTGCAATACCAACCTTCTGGTGTCACCTCTATCTGGAAGTTGACTTGCAGATACTACTGTATCGGAGAACAAGTTTGGCGAGTCCCGCCGTGGCTGTTTTGTGATCGCTGTTGACGCATTCCACATGCTAGTCTATCATGTAGCTACTAAGAATTAGCATGGCGCTTTGGCATTTGGGATACGTGGCAGTGCATGTCACCCTCACAGTCGTCAGCACTGCACAGTGGCTTCGCCGGTTGGCCGGCTACTCTTCGCTGCCGGCCATTTCGCTATACCGTTATCAGGCTTTATGCGAGGCCAGCTTATACATACATTATGCTGTTGACGGCTTTCTGGCTTCGCAGTCTTGTACAGTTTGTGGATGTGTAAACTGGTATGGCTCTTCACATATTGCGCGTTCCGGGCCACATTGCTGACATTGCCGCATGTGTTCGTCCCATTTCTATTATCCAAGTAAGTGTTTATTTTCATTCCTTGTTATGGTGGTATCATGGTGGTATAGTTTCCAGCCTCCACCCACTGTTTCTGATTTCGGCTGTGTTGCAGTAGCTCGCCAGTATGATAATCATTATGACTATATGACGCGAATTTCTAATAAAATATGACTGCTGAAAACCTGGCGAGAACAGACTAACTCGATAACTGGCACTAAAAAGAATCCTCTCACCGATACATCTAAGCAATATCTGTGCACACATGCAAAAAGAATTGCAATCGGTTAGTGCCAAACAATGCGGCACGAAATCTGCGGAGGGACGTTTTGAATCCAAGAATATATTTACCATCCAGAAAGCCGACGAGGACGACGCTGTTTCTCATCTGTGGCCGTCGCGAAAAGATCTCAGGGGAGTGTGTATCCGTAGGATTGTGTAGAGCGCAAAGAATCGAAGCGAAGTGGAGTATTCTCGGTGCGGTGGCTGTCTTTGTTTTCGTCGGCATTTTGTTGTCTTGAGAATTTTCCTCCACGAAGGGCTTCAAATTTCCCGCGACTGCTAATAAAAGTGCAACTTTTAGACGGCTTTTTTGAATCTGGCGATCCTACTGTTGGGACATGTCCCATCCTCGATTATAATAAATTATTATTGTTTTCAAATTGATATTAGAGTTTTCTTCCCCTTCTTCTTGCGCTTGTTCCTTGCCAAGCAGTCCGCTTTTTGCATTTCTGTAGTCTGTGTCCATTGTGGTGATGGGTATATGTTCTATTGCCCGCTGTACGAAGCGGACGGGTCGAGATAAAATCAAGAGGTTTTCTCTTCCCAATGTGAACTCGAAAACGAAAAGTGCTGACATCGAACTGGTCAAGGAGAGGCGACGGCTGTGGATTGCAGCGATAGCCAGAGCAGACCTAGTTGGGAAGACATTGGATGATGCTCGTGTTTGCAGCGATCATTTCATTTCCGGCCGCCCTTCTGAACTCTGGGACAAAACAAACCCAGATTGGGTTCCTTCGAAGAATTTGCCTGGTCCTGGCAAAAGGAAGGCGAGTGAGGAGCAGGTAGTGGAGCGTTATGCCCGTCGCAAAGCCAGACAGAGAGTGGAGGAGGCCCATTCAGAGGCTGCAGCTTCATTGGATGTCAATGATCCGCCACATCTGTGTGATGTTGGCGTTGCCTCGTTACAACCACCACCATCACCTGATGCTGGGCCTGCTGCTTTAGATCTGTCACCGCCACATGATGTTGATGATGAGAGTGACGTCCTTGTGGAGGAGAGCATGGATTTATCCAATTTTCCACCTGGCCAGCTGGTTCAAGAGCTAGACTTTTCTGAAGAAGGCAGTAAGGACACCAATGACAAATGCGTGGGGACGTTGTTATCTGGTGATGATATAACATTTGCCTTTCAATCTTTAACGGAAGCCACCTTCTCACCTTCTTCCCTCCATGCTCCAACGGCTAGCTCCAACAACTTGGACGTCCAGGTGCAGCTGGCCAGGCTATCTACAGAGAACAAGGGCTTGCAAGATAGGCTGACCAAGCTGACAGCGGAATACAAGGTGCTTGAAGGCAAATTGGCCAGTCACGCGCCGTTCACGCAAGCCAAGTTGCAAAATGATGGCGATGTGCGGTTCTTTACGGGTTTGCCAACCTTCGAGATGTTACTGGCTGTGTACGAGCATGTGCGTGAGGGAATGCCAGACTCATTTGGCTGTGCCTTGTCCCCGTTTCAAGAGATGGTTGTTGCCCTTGTGAAGTTACGGTTGGACTCATCATTACAAGACCTGGGCCATCGGATGGGTGTATCGGCTGGCACCATTTCCCGCATTCTTACCAAATGGTATACAGCCATGGACCGTCGACTATCACATTTGGTTGTCTGGCCAGGGAGGGAGGAGCTACAAGCGACAACACCAGTTTGTTTCAGGGAGGCGTTTGGCGTGAAAGTGTCATCAATCATCGACTGCTTCGAAGTGTTCATAGACAGGCCTTCAAACTTGTACACCCGTGCCCAGACATGGTCGAACTACAAACAACATAACACAATTAAAGTGCTGATTGGGATCACCCCGCAAGGTGTCATCTCCTTCATCTCCGAGCCGTGGGGCGGGCGCGTCAGTGACAAGTATCTAACCCAGCACTCTCAGTTCTTGTCAAACCTTTTACCTGGAGACATTGTCCTTGCAGACCGTGGCTTTGACATCCAGGAGCTAGTTGCCGTGCAGGGAGCCAAGCTCCACATCCCAGCGTTCACAAGGGGTAAGAAGCAACTGTCGGCCGATGATGTGCATACCACCCGCAGCATCGCAAACGTGCGCATCCACGTCGAACGAGTTATTGGGAATCTCCGCAAGAAATATTCTATTTTGCGAGGAATACTGCCGATTGATTTCCTGCGTAGTCGCTCTGGAGATGACCGACCTTTGATTTGCCGTATCATTCCTGTATGTTGTGCCCTGACCAATCTCTGTGATTCGGTTGTGCCTTTCGAGTGACTACACCCGATGACCCGTTTCGACTTCACTTGACTTGTCCACGGAGACGGTGGAGAGCCCGAACGTGATGGCTGTAGAGTGTGTGTGTGTGTTTTGTTGTTGCTGAAATCACAGTTGTCCTTTTTACAGTTTCCAGATTTGCAAGTTACCTTCATTGTAATGACACTGCCATATCATGATCTTTTTTCGTTTCACTTGATTTGTTCACGGTGACAGCGGAGACACCGAACATGTTGGCTGTGGGCTTTTTCCTCTGTTGCTTGTATCTTCTGATCTTATCCCGCAATCTGAGAGCTGCCATGCAGTCCCGTAGATACAGTTTGAAAAAATTTATAACGATTTACTCGTCTTGTGTCCCACATACATGTACAGTCAACATTGGTTACAACGACATGCCTCCGGGCCTCAAAATCGTGTCCCTATATCCGCTGTATTGTTAGCTTGTGACAATACACCAGGGGCTTCTTAGCATGCAGCAATACCTACTTCTCGCTTGACTTCAATATACAGCAAGCAGAGCATGGGATATATTTTCACTCCCTGCATGGTTGAGACCAGCAAACACAATGCTTTGTGAGGTAGTGGTATTGTATTGGACTGGGGAACAGCCAAGGAAGGATGCCGCTTTTACGGACTAATATTAGCAGATGTGGAGAGATACTTGTACAAAACTACTACTCGTACGTCAGGCAGGCAAAGAAGAAATCAAATTTAGCAAAGAAATTCAGAAAATCAGAAAACATTCGCGTTCATGCTCTCCACATTCTCAGGTTATAAACAAAAACATCCTACTAGACTAACTTGTAATGGTCATGCCCGCAGTACAGTAGTTAGGGGCCAGGCAGCCAAGAGAGTACTGTGTCACTGGGGTATACAACCGGAATCCTTCTTCATAAACACATACACACACCCGTTACTTGCCCATTGCAACAGCAATGATAGCGAAAAGCTGTTCGTTCATTGTGCGTACAGGCACACACGCACGCACACACACACATGTGCACACACACACACACGCGCGCGCGCGCACACACACACACACGCGAGCTATATATGCTAAGGTCATTTCCAGTGGCAAGGGAAACTATAGTGGTTAATGAGTGGCACTACCACCATAAATAACACAAAATGACGAATACGTCAATGACTATAAAAAGGGGTACGCTGTATAACAGCAAGCACACAGCTTTCCATCCTCATCAGTCGTACATATATGATGAAAGTGGTGACCACAGCGGCAAGGACGAAGATCTAAAGAATAGGAGCATCCACTCTTGCAGCAGGCCTTCACCATTGACGGCGAATGAAGTGCCAGACTCGACGCCATCGGATACTGGACTTGGGCGATGCTCGCAGCTGACTGAAGAGAGAGGCTTTGCGTCGTCATTTGGACTGTCGAGGAAGATGTGGCTTCTCTGGCAGGCGACAACATTGGTGGTGGTTGTTGAGGGCCCATGGTAGTGCCAATACTAAGACGAGCACCCTTGGACGTATACCATTTCCCAACGAGCTCTGGCAAGATGCACCCAAAGAAGAACTTCTTCGCCTTTGTAATGAAGTCCTTCCAGGCATCACAGTCCGGGTAGATGCGTTCAACATGTAAATCATTCTTGCCATCCTCACAGAAGAGGCACAAACACAAATCACAGAAATCTGCTCCCGTAACATACAGCTGGGTCTGGATTTGCAAATAATAAGCGTGAGTCCGCTTGAGCTGTAACTTGCTCCCAACCATTTCCAGGCAAAACTTCTTGTCCTGGGAAGCCGAATCCAATGGAGTCCCCCGATGAGTATAAGGGCACTTCACCTCCACCAGACCGGATCCACAACAATCACATTGGACAATGCCATCCGGTGAGGCAGCGATGAATGGCAGCTCCTTGCTGATGACTAAACCAGAATCAGACACCTCGAAATTCATGTGATTGGCAGATATCATAGCAGTGTACCGCTCCCGTGCAGGGCCTTCGTGTTCTTGTCCCCAGCGTGTAGAGGGAGCACCCTTTGGCAGAGGATCGGGGTAGCATATAGCCTGGATGAGGCTCCTGGATGGAGACTGCGCAGATGTGTGACATATATCATACATTCGGGAAGCCGTCACACGGCCGGCTCTTTGTTCAAACCACACTCTGCTGCCAGATTGCATCCTTGTAGCTGTCTCAACAGCTGCCACTTCCCTCTCGCTTATGTCCACATTACTCTGTGCACACACATCAAGAAGCTGCTCATGGCTCATAGCGAGGCATTCCTCTTGATAAAGGCTATTCAGTGGCTTCGGGAGGGTGGGTGAAGTTGATGCTGGTACATAACCTGATAGGAAAGGCTTGATGACGGACAGGACGGCGGGCTTCGTTTTCAGGGACGCAAGGGTCTTATAGAAGCACTGCTTCTCGGCGTCTGAGGGTAGCTTCACACAGAGGCGCTTTGGGCTTGGGGGAGGTGACACATCTCGATCAAGTGCTTCCTGCCTCTGCTGAGGCGACGAGAAATCAATGTCTGCTACCCTGGCATACTCCATTTCCTTCTGAAAGGTTGGGACCTTCCACTGGCATGGCACTCCAGTTACGGTCGCGGCGGGTTCCTTATGCCGATGAACAGCCTCCAGGAAAAACAGAGTAGCAGCAACATGTGTGCACGTTTCTCCCAAGCCTGCCATACAGTTGCAGTGCGCACAGCAGACAACACCATCGGGGTCTGTGATAAGCCAACAGTGTAGTGGTGTTTCGCTGAACCTTTGTGAGTGACGGACCTGTGAGAGACATGGAGCACATGGAACACATGGAATGCACGTTCATCACTCACCAACAATTTGGAATAATTTGTACATATGCATACTGAGAAATATAGCCCTGGACATGTCCGCAAGAAGGGTATAGTAAGTACTACGTCAAGTCACAATCTCATGGCACAGTAAGTGGCGCATCTAGTACATGTGCTGAAATTTGTTTATCAATTATTCCCCTATAAGTTCAAAATTTGAACCACTTTCATACACACATACTAATCAGGAGTAAATAGCCAACTCAGCAGATTCAGTTTTGTCAGTTCTGCCATACTAGTGTTACCGATGAAGAGTGATTATTTATTGTGATGAACAAAACTCTTACCCGTGCTACAGTGACATGTTTCCCGCAGCACTCGAACGACTTCACTTCCTTCACCCAACCTGATACGAACTGGTTATATGCGTCAAGGCCCTTCTTTGCTTTAAACTGCTTTTTGGAGCAGAAACTCGTTTCATGGACCAAGTAGGACATAAGGTCAGACATTTCCACACACGGCTCAACAGGTTTCGCACCACGAGGAATGCCCAGCATTGGGTCGAATCCAGAAAGCAAAGACAATTTCTCTTCATATCGTTTCTTCCCAATGGAATCCAATTTCTCGGCATACACAGATAACTTGGGGGTAACTACTGGCTGCAGTGGGTCAGATGAGACTACAGGCTCCGTGTCCATCATAACAATCAATACAGACCAGTGGTAGAGCACGATGAAAGTGAAAATATGGACGTCAAAGTGGCATTCTCAATTGCCAAACATTCAATCTCCTTCACCATGTTCACGACATGTCCCATTTTGAAGAAACACCGTGCACGTGACAATGGTGAGTCATGGGTATGACGCGTGGCGTACAAAACGCAGCCTTTTTGGCCGCATATGCAAAGGGTCTATTTTGGCCTCATCAGGAAAAAAAACTTTTTCTGACCTTGCCGCGCTCCTTCCATATTCTGAATGGCTATAGGCATGCGCAGTATGGTACGTGCGCAAATTAGGCATGCGCGATCTTGGCCCGTATAAATTAGGCATGCGCGTTCCTAATCAGCCTCTTTTTTCTGATCACCAAGATTGACCTCGTGTTGTCATGGTTCTTGTGTGAATCCAAGTTTGCAGGCAGCTCGCCTTTTAGAGCAAGATGCCATGAGTGGATTGTTTGTAGTGCAACTGGCATGAGTATTATTAGATCAGGGTAGTCGCACGGCGACATTCTGCGACATTCTCCAGCTTCCATTTCTGTTGTACCCGTATTCTAAGAGAGAGAGAGAGAGAGAGAGAGAGAGAGAGAGAGAGAGAGAGAGAGAGAGAGAGAGAGAGAGAGAGAGAGAGAGAGAGAGAGAGAGAGAGAGAGAGAGAGAGAGAGAGAGAGAGAGAGAGAGAGAGAGAGAGAGAGAGAGAGAGAGAGAGAGAGAGAGAGAGAGAGAGAGAGAGAGAGAGAGAGAGAGAGAGAGAGAGAGAGAGAGAGAGAGAGAGAGAGAGAGAGAGAGAGAGAGAGAAAGAGAGAGAGAGAGAGAGAGAGAGAGAGAGAGAAAGAGAGAGAGAGAAAGAGAGAGAGAGAGAGAGAGAGAGAGAGAGAGGTTCTCTTAGGGACGAACAAAAAACATTGACCCGCATGCTGTGATGATAGTTATTGTTACCTACCACTTCTAATGCACTCCTCCAGCATCTTCTCCTTCGGTTCCACAATGAAAACTACATGATACACCACATGAATATGCACACACAGTGTACGCGCACAATCCACAATACACACATGCATGCATGCACAGGCATAGACATGTGATAACTACATAACGTCATAAAGCACTGACTTGTCAGTTTGAGCACTCTGGCAAGGTACGTTCGGACCTGGTTTAAATTTGGCTTCGGAAAATTTATTTTTCATTGCTATCAGGTTCGGCCTCATTTTCTCTGTGCTGCGCTGACGAGTCCACAAAGGACGAAACAGTTCTGTCCGCAGATTGAGTAATGTCATAAAGACTTCGTCTGCACTGTATGGCAGGCCCGACGAAACCGGTCTGGTTGGTCATAATCAGGCCACCACCGGACCACCAACGCATGGTTACTACCGAGGAGGTCATGTGTACCCAGCATCATACACAACACATTATGAGGTCATGTGTACCCAGCATCATACACAACACATTATGAGGTCATGTGTACCCAGCATCATACACAACACATTATGAGGTCATGTGTACCCAGCATCATACACAACACATTATGAGGTCATGTGTACCCAGCATCATACACAATACATTATGAGGTCATGTGTACCCAGCATCATACACAACACATTACGGTATGGCAGGACCAATCAAAACCTGCTTCCGGTGGTTCTGTATGTCACTCTAGATCCACAGCCGTGCTCACAGAAACCCGGGCGGAGTAAGCGCCGTATACCCATGCACAACGCAGTGTTCGCAGGCTTTTGACTATACCCTAGCAGTGCCCAGCACAGAATTGACTCACGATGCCAGGATATCACTGAGCAGCACTGTCTCCACTTACTGGCACACTGCCTAGCACAGTAGCAGTGTAGCAGTGTAGCAGTGTACAGGGAAACTCCCCTAATCCAGACTCCCCAGACCTGGACACTCTAGTCTACCAGTATACCGGGCACCTTTCCGACCCCCTACCTTTTTTTCTTCATTTTTTACTCTTTTTTTACTTCAATAAACACTGCCCCGCCGGGGAAGGGAACAGTGGGAGAACATGAAAAGGACAAAAGAGAACAATGAGAAGGTGGGTGCTACAGGGTAGCCATGTCGGAGTGCCTCAAGTCTCACCAACACGGCTGCCCTGTACCACCCACCTTCCCCTCTCCAGTCACAAAGAATGGCTTTTCAGCCCAAACACCTGAACCAGAGAATATTGATTGGCATAAAGGTTGCTACATGTACTTGCATGCAATCAGGATGCATGTTCCGTGTTCCGGGCAATGCCCGACCCAGCGTGCCCGACCCAGCGTGCCCCGCGGAGGGTGCCCTGAAAAGGGGAGTCCTACAGTACTCAGCACTGCTGCCAATACTCACCCTTTATAGAGGGCTTGATGCTCTTGGCGGCCATGAGAACACCAGATGCTAAGCCTCCACCGCTGATAGCTACAAGGATAGCATCCAGGTCTGGTACTTGATCCAGTAACTCCAGCGATATCGTACCCTGACAAGACAGAGAGCAGCAGCCTACAACCTGTCCACAATGATACGTACGAGTATGTAAGACATTATTATTGCACTGGTGCAGTGTGCACAAATCTGTCTTCGCACCAAGGCCAGCATGGAATCAAATAGGTCACCGCACCACATACCCATGCAAGCCCGGTACACAGCGACAGTTGTAAAGATTCACAGCAAACACTGTGCACAGTAATAATTACCAACTCAGGGATGCAGGCACCAGTTTCTCAGTCGGATTCCTTGTCCACAATTTCCATGCGGATGTGCTTACATAGATTTCTCAATAGATCAATCAAGCTAAACCAGCTCCCAAGTACCCTACCTGCCCGGACATGACATCAGGATAATTGTAGGACGGAATGGCTGTCAGGTTTTCCTGTGCTGCCAGCCGATCACATGTCTCTTGCCTGAGGATGTGTGCATATAAATACACGTACACGAACACGTACACATACATACACACACGTACACAAACACGTACACATACACACACACGCACACATACACGAACACGTACATACAGACACACACACACACACACACACACACACACACACACACACACACACACACACACACACACACACACACACACACACACACACACACACACACACACACACACACACACACACACACACACACACGCATGCATGTACACACACAAGGACGGAGAGATGGTTAATAGAAAAGCAATCCAATAATCCACTACAGGTAAATTCCTGTATATATGAGTACGATAAACAACTCAATACCTTGTCAACACAGTCCATTAGTATTGCCGCAAAGTACCGCGAGAGCACCCCGCCATCTCGTCCTTTCGTGGTCGTATTGTGGAGGTGGTCTGCTGTCTGTAGGTCATACGACATGAACCTTGTACACATATTGCATGTTTTGCAGTCAATCCGCACCTTCCACCGGACACGAGCTCCGCACAAAACCTGCCAAGTGTGACCTTAGTACACTAAGGTTCTCACATCGTACAAACTTCGTTGCACTCTGCCATATGATTTTCCTTTCCCTGGCTGTAAAATCAGGGTGGGTCTTTCTCGCGAGACGGGGCACTCTGGCGGTACTTTACGGTATCTGTGTCAGTACATGAACCTGCATTCCACCTCACCAGCTCAGCCAACAACACACTTACAGAACTTACAGCAGTACATGGAGAAAACGGCATGGTAATCGTTGTGGCAAGCACCATCGCAGTCACAGCAGACACACTTACACAGACGCATCCATTCCTGCCCATGCACACATGATCTCTCTCTCTCTCTCTCTCTCTCTCTCTCTCTCTCTCTCTCTCTCTCTCTCTCTCTCTCTCTCTATCTATCTATCTCTCTCTCTCTCTCTCTCTCTCTCTCTCACACTACTACTACTACTAAAGCATGACTGCCCATTGGGCAATGTCACCCCCGGAGGGGGCCAGAGTTTGGAGGGCACCGTCATTGGCAGGACTTCTGATGCCTCGTCAAATCTTGCTGTCGTCGGAAACGCTTCGGGCAATGCATGCAGATCAGCGGCAGTGATTCCCTATCGGCTGCAGCAAGACGTTTTCCACGGTTGCAGTTATGGCGGTTAAAACCAGCCCGGGACTTGAAGCAGCGATTGCAGCGTTGACAATGCTGAAAGCAGCAACTAGCGAGAGATGCCGTCAATGCCGTATCTGCATGTTCAGAGAGTGCAGGCTGGCAGCGATGAACTGCAAGCCCACCCTTACTACGGAACCATCGGCAGCAACTGACGCACTGTGCTGAACCACGCTGTTGGTGGACGGGAAGTTGGCGCTCAGCCAAACACTTGTGCCGTGCCTTGTCTTGAGGACGAGAGAAAGCCCAGTTGCAAGATGAGCAGAGTACGGATTTCTCTACTGCCCGAGGAGGCTGAAAAACCAGAATCTGCTCTCGCCAAGCTGACCGGTCTTGTGCGCAATCAAACCAGTTTGGAATGGACTTCGTGTCAGTAGCCACAACGTCTCTCCACCTGCGCCTGGGACCGCAGAAGGGGCGCGCAGCCAACAAACGACCAAACAACAGCTGCAATGGGACACGGTCCTCCGACATCCGAGCCACATGACCAAGCCACTCTAAACGACGATGGCGCATCTTAACAGAGAGTGGTACTGGGTCACCCCAGTGACGACGTAACTGCGCAGACGTGATGCGATCGGATTGCTGCTGACTGCGAGGGATGGCTAATATTGTGCGGATGCAGCCATGATGGAAGGCATCCAAACGTCTACTATCAGCTTTCAAGGGCGTCCAACACTCACTGCCGTACAGCAAAATGGACAAGACACAGGCCACGCATAGCTTTCGCTTACTGACTAATGACAGCGAGCGATCTGACAAGACTGGAAGAAGAGCTCCAAAGGCTTTGGAAGCCTCAGCTATGCGGCGACTGACGTCAGTAGAGGAGCGGGCATCCGGTGTCACGACGGACCCCAGATAAATGAAGGATGGAACGTGCTCCACAGTATCACCGTTGACGTTCATATCGGCTCTATCAGGCATGTTGACTTGGCTACCTGCCACGAGAAATTTCGTTTTAGCTGCGTTGACGCAGAGGCCAAAGGAAGAGGCAACCGTGCAGAATGTTTCAAGGCACTTCTCAGCACCAGGGCGGTCTTCAGCGAGCAAGACCGCGTCATCTGCGTACTCAATGTCGTTGATGATTGCGGCAGTAGACTGGCGAGCGGGCTTAGAGAAAAGGTTGCCATTGATGCTAAATTGGATGGGGATGCCAGGTGGATGGTCGCTGTCCTGCATCACTTGTGCCCACCGCTCAAGCACAACACCGAAGTACAGATTAAAAAGTACTGGGGCCATCACACAGCCTTGACGGAGGCCATTGTTGACCGCAAACGACTCGGTAGTGCTGGCACCGACGCGCACAGCTGCCTGCATGCTCTCGTGGAACGATTGGATTAGATTGAGGAGCCCTTCAGGAATGCCTAGCCTCCCCAATGCTAGCCAGAAAGCTTGGTGTGGTACGGAATCATATGCTTTCTTCAGGTCTACGAAGACAAAGAACAGCTTCTGACGGTGCTCGTACGATTTCTCGATGAGCTGGCGAATGGAAAAGATGGCATCAGCGCAGCTGCGACCAGGGCGAAAGCCACACTGAGATTCTGGAAGTTCTTGTTCCGCGACAAGTTGGAGACGGTCCTGAATGAGACGGCCACAAACCTTGCCAGCGACATCTAGGAGGGCAATGCCGCGCCAGTTGTTGCAGTTGGTCAAGTCACCCTTTTTGGGAATCGGGATGAGTTGGGCATCCCGCCAATCCTGGGGAACCGTTCCATTGGTCCATGCAGTGTGAATAACATCAAGCAGAGCCTCAAGCAATGGTGTACCACCAGCTTTAAGCAGTTCAGGTGCAATTCCAGATGAACCAGGAGCCTTGCAATTAGCCAGCTGGCGTATAGCCATAGTGAGGTCCTCTAGCGAGGGAAGTTGGCCGAGTGACTCATCAACTTCACGCTGCTCAATGTGGTCAAAGATGGTAGCATCGAAGGTGCTGCGAATGTTCAATAGACGGGCAAAATGCTGCAGCCAGCATTTCTCTTGCCCCTCCTGGGAGCTACAGATAACTCCGTCACTGACACACACACACACACACACACACACACACACACACGCACGTGCACACACACGTGCACACACACACACACACACACACGCACACACACACACACACACACACACACACACACACATAAACAAACAAACATAAGAAGACATACCGTGCCTGAGCAGTGGCCTCACATAAGACAACCTTGGCACCGTGACTGCGGATACCTTTAACTTTAACACTGGGTGCGTTCTCTGGTACGACAACAGTGCACGGTATCTTGGCACGTGCAGCAGCATAGGACAATGCTTGACCGTGATTACCACTGCTATGTGTGACCTGCATGAGCATAACAACAAGCATGGTGTAAATGATAATAGCCAAAAGGGCAACATCATCAGCAACGGTCACAGCAGCAACACCACCAGCGCCAGCATCAGCAGCAGCAGCAGCACCACCACCAGCAGCAGCAGCAGTAGCAGCAGCACCACCACCAGCAGCAGCAGCAGTAGCAGCAGCAGTAGCAGCAGCACCACCACCAGCACCAGCAGCAGCACCACCACCACCAGCGCCAGCAGCAGCACCACCAATAGTGCTAAGAAGTTTGTTTCTACATGTGCTCTGCAGTATATTGTATGATTGCCAAGCCAGTCCATGACCAAATCAACACACACACATGCATACAAGTCCATGCAATGTGGCTCAGTAGCAGTAAACGGTCATGCATGCAGATTGAGTGTGTACCAGGCCCGCCGGAACCGGTCCGGTTGGTCAGGTTATTACCGGACCAACTGTTCGACCACCAGCACATGTGTCCCACTGTGGACGGCATACGTACCCGCCATATCATCCACAAAGTATGAAAGGCCATGTTACTACCGGACCAATCAAAAACTGCTTCCAGCGGTCCTGTGTACAATGCAATTTCAGCATTAATTATGTACTTTTTACTGCACTGATCAGTGATTGCCCATAGTGTTCACACGGACCAACTTACCACACCTTTGCAGTTCGGATTGGTCTCCTTGAGATGCAGTATCTGGAGAGAGTCCAAACATAGCAACAATAATCATTGAGTCACATAGGGGTGAAAGGGGTGATCCGGGTAACCCGGGTACCCGTCTGTTTAGCTGCTGATCCGTTAGCAAACGAGTACCCGATAGTCGTGTAGGATGGTAGGGTACAGCATTATAAGCTTGCTTGTACAGTTGTACAGTTGGGTGCACATGTAGTTTTGAGTGTGTTTTTCCTCGTTCAATCCTGCTACATATCACAGTAACCATTGTAGCTACGACAATTTTCACTGTTTGCATGTAGGGCAGTGAGTGTGCACGCTCTGCTTGCCGCGGTGTACTGTACTTGCATGACTTCGCACATTCTCCTGGCGTGAAATCCGGAAGACTATAGTAGTAACTGTTGCCCGAAAATCTCTCCCCTATCAGATTGCCTGTAAAAGACATGTTGCGCTTACGATCACAAGCAAATGCAATGTTTTTGGAAAAAGTATGGCGGATAAAGGGTACCCGATAACCCGCCCGTTAAGCCAGATACCCGTTTGTTTCCTTAAAGGGTAACCGTTTCACCCCTAGGACTCAGTCACATATGCAGCACACACAGAGCAAAGCCTCCTCTCCACGGGTACTGCTAGCCAACACTGACCGCATTCAGAGCGCCACGCAACTTGAAGGCACCCGTCAGCTGCGTGTTCTCGGGCTTGAAGAAGACCTCCAGGCCCGTAGACTGGTTCACCGTGTTGTTAGTGGCAATGGCCGTGCGGTGCACCAGGTGCTGGATGCGCTCATGAGCGGCACGCACTGCCGCTAGGTCAATTGCGTACGCCATCGTCCTTACTTCTTGTCGTTGCCACTGCTGCTAGCACTACCGCGGGCGCACAGTGTAATCCTGCACTCGCCGTGCTGTATTCTACCTGTGCAGTGGAAAAGAGAGAAAAAAACCGTGTGAGTACACATGGTGATCATATCCTGACTGACAAGAACTCATATAGGTCAGGGCGATTTACTACATAATACCGTCAAGTACAGTTGATCCCCCCCCCCCCCCCCTCCCACGCCATGTCGCTTCCCAGCTGGGTTTTCGGCAGGGGGCGGGAATTAGATCAAGGCTGTCAAGTGCAGTACGATGTACAACAACGTGGAAGCTCCGACTCGATGTGCTGGATTGTGCACATTTTCATCCTGCAGTACTGGCACATATTGTGTACAGCAGTGCATGGTTCGTTTCAACATCGTATTTCTTTGTATACACCGAAGTCGCTTCACAGGCAGAAAATCGACAGGGGGCGGCAATTAGAGAGGGGGGGAGGGGGGAGGGGGGGAGGGGGGAGGGGGGAGGGGGGGAGGGGGAGGGGGGGGAGGGGGGGAGGGGGGGGGGAGGGGGGGGATCAACGGTACTTTACTGTACAAGTGCATTGCATAGGAATGTGGATGCTGCAAAGGACACCATCACCCGGTAAAGGCCACTACAGGGATAACATTCGTGCTGAAGGCATGAATACCATGTACAGTGGAGGCAAGTGAAGTCTGGGCAAATCAACATCAAGCAGAGCCGTGTCCACAGTACAGCGGCCCAGTATTCGTAGTGGGCTGTCACCGAGAAGCTGTACCGTAAAGTACCGCCAGAGCGCCCCACCATCTCATCCTTTCGTGGTCGTATTGTGGAGGTGGTCTGCTGTCTGTAGGTCATACGACATGAACCTTGTACACATATTGCACGTTTTGCAGTCAATCCGTACCTTCGAGCGGACAGAAGCTCCACACAAAACCCTGCCAAGCGTGATCTTAGTACACTAAGATTCTCACATCGTACAAACTTCGTTGCACTCTGCCATACGATTTTCCTTTCCCTGGCTGTAAAATCAAGGTGGGGCGCTCTCGCGAGACGGGGCGCTCTGGCGGTACTTTACGGTATTCATGAGGTCAAATTTCACTAGACACCACTGGAATAATGCACCAATATACAGACCCAGAGCCAGCTTCTGAGGGACGGTACGGCCCCAGGTCGGCTACAGGACTGATTAATTCCTTATGCCCAATTTAAAAAATTGGGAATATACATCTCTAGCTCTATGCATCATATCTTGTTTGTTTCAGCTACATATTTCTCTACAATGTAGCAACAGATACGACAGCTAGCGCAGTAGACCTCATTGGGCAAGAAGAATAGTTTAGGAGGGAGAGACTCTAGCGAGGAGTGTGTGAGGATAGCTTATTACAAGTACTTCCAGACAATCAATTGCACACTGAGCAGCCTATGCACTCTGGAATAGGCAAAAACTGGTACGGCCATGGCCCCACCAACCATACCAGTGGCGCCTGCCCTGATACATCTTTTGAGGGGAATCCTTGTCGACGCGCCCCCTAACAAGTAAGACATTGCGCATTCGAATGGGTTTTGAACGCACAGTCGGAACTCGCGCTCATTCGGTCCTCTTTTATCCGGTAGTCCGTGTGAGTAGATAATACGTACCACAGAGTACAGTGCAACTTGTATTCGTGGTATGAGGGCTTAAAGATAGGATTTTATTAATTTTCAAAATTGTAACTTGGTATGTTCGAACAATTTCGAATGTTCATGACTACATGTACTACGTGTATTTTCGAAGAACTTATTATGTGAGTAGTAACCCAAAGGTGTGGTGGCTTTTTCACACAAGAAAAATAGTGTCCTGTGCCAGCTGTGAAATACACCTGCAGCTCTAGACTGTATGCCAATACTGTCAGACTGACAATAGACACGAACTTCAATGAAATTGAAATAAACTTACAATTATTTGCACAATAGTTCTCTCTCCGTTTGGTCGTGTATCGACACTGCTGTTCTCGTCAACCGTAAGCTCCAAGAAGTAAAGTTCCTGGCCTGCTAGGTTGTTGACCAATGCAATATCGATGTCTATAATGTACGTATAGACGTCTCCCCTCTTGTTCTTTTTTATCTGGGTTTATATTTAAAAATATTTTTTTGACTTTTGAAAAGAAATTCAAAAATGAGAGCATGGATAATGCATGGTGGCAAGAGAACATGAAAATGTTTTCATGTACTCTTGATGGTGGGTAATCATGTATTCTTGATCATCATGACATGATCATGGAGTTGAAGAATCCATCACCACAGCTGAGTCTGTCTGTACAGTGTACTACTGTAGCCTGCATGGTCACCATTGGGCTTTTCTAGCAGGTGGTGCAAGAGTCCATTATGATACTCTTGCCGTCTTGGTCTTGCCACGGTATCAATACCGGTACTGTACTTGTATATCGACAATTCAAGAGTCCATAACCCCCGGGTCGGTTCTCATGGTTATCACTCTCAGTGATTCCAGTGTGTACATGTATGTGCATTCACGGCGCCAAGAGTACATAACCCCCAGAGTGTGCAACGCCTGATCCAGCTCTGCATAGGGTCTTGGTCGAGCGGAATCGGATCTTTGCGTCATAATACCGTACACATCTGAAGGGAACCCGGGGAGTCGCGGGTACTCTTGGATCAAAAACAATGGTGCCCTGCCTCGAGACCGGCCTTGCGCTGGTGTGGAGGGTACGCATGACATCAGAAGATCCGATTCCGCTCGACCAAGACCCTATGCAGAGCTGGATCGGCGTTGCACACTCTGGGGGGGGGGGGGGGGGTATGTACTCTTGACGGCGCTCTACACACACGACCCGGGAGCATGGAGATATGGGCGAAGAGTGAAAATATACAGGCAAACATTCTTATGCTGCCATTGGCTGGGTCAACTGCGGAACAACACTCACATGAAACAGCACTATACTTTCTGCAAGGACAAAAGAATTAGATCATGTCCACGCTTTTCAAAATGCAAATGTGTAACAGCAGGAAAGAGGCGTAATTACTAACGAAAGAGTTTTCAAGCATGAGCTGAGAGAGGAAGACTGCACAGAGACAAACAAAACAGCAAAACATGTTAGCAATGTGCAGCAAACAGCCGGTATTTTTCTATCTACGTAGGCTTCTGAGATGATGAGATGATAAGGATAGCGCGAGCAATGCAGTGTGCAGTCCCGAGGTTCAGTATTAGAATATATAAAATCTTTGATACTTAAAGAACTGAGAAAAGTCAGTCGTTTTATCAGACCGTTAGGACTCCGTAGTGACAATGTATGTGTGTGAGGGGTAACCGACTTGTACTTGGCTTCAGCTGCACTTGACTGGCAAGCCGTACACAATGGGAGCAGCACCTGTCAGGTATGGCAAGCGGCACTCGTCGCGTGCACTGTTGACGTACTGCACGAGCTGGCGGCGACTGCCGAGCCAGTTGCGCAGCAGCGAGTCGGTGAACCGGTCCAGGTCTCTGTCAGTGACATCCCACAGCATGGCCACGATGGCAGGACTGGAGAGTAAGGAGCAATAGGAGAACAAGACATGACATGGTTCAGTACTACAGATTCAAGATACATTTGCACTGAAGTGCACAGCTGTAACCATCAGTACCATTCACCTCGTGCCGTGTCAAATTAAACTTACTTTGAAGTATTATTATAAAATTAAAGAAGAAAAATTGTCACGGTTCGCGTTACACTCAGTTAGACTGAGCTGTCCGCACTCGTAGGAACGCCACCACCCTCACAGGATCAAATGCCCAGCTGCAGCTCTAAAGCGGCATGTCAAGTAGTTCAAAAGAAGAAACTGAAGCAGTAAACAGTCCTACCTCACAACAAGGGTACAAACACACTTCAAGCAATAGATTCTTTTAAAAACCTGGTTTTAGTGACTGCCTTTAGTTGGCCTATCACCATGATCCATCAGGTCAGGGTAACCCCTGTACGCCCAACACATTCAGTGCCAAAGAGTGCTCGTACAGACTAGATGGTTGCTTGACCAGGTTTTATCCGCACATGTCATACACACAGTCCTGACCCTCTGCACATATCATACATACAGGAGTAGTTCTTACCATCCAGCAAGTAGATAGCTGAGTACAGTACCCTGCTCGTCCATGTCACCATCAACCTGTAATCAAATAGAGACGATGGACAGACAACAAAATTCACGGCTTGCGCAAGATCCACTTACACTGAGCTTTCACATCCGTAGGACCACCACCACCTTCAAGGATTAAGCGGGGGGGGGGGGGGGGGGGGGGGCACCGCAAAGTGGTCAAGTACTGATAATCCGACCCGCTGCAATGAAAATACAAGGATGAGCTAAAAATCCCATGGCAGAACAATGAAGCAGGGTTACTGTAGCTGCGGTGTTGCTTTTAGCCACCAGACATGACAACAACAAAGTTAATGGCTGCTGGAAGCCAGAAAGAGATGTTCTATATGATAGTGCCTTAGGGCGCGTTCAGACTACCGATAAAAGTGACGGAATGGGAAAGTTTCCAAGGTGATTTGATCACGTGACGTTCCTGGCACGTTAGGCCACACGTTTTTATTTCTATGTTTCTCGTCACCTGAAAATCTAAAAACGTATGCGAGAGGTGGAAAAAAATAAAAAATGACCGAAAAATAAAAAAGTTTATTAGACCTTTGTTCACACTAAAATTCATCAATACACCATGCAAAATAGCATCCATAGTTAGGAACTAGTACTGTAAAAGCAGAAATGTTCGGTGGTGTAATATTTTCGGTATTCGCCAAAATCGGCGGTTCGGTAGCGGGAAATATTCGGTAAAACCCGTTCTCCAGGTAGGTGTACTAGTACTGTACATGTATACAGCATCGGGTGTACCGACAATTTCGGTGGTGTTTTATTTTCGGTAAAAATCGTCGGCACCAAAGTTACCGAAAATAAAACACCACCGAAAATTTCTGCTTTTACAGTATGTGGTAGGAGCTTCTGTCACAATCTGTGCATGTGCAGCTAGATTGCGCACAAAAAATGCCATCCTTGCATCATGTGTCGCGCAGGCCAGGCCACATTATGTACATGTGCATGAGTGTGAGGCCACATTATGTACATGTGCATGAGTGTGCTGGTCCCCACATGCACAGTCAGTGCAGCACAGTTTTTTTTCTTTTTTTCTTCCAGACTCCTGAATCGTATGCGCGCGGGTGACGAGAAACATAGAAATAAAAACGTGTGGCCTTACCGACGGAAAAGTATTACTGCCGCGGCTGCTGCGGCGGTAACTGCATTCCGGCAGTAAAAAGAGTGCTCAGGCTGGGAAAAGGGGAAAATCCCTTCTCAGCACCACGGTGAGAGCCGCAAAACTTCGTACCGGTAACGTTAGTTTATCAGTAGTGTGAATGTCCTTCACGGTTTATCGGCATTCACGGTTTGACGGGATTCACAGTAGTCTGAACGCGCCCTAAAGGGATTACCCGGTGCATGAACATGAGTTGTAACAAACAACCTGGATTCATTGCTTGTTTAAGTTGTTTTCCCCAAGCCCTGTCCTAAGCCCTGCCCCAAGACCTGTCCTAAGCCCTACCCCAAGCCCTGTCCCTACAGGAGAGCAGGATCCCTATGACAGTACAAATTGTAGGCAATGCAAGTACGGTCATGGCAAGTGAGATCCAACCTCATCAAAGCGAAGCACCATGTTCACTGCACAACTCAGTGCGTGCAATGCCGGGGCCGCACAGACTCAGGGCTAGTATATTCACAGGGTTGGATTTCATTTGCCGACACTTTAGATAAACTGGCCGTTGGCTCAATGGTTGACAGCAAATCAAGACCAAACCACCAGCACTGCCACCACCAGCACTGCCACCACCAGCACTGCCACCACCAGCACTGCCACCACCAGCACTCCGGTCCACACGGTCTTACCCATAGTTTCCCACTGCTACAGCCCATCAGCAAGGTGACTGCTTTGCACTGCAGCTTCTCCACTTTCTTACGACCGAGAAAAGCACTACCAGTACCGTGACCACAGTATCTGAAAAAAAACAAGAAAGAAAAATACAGAGTCATTTGACGTGATGGCAAGTAACTGTAGAAGAAAGCCATAGTGCATTCCAAAATATCAAAACGGGCGGATCTGCACAAGAGCTACATTGTACATGATATCGGACCAACTGTTTCCTTTCTTCAACCCAGCAAAGCAGGATGAGTGACATATTCTTGAATCTGGAACATTAGCACCCTGCAAACTCTTTTTTTGTTTTGTGGTGAAATAAAACCACCAGCACTATGGTCTATATGGCAGAGGAAGGACGGTAACTCACATGAACAGCTCCATTTCTGAGAGGCCCTGCGAGAATTGGTCAACAGATGGAGCGCAGCCGACAACGCCTTTCCAGCTCTCATGTCTGTACACATCAGGCAGAGCAAATATACAGACAGACGCAGACAGACAGAGACATACACACAGCCATGTCAAGAACCGCTGGACGGTCTCCTACAGATGATCAGTTTGCTTTCAAAGCAGGCAGAATAAAAACAGAAGTCAAAGCAGCAAACACAACAAGACCCCCCCCCCCCACACACACACACACCCTCTCTCTCTCTCTCTGTCTCTTACTCGCTGAACCAGTCTTGGAACATCTGCTGCGTATCAGGAAGGTTCTTTTCCGGATTGAGAATATAGAATGCATCATTGCTGTTGATGCCATCGCTCAAGAACCTCTGCATTGGCAGTGTTGATTTCTACAGGAGGCGATATGAAAAGCAAAAGAAGAATTAGAGCTTCCTAGTCAGACAACCCGGAATGCACACACACAAACATGCATGCAAGTACACACTCATGTGTGCACCCACCCACCCGCAGAGTATATATAATCACAGTTCTTAGTTCCTACCATCAAAAATGCCCTCGACTGAAAAACCCACAGACATCATCATTACGACATGGTCTAACTGGGCATGAGAGTCACACCGCGAACTCGGTGAGCAATCGTAACAGTGCCCTGCGTCTCGGGTAGGAGCTCTGCATTCGGTCAAGGGGCACACACAAATCTCAGCCACTGCTATAAGTGTAACTAATACACTCAGAGAATCCCCTTGCATTCTTGACTGACCCCCAACTAAACTGACTGGGGTGTGTAGAGCGACCACACAACACACGACTCTGTCAGCCGAGAGGCACACAGCCTTACCCTCTGTTGCGACAGATGTGTCAGAAGCAATGACAACGATGGCATGCGCGATATCGTTTGCTCCTGCATGCACATCATACTCTCCCAGGGTAAACATTGCAGAGTCTGCAGGCAAGGCAGAAAGGGAAAATTGCAGGGACACAGAGACACAGAGACACAGGATTGGCCGACATGCAACTCTCAATCAAGCCGGCTAACATGCTCAATATCACTACTACCACTGCCATAGCCATTTTTTTGCAGAAGATACCGGTACATGCACATCAACTACCGTAGTGTCGTGTATAAAAAAGCCTGTCTCCTTCAGGAGCCTGTTTTGAATACAAGCCTGATTTTTCGAGATGCACTTTTTAAAGCCTGGTTTTAGTGTTGACATACATAGAAATACCTGTCTTGTATAGAAGCCTGTCCCATATAGTCCTTATGCACATTGTACAGATGTACGAAGTTCTGTACTATGGCCGTAGGTGTGTACATACCCGGTTGGGTGTTCGTTGTGTGCTATACATGCGCGTTTGACCCATTTAGCCTCACAATTCATGGCAAACGATCACTTTTCAAGCCTTCTTCACTTTGGGATTGAACTAACGACTAGCTAGATCTCTGCCGGAAAAAGATTTCGTATGAAATGCCTTCATGGCCCATTTCACAGTGGAAATAGCAGTAAACACAATAGGGTCCTGCACATTCAACACCCAACCGGGTCTACGGGATTCTACAAGATTATACGGGATTTCGTGCATCTGTACAATGTGCATAAGGCCTATAGAAGCCTGCAAAATTTCCCCCAAAAAGTCATAATATTATAACCCGCGGCTTTTATACACGACTTTATGGTATTAAAGTTACAGTAATGGAATGTCAATGGAGCAACAATACAGTACTGCACTGTGACAGCGAAATGATCCTGTACCCACTCTAGTCGGAATGCTCACCGATGCAGACAGGCAAGCACACCTGAAAGCATGTGCAATCAACTGTTTCAGACCCGAGAACTGATGAAAAACAAATAAAAATATGACGCGACTAACACACACAGCCATCACAAAGCCATAATGGTGACATCCACCCATCTGCATCGGCGTTACTATTGATAATGATTGTACTACAGCACCGAGACATGACTTCCAGCACAGATGTACTCTATTAACAAAATAATTACAACTTTATGCACATACCTTGTCTGCAAGGAGTACGACTGGATGTATCACTGCACTATCCTCCGGCAGCCTGCAACAGCAACAGCAACAGCAACAGCAACACACACACACACATACACACAAATGAAAAGTAATCATCCTACGCAGTGGGCTTTGAAACAAGTGGCAGACCAGTGCACGTCATGCAGCTCTCAACAGAAAGCACCTCAACTGATGACGTCACTGTGTAACCCATACTGTACAAGTAAACAGCTCTGACAGCAACAGCAGCATCAAAAAAATTTGTAAGTGATTTAATCACTTACTGTTCTAAAGCCATGCATGCCTGACGAACACTTGTCACGATCTGTGAACAGGACACGCCAGAAAATATAAGAACACAGTTTTACCGGAATCATATCACAACACCCACAGTGAGAAGAAGAGAGAAACAAAGATGAGAGCAGTTACAGCACAAGCAATCATCCAGCTCCACTCAGAGCACTAGCAACACAGTTACTTCCTGACAAGTCACTTCATAGCCATCCATGGATTTCTAACAACCGTGGACAATGTACGAGCTCGTACCTTCTTCAAAACTGCTGAGCCAGCATCAAGGCCAAGTAGTCGAGCAAGGGCTACAGCAAAGGCAGTACGATCATCCCACTGTGAGAGACACAGCTCAACGAATATCTGAAAGCAACAGCCAAAACAGAGAGCTGCTCAGAAAGCAGAACGCAGCCAAAACTCCACGCCAAAATAGGATAGGAAAAAGTCAAAGCATAAACACACATACACACACATACACATACACATGCACACGTACACACACATGCACACACACATGCAAACACATGCACACACATGCACACACACACGCACACAAGTACACGCTCCAGTGATACATTGAGGAACACAATCATACTGGCTGCATCGGTGCACTTGGGAGTATAAGTGATTGCAGTTTGCACTGGTATATAAACTCTGGCTAAACTACATGTACACCCTCTTCTTGAAGGCAGAACTAATTTCAAAAGTTATACTTCGAAGTACTTGTCTGTACAAAGCAAGACACGCAGAGAAAAACCTGCTCAGCAGATTTTGACCCAGTTTTTTTCATCACAAATAAGTAAACTACGGAAATACGGCACCTGGTAAATGCACTTCAATTGCGTTCAAATGCGTGTACTGTCTTGTTCCACAGCGGTCATCTCACCTCGGCAAGATACGTCTGATTGGTTGCGCACAGTGTGCTGGTGATCGTGCTGTACTTGCAGAGTACATCAACACATGCCATGACGGCTGGTTTCCACAGTGCGGGGTCGTGCTGAACACTGGACTGACCGGACAGTAGAATGCTCCAGGCACCCAGGAATTTAGATTCCAGGTTCTCCACAAGCGACTGTGAAAGAAAGACGACAAACAAACGCTCCAATAGGTCAGTACACAGTACAGTACGGCAACACTACTGCCAGATTGAAGGACAGTTACAAGCAAACCTGTGGGGGTTCCCCCAGATGCAAACAATCTGGATGACACGCAACACGTGCAGCACTTTGGACAGCAAATACAGCGCCACAGCGGTCATTGGGTCATAACACGAAATATGGATAGTTGTTCACATGCAAGTTCAAGATAAAGCAGTCACTGAGTAGGCTCCATCATAGCCAGAACACTGACCAGCAGCCTATATAGCTGCTTGCTGCCTTCCATACTAGCACAGTAAAACCTGTCCTAACAGGACGCCCTTGGTGGAGCGGAAACTGTCCTGATACGACAGGATTCCGCTTGATCCAGGGATGCACGTTCGATCTACGTACAGCACTTTTGGTGCATGAAAATGTGTCCGTTCAATACAGGGCGCGGCAAACATAGGTTTTACTGTAGAACTCACAGCCAGTCGTCCATCCAAGGACTTGCGCTTTGCCCAGAATTTGGTCTTGTTCTTGATGGTCAGGCTCGTGGCTGCTTCGTCCATGATTGTTCCCAGCTCATCAAATACTTCTTGTGAGTGATCAACAGACCTGGTGCCATTGCTGCTACTCTCATCGTCAGCGTCATCGTCAACTAGAGCCTGTCACCAGTGAGCACCCAAGAGAGGATCACACATCATACGGTTCTCTAAGCCATTGACAACAAAGCATTTTTTATATCATAACAGCAAGTACACATACATACACACACACACAGACGCGCGCGCACACACACACACACACACACACACACACACACCAGGTAGCATGGAAACGTCCCCGTCGCAAGAGAAGCACGCAAATCTGCAAATGAACTGGAGGTGCCCCCCCCCCCCCCCACACACACACCTACTAGTATACACAATAGAAAAAAGAGAAGAGAACTGCCATGCTACTCACATCCACCGACACTGGGAGACGAACGAGGGCAACATGCTGAGGCCGAACACGTGCTACAACAAGATGTGATTGTGTTTGACCTGGGGTTTGTAACAAGTTTAAGCTCGATACAGTCCAATCTAAACATACAGATGCACACAGAACAGAACAACAGATGAGGAAAAGTAAGGTGCAATGTTCCGCCACATACTAAAAACATAACATTTTCAATAAGTGCTAGTAAGCCACCGAGTGACAGGAAACACAGATGGAAGAGAGAAAGAGAGAGAGAACTAATTTGTACTATTAGGAAGTGAAGTGCATCGCCATTGATCAAAGCAAGGAGTTACACTGTTGCAAGAGGGCTGTGGTATCCTGGTCGGTCAACACAAGGAACATACATGTATCTGTACTCACCAGGTGGTAGTGTTGCTGAGGCATGCTGGAGAAGACTGGGCACTTTGCCATGCTGCTGTTGAAGGGAGCGCAGTACCTCCACCACGCTCTATGTACAACAATGGCAGCAACACACACACATCTCAAAGTCACCGCAATGAATATACAGATACATTATGCTAAGTGCGCAGTCATCAATAGATGTTATACCAACAGCCACACAGGGATATCGAGGTACTGAAGTAGCTACACATATAGATATTTTCCATAACGAACTTTTCATGTTTTCTGTCTCCTCGTCGCTTTGTCAATGAATACGAGGTGAATAGCAATTTCTGGACATGAAAATAAAATAGAGGCCCACTGGCTGTGTGTTTTACATTTTTCATATCTATTTGTATCTATTGTATGGCCTAATCCTTCATCTTTCCAAATATGTGACAATTGCTCATGCTGTGATCCCAGAGACTTTATAGCAGGATGTTTTCGACAGGCCAATTTTTTGGCCTAAATTTCAGTGTATGGAATTCTGGACATGAAAGTAAAATAGCGTCAATAGCATCCTATACTGCACCATTTTTGTAATTTTTTCTATTGGTGGACTGCAGTTGGCCTCTTCACACTTCCAGCCAACAGGTCCAAGACTATACAGCGTCTGAAGTGGAGTGCACATGGGGAAGCCAACGATTCGTCCATTACTTCTTATTTTACTCAAAATTCAAAATTCTCAGGCGACATAGTACCACAAAACTCGTTGAAATGCCTCCCACGAAAAGGCTATCAACAAGGCACCGACACGAGGAGAAACTACAACAGCCCAGCTGTCAACTACAACAAGAAAAAACTTCATCAACCTGACTGACTTGACTCTACACGCGACGAAAAATTATTTTACTCGAAATGTCCAGAAATGTCCAATGTCCAGAAATAGCAATTCACCTCGTACAGATCAGGTTAAATATGCTGGGCAATGTGAGCATATATAGAATGGAAGTACAGTAAAACCTGTCATGGTGACCACTCGGATAAGGCGACCACCTGTCCCAGAAGACCACTGCAGCCAGGACCAAGGGGTGCTATTTCCAGTCAAATGACCCTGAATAAGGAGACCACCTGGTTACAGAGACCACAGTTTGAAGGTCCCTTGTATTGAGCGGTCGTCTCAGACAGGTTTTACTGTACATGACAACAACCAGCTGCACAGCTATGCACAGCGATGCACAGAAAGAAAGAACAGGCAAGCCAGAAATCACAGTGCACCTCACGACGTCCACACACACAATACTTACTATGGAAGTGCTTTCCGAAGATCTAGGTGTAGACAATAACGAAGAAGAGAAAAGCAAAGGAAGTAGTTCGAAATTGGTTGCTGAATAAGTGGCACATTGGCTGGCAAGGTGGATTTCGTGTACATGCACTTCAAGTACAACACACTGCACATGCTGTGAGTGAGGTCATTCATCACTGTGTTTGCAGCAACAATCAGGCACTTGCATTTCGAAATGAGAATGTGAAGTTCACGAAAAACACTCTCCTCACTAGAATGAACTACGAGCATACAGATATTCTCACAAGCAGCAGCAACAGAGACCACCGTGGTCACCATCTCTGTACTCCAACTAGCAAGTGATTTTGTGCACTTACTTGCTTTGAAGAGCAATATGATGGCAGAGCTGGTAGCGGAGTGAAATAGCGTGTGCTGCTTGGAAGTAGTTGACACTTGCTTGGAGGTTCCGCCAGCCAAGCAGATTACCAAGCGCCAAACAGATATCCCGCATTAGCCAAACGGGAGCAACCGCTGCTTGGCTTGCGATCTGGTGTGCTCTCTCCAGACACGCTTGACACAAAACGACATCATCTGCAGGACACATCACCATAAGAAGAGCACAGAGGGGGATCAGTCATGTACTTCTAAATAGCATGGTATCATCTTGGAAGTATGAGGGTACAGTACTATCAGGCGCCGAAGAACGACCAGGCTAGAATTTCATCAAGCACAACATACCAATGTATACACAGTGACTCAACTGCCCATAGACTGTAATACATGAAAATAAGAACGGTCTAGGCTAGGAGGCTGACTCCCCAGTCCTTCGGCGACCGACAGTACAGTAGCTCAATTATTATTTTTTACTGTCTCACCCTGAGGATAGGCTGTGGCCCGAAAATTAGGTGACGGAAGAGAGCTTTTTGTAGCAAAGACATCATGTAGCGTGTGTTGAGACTGAGTAACGTGAGAATGGCTGCGTTGGAGTGTGACAATTCTTAGAATGGTTTGGGGAGATTGTACATACAACTCCTGGTTGAGAGAGCCATGTAAGTCTGCACAGAACTCTTACTCAGATTGACACAGCCATGTTTTTGATATGCACCATAAACCCAGTCAAGTCATACCGTGGACTACACCGTATTCTCATCATAATGTCAACTACATGAACACCATGCACATGACTCACTCACCAGGAATAGTCAGTGTCGGTATCTGCACAGCACTACTAGCAGCAGATGCCATGGCCGATGTGGCCATGCTGACGGCTGACTTGGCAGTGCGCCGTTTCCCGGTAGTTCCCGCTGATGCCTTCTTTGATTTGCTGCTGCTGGCGGTAGAGGTAGCGGATGCCCGTTTTGAAGAGCGTTTGCTTGCCACCGGTGTGTGTTCGGAGGGTGAGGCGCAGTCCAGACCGGGCTGTGCCGTGTCCGAAACGTGAAGCCATGACTCGGCAATGTAGCGTTGACACTCAGCGCCGCAGGATAGGCACATTGCAAACGTGTACAGCAGCTCTGCCACACATCCTCTCTGGGCCTGTGTCAACAGCGCGTCCTTGCCAGCAGTGCTAGACAGTGGCCAGAGGCCGAGATTCGTCAGGCCGCGTTTGCACTGTTCCTTTGCCTGCACCACCTGGCCAGAGTTGAGATGATGTCGGGCAATGAGAGCACAGCGACGACTTTCCCACCACGACCCAGACTGCCTAGGTGTGTCCAGGGAATCACTATACTTGCCGCGAACACGAGTCTGAGGTGGTGGACGAAACATTGCAGACATGAACAGTTGAGGATGCTTTGCATACATAATAACAATGTGAGCAGCATTACCGTATTTCCCCAAACATAAGTCGCACTTTTTTACACTAATTTTTCAAGAACAAAGACGGGTTGCGACTTACAATCGAGAGTGACTTCCTACTGATGTGACTATATTGAAACAGTTTGTCTCAAACCAGAAAATGGGGGTGCGATTTATAATCGGGGAAATACGGCACACGGGGGGGGGGGGGGGGGCAAGAAATAATCGAGTAGACCATCAAAAGTCATTGGCAGACTCAAATGAGCCCAAGCAATGTACCTGCACTTATACTTATATACTTATATGTACCTGCACACACACTTACACACACACAGCTTTTAAATCTTTGAATGCACCCCAAGTACAGAAAATAGCTTCTGTTACAGGAATTTAGCATACCCCGAGCCAATCATGTGGCCCTTCACCTTACACAAAGCAATCTTGATAGAAGAGCATGAAGAGTACACACTGAGCCGCTGACGCTCATAGTTTAGTGCATGATCTTACCTGGTGCTCCGCAGCAAGCAAACGCGCTTCATCACAGACGCAATTCGAACACGACAGTAAGCATTCGTCTGTATGCTGCTGATCACAGCATGGCAGCCTCGGTGCCTGTGTATGACCTATAGACATAGCGTCCATGCTAGCCGTGATACAGTCACACTGGCATTCCTGTAGGTCAGTGCTGGACCGAGATGTGCCAGAGCCATGTGCATCACATTCCATCTGAAGTAACGCAAACCGTGTCTCCCTGGTAACGGTGCAAGGCAGACAGGAAAAAGGGTGCTATCAAGATACGTCAGAAGTGTGTAAACGGCTAAACGCCAATGAATGCATTTGCATGAAAGCAAGAGACAGTGGCACACAGCTAGATTGACAGATAGATAGGTAGAGAGAGAGAGATGGAGAGAAAGGAAGAAAGGGGGAGAGAGAGAGAGAGAGAGAGAGAGAGAGAGAGAGAGAGAGAGAGAGAGAGAGAGAGAGAGAGAGAGAGAGAGAGAGAGAGAGAGAGCAGGAAGGCATGAGCATGAACATGGCAGAGGGATGATGACATGTGCAACTCAATCTGGACTGGTCAACAGGCAGGCTAGCCCGGATTCGTTCAGGGTCTCAGGGACGTACGCAAGCAACCTAAAAACTCGCCGTGCGCTTACATTATTTACATACCACATAGGCCGGTTCGGCCCACCTGCCGGCCAGGCCGGGTCAGAGCTGCACACATAATCACCCCTAAAAGGGAGTCACTGACAAACAAGCAGCCATTCGTAGAGAAACCCAGGCAAGGTCAAACACCCTGCTTTGCAGTTCCATGCCTATCGCATTTCAAATCACTCCAACGGACATTCACACAACGCCTACACCACCAGCATCAGCATCAAGTGGAGATGGTGTATAGAGTTAGCTGGCTTACCAGTGTGCAAGTCGATGTTGCTGTGCTAGGCTGATGCCTTGGTTTATAAAGGAGCATGCCTCTGCACGGCATCCAGCATAGAGGTAAACACGAGCACCGAGGCGACAACAGTCCAAGTACTGATATACAGCATTGAATAGACACGAGTGAGATTGAGTGCTGTGGCTGTCAGGCTGAGTGGGTGCCATGTCCTCCAAGTCATCATCTGATGAGGAATGGCAGTCGGATGAAGGCGCTTCCTCTTTGCATTTGGACACAAAGTTGGTGACAATCTTGGCCGAGCTGCTGCCAGATACACGCTTCAGGCGTGAGCGGCAGCAGTGAAAAGACCACAGAACCAGTTGAGGAGCAGTGGACACAGCTACATCGGCAATACCTGCATATCCATCACACACCACACACGTACACATGGACAGAAGAAAGTTAGACTGGCAAGAGTGTACTTGAAGTACAAGCAAATAACTACAAGAAGTGAGAACAAAACGTACAAAGATTCACTGCCATCCACATTCATCGTGTTCAGCCATGTGGTACGTACTTTTTAAAAAAGAGAGAGGAAGAACAGTGTAACTCACCATCTCTTGAAGAATGGAAGACATCATGCCAGGAGCAGGGGTCTAGTTTGGAGACCTGCGCTGCAATTGCAAATATGTAGCTGTTGCAAGCTGCGGATTGAGTAGACTTGCCAGCCGCAGATGTCAGTAACTCCAGGCACTCCTCAATCTAAGATGTACGGATCAAACAACAATGATTGGAGACCGCAGAAAAAAGTGAGTGGAGAGGTGAAGGTGAGAATGTGTATGTTAAAGGAGAAGGACAAAAATGTTACGAGTTATGACTAACTGTCCACCAACGTAACCAGATCGTGTACAGTCAGCGAGTGTGAGTCCTTCTCCTTTTTCACCATAATTTAATTGGCTCACCACCCAAGTTGAACTTTGTGTGTATGTTAGTACGGAGTTAAGTGAAGCACTCACACTCTTCACTTCCATAACAACACACATGCACACGCATTCTCACGTGTACCTCTCAACTCTCTACATGCTCTAAAATTTCACCTTTAATACAGTGCCAAATATTTCCGTTGCAGTCCATGTCTCAGTGTACGTACAATGATGATTTCTGATGGTAGTCAGATGAAAACGGTGTTCAAATCTGTCAATAGTGTTGCCCTGGTGGCATGGCAGGGCTATGTGCACTCTCTTCCTATCTACGTTAAGACACTGGCATCCTCGCCGCCTTCTCAACCTTTTTTTTTATACGTTCCTTTCCTAGTTGGCCCGAGACAGTCTGTCTGTTGTCGGTTATTAGAATAGATTGGGATTTTAGCACATGGCAATACAGTACTTTCACTCAAGGATACACACCTGGCCAGACTGGGCAGATACGGCAGCGCGAGCCAAGTCCAAGTACAGGGTGACACTGTCGGAGTGATGGCCGTGCGCAAGCTTCGCCGTTGTGCACAACCGCTCGGACTCCTGAAGCAGGCAAGCGGAATGCTGGACAGCTCCGTGGGATGCCAGCGATATGCACGTTGTGGTGATAATGTCCACGGCACCGGCGACAAAGAACACGCTATCTGGATGCCGCACTGCATTCCCAACAAACTTTGCTAGCAATCTGCACATTGCTATCTCCTCCAGTGGCTGCATAATGAAGCAGATAGAAAGAAGCAGTTTGAGTAAGCACATAATTATACTATTACAAATAGGAGTCACAAGCAGCAAGTGACAGGTGTGCACAGTCACAATTTCCCCGCATCGTTCATTCATGGTGCGACTACCAACACAAAGAGCTATTCACAATACTTTACCTGGCCAAACAAACGCAGCAAGTGAACAGCCCAGGACATAGCCTTGAATGTCTGATGACTGCGCACTTCTAGAGATGGTAATGGCTCCTTCTTCTTTTTCTAGTTCAAAGCATGGGGAGAGCAGGGAAAACAGAACATAAAGATTGATATAATAAAGAAATAGGTATGCTGCTTACGTTGAACTGGCTAAACACGCACCCACCTACACACACCTGAACACGCACACACACACACACACACACACACACACACACACACACACACACACACACGCGCGCACGCACAGGTTGACACACCCTCTGGCAATGACTGAACTGGCCCCTCTCAGTCAGGATCCCGTGGCTGACACAGAAAACGTTATGCCGGTATGCGACATGTGGGGCCTACCCACCAGTTACCATACTTCCCTACAGTCAGAGTGGATCCACTCTGACTGTAGGGAGAGAGAGAGAGAGAGAGAGAGAGAGAGAGAGAGAGAGAGAGAGAGAGAGAGAGAGAGAGAGAGAGAGAGAGAGAGAGAGCGAGAGAGAGAGAGAGAGAGAGAGAGGGAGGGAGAGAGAGAGAGACCATGCCAGTTCTTCTGGTTCAAAACTTTATCGTAAACAGAGAAAGCACACTTACAGAGCAGGTGCTAACTTGAAGCAGTTTGTGCCAAAAGACCATGGCCTGGCGGATAGCAGATAGAACTTCAGGTATCAACGATCGTGCATCGGACGGCGTGGAACTTTCAGATGAGGAGACTTCAAACATGAGAACACTGCGGATCATCTGAAAGATGGCTGCAATCCACTGGCCACTGGTCACGGATGAGAAATGTGCAACACCAGCATCGCATACTGCAAGGTAATCTCTACACGGAACAAGAATCAAACACCGATATTGTATGGTAAACACACACACAGCAACTACAGCCTGTGTAAACAACGAAAGAGAACAACCCCCAAAATGACGATTCCACACGTATCCTATTCTTACATGAGTACATGTACATGTAAGAGGTATTCGAAGCAGTGCATTATACGTAAAATCTTGAATGTCGTTTCACACAGCTTCACTGTAAACTATTATGGCTATCAGCCAGCCGCTGAGTGTCAGCCAGTGTCGCTGGCAACCGCAACGCATTCTCTCATTATCTGGCTTTAACCACAATGGATGAAGCAGCTCTGCCCGCAGATTGAGTTATATCAGTATACTCGCAATGTCGTTCTAAAATAGTAATCAATCTGCTTCCATCACTGCTCAGTCATGATGCTATGCAGGTAGTGTCCCCAGTGAATTATACAGAGAGAGAGTTTCGAGAGAGACTACTTCATGGATATCACAGAAGAGGGCCTTACTGCAAACAAGCGCCGTTAGTCATTTGCAGGACAACAAGTTTCTGCAGCAGCACATCACACTGGCCCACATGATCATCTCTGTTGAGTAGGTTATACCAGGCATCAACAGCTAGCATGCGCTCTTCCAGGTCACCAAATCTGTCAAGAAGAAAACAAACACAATGTAAACATCAAACATAAAGCATGCCACTGGAGGAAAACACACTTCCTGCAAATCACACAAACAGGTGTTGGTTACGGGTGAAGTTCTGGCCAGGAGTGTTTGTCTTGTGTACGGGCCACCGCGGACCCAAAGAGAGACAAAGTATACACGGTATGTTGGTGGCGCTGCAGGAGGCCATCTGTGATTATTAGCTGTGCTGATATATGTGGCTCACGGAACAACAGCACACGACTCTTGGATGATAGAATGGTGAACAAATGAACGGGATGAATGCATACAACAAAACGTAGGCACCAAAGCGAATAGAGTTTCGACGGTAAACGTAAACTAATAGTCACATACGGCCGTATGACTGAGCCCAATCTTGTGGGGGACAGAGCTAGCTAATGGATGGCAGGTGCCCATAATATAGTATTTGTGGGTGATAAACGGTACAACTCACGCATGGCGCATCAAAATCGAGACATAACAAGATAGGATGGCCTTCTGAATGTCGGCAGAAGCACGCTCGGGACAGAGGTTCAGGCACGCCTGCAGCTGATTGGTGAATGATGCCCTACAGGGGGGAACATGGCACACAGTTTTACATGAGAGTAACTTGGGTCAAAAAAAGAATAATGTCGCATGGATGCAACATGCTCAGCTGACCAGTAAACACATGTACATATCCTGGGGATTCTAAGTAAGCAGTAGACCCTGACACACACGCGCGCACACACACACCTTGAACACACACACACACTTTGAACACACACACACACACACACACACCTTGAACACACACACACACACATGTCCAATAATGTACAGGACCACATGGAAAAGCAAACATACCCCTGCGCCTCTTTCACGTTGCTCTCGACGGCAGTGCGTTTTTGAATGCACCATTGTTTGATACGGCCAGCGACAGCATCAGAGACCTGAGGTTGCAAATCGTCAGCAGGTGATAGCACGATAACCCAGAGTAAGGACTGCAGACCGCCGTTGATATCTCTGTTCTTGCCGACTTGATACGAGGCAAGTAGCAAGAAATTCTTGGCCAACTCGCACTGCCAACGAACAGGATAGAGACACAAATAGAATGCACTAGAAAGTAAGATATTGTTCATCAGAAAGGCACTGTCATACTGCCATCCAATGAACACTTTGTGTCATCCCTGTGCTGGCTGCCTCCATAAGCAATACGCAAACACGTTTTCGTCTTCTTATCAGTTCAAAGCGGCAGTGAACAAGGCAGAATTTCCATGCTAACGGACCGCATTCATGTTCTTTACCACACACATAAGCATACACACACATTTGCACGAATTATGCTTTGAACGAAATGTATGTACCCCCAGCCTCCGCGACGCCCTGTAATGTCACTATGCGCACACGATGCCTATACTATGGTGTTCTCTGACAGGGCAGATGTAGCTAGTATCACAAAGAACCCAGTACAGTAATTTTTGTCTGCGGCTACATATAGACAGTTCTGCCTAGTGATATTCGACTTTGTGAATGAAGTAGCGCCGCACTCGAGTTCACGGAAGTGTTCATGCTGCCAGGGCTGCGCAGTGCTGGATGCTATTTTAGTAATGTCGGATTTCACTTGCAGTACCAGTACTACCGGCTACATGCATCTACTCGTGGAAATGTCCTCGTTCACTGATGCGATGCTAGCGATTCAGTCTCATTATCAATATCCATTGTGACAGATTCTGATTGGGGAAATGTCATGAAATTGTTGCGAATATGACACTGTTTTCGATGGCCAGGTAATTGTGCATGCATCGCAGTTCGTAGCTTACCTCACTGAGGCGTTTGTCGAAGTTGTCCACCTGGCACCAGAGCAGGTAGAGCTTGCACGTCATGTGCAGCGCCCGCGCAGCCAGCTGAGCATGGCCCTGGTCATGCAGCACGATGGCTACGTTGCGTGCGATCTGGCCAACCTTGTGCAAACGAGACGCTTCGTCGCGATTACCGCACACCGTCTCCTCGCTTCTCTCCAGCAGCAGCAACGCTTGATAGGGTGCAGCCGACTGCCGGTCACGTAGCTCTTTCTGAGTCAATGCACTGCAGAGCAGATTGATTACGAATTTGACGACAGCATCCTCATCGTTACTGAATTTCTCTCTCGACTCCTCTAGGAGAGATCCAGCTTTGGCCAAAGCAGCAGCTGCTTTCACTGTGCTCAGGAGAAAGCGAAAAGCCACTCCATAAATAATTAACGCTGTGGCAGCTTCATTGGCATCACAGAAAACTTTTTCGTTGAGAACGTGGCTTGCAGCAGTGTAATATGCGTTGAAGGCAATTTTACTAGATGCAGCGTCGTCTTGAAATGCTTTCTGTGCCTTATCGGCCAGCACACGCACTTCATACGTGTCTTGTTCGCTCCACACCCCTTTCTTCAGCTTCACCAAGATCACCTGAGCGACTTGCTTTTTGGCATCCATCGTCGTCAGAAGTAACTGACTCACTCCAACTCACACGTTCTTGCCAACATGTTCGAGCGAGGAGGGCAGCTTTTGGCTGTTGCCCGTCAGACGATTCCAAAACGATTATTTGAAAACATGAACAGGCCCCGAACCTGCCACTTGGGGGGATGCAGCCTCGAGCCTCTCAAGCCTTCAACTCTGCTTCTTTGCCCCTTCGATTTCGTACTTCCTAGCCATCTGCCATGATCTGGCTCAAGCATGTTTGATTTTTTGTCTTCTGTTCTGGAAGCACACAGCACTTTTGCGTGGCGAGCTGCATGTATGATTTTTGAACATTCCCGCCATCACCGTGGAGACGGATCACGTGAGTGATTTAATTTTCTTGAGTGCTTCGAATCACACACAGCTAGCTAGCTCAGCTCAGAGCCGAGCTGATTATGAGTCCGTCTTCTTTTCGAGATTTTGTGTTTGAATCTCTGCTTATTTTTATGATTGAACAAATCATAGGGGTATCTCATCGGCTAATAGTATTCTACAGCGAAAAGAACATAATGTTAGTGTCAGGGATATGTAAACGCTGCTTGTCTGCGCTAGGAGTGCGACAGTCTTCAAACTTTGGTACGTCTCATTTCTCAAGTGCATGATTGTATAACTTTTGAATCATGCCAGTACATGCACTATGGCTCACTATCGAAATTCTCAATTTGAAGATGTAGCACAGATGATGTGCACAATTTCATGTACAGTATATGCAGATATGGTATATTCATACCTGCCAACCTTTGCAAAACTGAGATCGGGACAATGACATACCTATAAACAAGAGTAGATAAACAAGAGTGTGCAACTCGCGGATGGGTAGGCCCACGGCGGAATTTTTTGTTGACGTAATCTTTTCGATGACGCACGCGCTGCGAGTCTTCGGAAAGTTTTCCCTCGTGCTCTTGGCCGGCTTTACACTACAAGGTCGGTGCCCAGCACGTGCACTCACACTGCTCTGCGGCAAAATGCGCGTTCTTCTGAAAAAAGGTGACGTCAACAACAAAGTCCACCGTGGGCGGGGGTATCTGCAGATTATGCAGGAGAGATCCGGAGTTGCACACTCTTGTTTATCTACTCTTGCTATAAATTATATGAAAATGATTGCATACAAATGTAGTTGTGCGGCATGTGACAAATGTACTTTTGAGTGCCCATTGCCACCCTCGATATCGGGACGGTCCCGGCCAAATCGGGATGGTTGGCAGATATGTATATTGCCTGGCCTGCAACATTGAGAGACAAGATTGATGTGCATTCTGCATTCTATCTGTGTGGCATAGCACGTAAGAAGGTGTACAAGGACGTATCTGTAAGCTCACTATCCGGGTCTAACGAGTTTTCAGTTCGGCTAGATGAGCGGCCACTGAGAACCCCGCTGGGCCATGACGTCATAGTGCCATCAGAGATGGCTGCCAATGCCGTGGCACGGGAGTGGAGTGTGCAAGACGACGAAATCAAGCCGCACACCATGCCCCTGGTACGTGCTATAATATAGCGTTTTCTAGTCCACTTTTGAGTCGTTGACATGGTACTCCTTTGAATTGCATTGAAACTTGACTGCTTTGGTGATGCCAGGTGCAATGATACAGTCATACGCTATGTCCACCTGTTCTTTTGGTCGGCATTGATTTGAAGTACATGTGTACATGCACTTACTTGAATACCAACATTCGGCACTGCAGCCATTGGTATTGCCTTATCACGAGCCGTAGACTGAGTAATCTAAAGGTTGCCTCTCCTTTCTATTGCCGCCCAGACCCAGCTTGTCAACCTAGCTATTGATCAGCCGACAAAGCGAACCGATCAGGAGATCGCTGCAGACATTCTAGCGTACCTAGAGACGGATACTCTGAGGTAATGATAATGCTCTGTCCTGTGGACCTTGTCATGCTAGTGTGACTGCTGTATGCTGGTGGCTTTCAGGTGGCCGCGGATAAGTGTCTTTGATGGTACATGCTGTGCTGTGTCACGTCATGCTTGCGTCTGAATGTACATGTAGATAAAGAGCTATCCTCCACACACCACAATAATATACATCATTGTCTGGCCTATTCTGTGGGCCGCATTTGTCATCTTTTGCTGTGTTCCAAGAGGCTTTGACTGAGTGTAAGTGTGTCCGTGTTTGTGTGTGTGTGTGTGTGTGTGTGTGTGTGTGTGTGTGTGTGTGTGCGTGTGTGAGTGCGCGTGTGCGTGCGTGCGTGTGTGTGTGTGTTCAGATGTCGGGTGGAGTTTCCCGATGAGCTTGTGGCGCTGCAGACGAAGAAGTGGGATCCGATTCTGAAGTGGCTTGAAGACAGGTCAGTGCAGTGTTGTATAGTCCTACAGGAGCTACACAATTTCCGCTGTTATTACTGCAACCAAAGTATGTGCACAGTCATGCACAAGCGCTCTGTCTAGGCTTCTGGAAGATATCCAAAGCAGATAACGTTATTTATCAATGCTCAGCTGTTGCTTCTGCTGTTTCCATTTCACCATAAAGCTTTCTTGCTGTACTTCAGACTTGTCCTTTTACTAGTTGGTCAGTCACCACAGTCTCTATGTTTTTGCCACTGGTAGGTTTCAAGTTCAAGTACCAAGCAGCGACAACATCTTTGACATCGCTCTGCCCGAGAACACAGTGTCAACCATTGCAGAGCACTTGGTCAATTTGAACAAGTGGTCACGAACAAGTAAGTGCAAAACACTTCTTTCATGTACCGTATTTTCTAGAGTATACGCCGCACTGGAGTATAAGCCGTTCCCAGATTTTTATCACAAAGTAAAGTAAAAAAAAAAAGTAAATTATCGTATCCGTTCCCGAAGGGAACTCACGACGGCCGCTAACACCCGATAAACCCTAGCGGCAGATGCAGCGCCTAACGGTGGGGGTGAGTGGGCAAGTCTCACAACCACTGGCACAAGTGCCGAAAACGACCCCATTAGCTGCATCCATGTACCCCTTGTGCCTGGCCACAAGTTCCCAGTTGACTGTGGGTAGCAGCACGGCTGGAAAAACCGTTCCCACACAAAGTACAGACAGCTAATTTATCGCCTTTAGTTTGACCATCGTAATATAAGCTGCATTGACTTTTTGGGGTGAATTACTGGTGTTAAATGCGGCTTATACAGTAATCCGGAAAATACGGTATGTGAGATGCATGTTGTCATGGTTTCCATCACCTCTATGTGAACCACTATTCCCTGTCTCCAGTTTTTACCCAGTATTTGTAAGTTACACGTGCACCAGTAATGACGTTCCCGTGTTCACCTTTGCCCGCCTAGGTCTGGAGAGTGCCACCACCAGCAGCAAGTCCTTTGCTACGGCTGCGGCTCTTCTAGATGGTCATGTTGATGTAGACGAGGCCATCGCTATCTCCCAGCTTGAAAACACATTTCAGGTAAGAATGTTTTGCTTTTTTCTTGCTGGTTTGCTGTCTGGCACGAGCGAAACTTCTCTTGGCTGATTGTGTTTCTCAGCACAATTGTAAGCCGGTGGTAACACGGTTGTGCGAACTTTGCTTTTTTTATGCTGTCTTTTAAAATTGTGTATGAGTGGACCTGGAGTATCATCTTTTGTCTGGTTTTGTTGTTTATGAACCATCAATTTGCTGGTCATCCAGCTTATGCAGCACCTGTTCATCTTGCTCTCTCTCTTTGTCTTGCAGATTGACAGATGGGGCAATGTGGAATGGGCACACCAGTATGACTTGGTTGCATTGAAGTCATCATTGGCATCTGCATATCTTGTGCATACGTGGTGCGGAAAGCTACCCGATTGCCCTGCAAGATGACGATTCCTGTGTTCTATGAACAGTGCAGTGAGAGTAGGTGAATGAGGCTGCATCAAGTACTTCACGCTTCACCTGCTACCTGGAGATACGCACAATTGTTCAACCATTCACGAATGCCGCTGTGCCACGCAACCCTTCCTACGCGTATCTCGTACTTGTTCTGGGTTGGCATCAACAGGGATATTCCCTGGCCTGAATAGTGTCATGCGAAGCCTGTACCACTCTTGACCAACGGGCACGCTTCATGTTTCTGGTGCCAATGACTAGCCCAAGGGGATATCATCCGCGTGCTTGGTACCAATATGTCAACCAGGTTCCCTCCAACAATCCGTGGACTAGCTATGGCTAGTACACAATGCGTCGTCTTATGACCATCTTCGCGTTACCACGGTGTTGTAATTCTGACGCCTAGTTCCCTTGGGAGTAGTTGTGCTCTCAATCTCCCTCACTCCATGTGGGGTGGCTTGAGACATTTTTTTTTATAAATTTCGTTTACTCAATCTCTGGAAATTTAGTTCGATACTTTGCAACATTTCTTTTCTTCTGTTTTATTCCCATTGGCAGACCACGATTGTCGCTGATTGTCCAGCACCGGTGCTGCAATCTAGTCATTACTAGGTTTGGTTTTAGTGATTGCCGATTGAAAGACTGGACAGTTACAGTAGGGCAAACAATGATTGTACTTCGAAAGCGATACCATGAATACTTGCTTGGAGTATCCGTGACTGTGGCGAAGGAAACTAAGATTTTCAATTGTATGTGGTGAGGCCAACAAATGAACACTGGACATCATCATCATGTGCAGCTAATTGGCCACGATATGATAAGTTGAAAACCTTGGCACAGTACGTCAATGAAAAGCATTACGAATCAAGATTCAAACTCGGAAAGTGCTAATCAAATGATAGTCCCTGTCCTCAAACAACAGCGAGTGAATACGGATGACCATAAATAGTGAGTTCATGGACTACACTTGAATAAAAAATAGATATAGTCTGGAGAAGTCAACGTCCACTAGTTTGACAAGAAACCCTAATATCATGAGGAGTGAGTACACAATTTATATTCTGTGGAAGGAAGCATGAGAAGTGCTGACAGCTAGCTTGGAGACATAGAGTCGCACAAACCCAGGGTTTATTGACTTTATTCAACTCCCTGCATGGATGTGATGTCAACTATTCCTTCTTGGAGTGTGACCTGCCGATAGGTAGGACTTCGGAGAAGAGCAGCGTGCCACCAAATACACAAGCTGTACCGACCCAGTGGTAGGCGGTGAACGCATTGCCGAAGAAGAAGATGGAGAAGATCAAGCTGACAAACTTGCGTAGCGTGATGATGAGCGTGACCGTTAGCGATGGGCAAGCCGTTGTCAAATAGAACACCCCGCGAATGCACACGTATCTGCAGAGAGCTAGTCAAGGGCAATAACATGATGGATGACAAGAGCACAATACAATACTATTCAATGTATCTTTCTGAGACACGCCCTTCACATCAGTATGTTCAAATATACCCAACATGATGACCGGCATTCTGCAATAGGTTAACATAAAATTAATATACACAACTATAACTGCTGTGTTGCACAAGCTAAGTGTGCGTATGCAGTATTCACCTATCGTAGAGAATCAAAAGTAAGCATTCCAGTTCAATTCCTGTTGTCATTTCTCACAGTCCGACCTGTACTTGCTACAGCCAATGCAATGGAGCAAGAAAAACAATAGGTATCAAGAACAGTAGAGGCACATCCATCCACACGAGTGTACAATACTGTCAGACGCTGGAGAACATAGCGTTGAAGAACAAACACACTAGGATTCCGCCAAGCACAACCTACTGATATACACGGTGACTCCACTTTGCACAACTGTTAGACTATTACCCCCACCCACCCTTCGGCACCCGCCAGTACTGCACTCTCATGCATGTACCATGTAATGCATGTACTATGTAATGCATGTACTGTGTAGTGTAAAAGGATACTGAGTGAGGGTGTTAGCCAATAGCAGCAGCCAGAGAGACGGAACATTGAATGACAGGAAGTCCACCGGCTCTGCAGCAGAAAGCACAAGTGACAAAGAAGAACATGAACGACACCAACACCGGTATAGTCGTATCTCAGTAATAGGAACCATACATCAAGACCTCAGCCAAAGAATTACCACAACACAAAAATGATCCAGCAGGCTTAGCTATGGCACTGAATACCCCCCCCCCCCCCCACACACACACACACACTACAGTCCATAATGTACAATAGAGAGGTTAAGTTACACGTTTTCTGGCCTTTTTCAAAACGCGGTGCAAATCTCACGTTACGTGTAATTTTAGAGGTTAAGTTACACGTGCGACGTGACGTGAAATTTTGCCTGGCAGGATTCGGGTTTAGTTCGCTCAAATATCAATCTTCCAACAAACTCGATAAAACTCCGGAAACTCACGCAAATTCGATCGGGATAACCAAGCGAAACTTCCAAAAACCCACGTCATGAGCTCACGTGCGGGACAGTCAACTCACGTAAAACACGTCAAATTTTACGTGAAACTTAACCTCTCTAATGTAGTGTATTGTCACAGCATGATAGCTTCATGCTTACCAGATGCAGTGAAGATTCCTGCATGCTCCATGATATCAGAGTACAGTATGTAGAATCCAGGTAGGGGCATCAGATGCTGTGCAAGTGAGACAGTAAGAATAAATACCGGCACACAACAATGCCTTCACTGGACACACACACTCTATAACGGCAACAAAAAATTGCAGATTTACTCAAGATAATAGATATACCCAAACGCGAGCGTAGTAATAATTATAAACGTGTGCAGTACACACACATCGTGGAGCTTTCCAAGGTACACAGTACACACACATTGCTTCACGAGCCAAGTTCCAGCATGGCCGTGCGTGGATTAGTACAGAGGTCAGTGGCATACATCCGGGTTCACTTACCGTCCAAAGCATGGCTTCACGGGGTTGTTTACCATACTTCTTATACAGCACCTCCTGCACAAGCACATGTAAAAAATAAAAAAAATAAACATGTACAAAGTAAACATACATGCAGCTCACATGCCAAACACTACTAACCACAATAAAATTCAGCTCTGGTACTTTGTGCCCGCTCTCTCTCTCTCTCTCTCTCTCTCTCTCTCTCTCTCTCTCTCTCTCTCTCTCTCTCTCTCTCTCTCTCTCTCTCTCTCTCTCTCTCTCTCTCTCTCTCTCTCTCTCTCTCTCTCTCCCTACCTGATAGACTCCCATCAGAGCGGACACGAACAAAGCAAAGATGAGCATTCCAATACCTGAGTCAAAAAACAAGAAAAACACAAATCAATTTAGACAAGCTAATAACCAAGAAAGAGGGTTAAACAAAATTTCACGGTTCGCTTCAGACTCAAGTAGACCGAGTTGTCAACATCCGCAGGAACGCCACCACCACCCTGCAAAGATGTATAGCTTGTCAAAATATCAATGTTCATGATCTTTTTACATCACCTTGAATATAGCTCCTTAATAATTGAGGAAGGGTAGAGTCTATACTACTTTAGCAAGCATGCAGTGTATTTGACAGCTGACGTATAGCAGGGACTACATTGCATAACTTACCAATAAGCCAAGTAGAGAAGTTTTCATCGTTAGCGTCGCTACTTGATTTCTGTGTCAGAAGCAGACAATGACGTTAGCTTGGTTAATGAACACAGCATCATTCCCAGGTACATGAAATAGAAGAACAGCATACTAGTAGTACAAGTACCAAAGAATGGTACAAATCCCAACTATGAGCAAGCTGGTGATCATTGACCACGTGAACAGGAAAAACACATATGTGCTGTGAGAGGACGAGTACAAATGTGCTGGTGGAAAAATGAAGTTGGCAACTAACTTACGTACCAGTCAATCAATATGAAGAGGTCATCACTTACCATAGCTTTTCCTGTCACAATGGTGCATGTGCTGATGCCTAGTGTGATGAGCAATACTGAGAAGTACTTGGACATGGTATACCTAGGAGTGGGCAGCAGGAGTGCACAGCAATACAGCACAGACAGAACACATTGCATCAGGGTAACCGGACAGTGAAACTGTGAAACGCAAGGGTCACTGTGAGGCACTGCTAAATAAATGCCAAACCTGTCTATCAAGGTGTGAGTAATTTCATACTTTTAAAACGCTTCAAACCATCAGGTTTAATAGCACTACTTTGCACTTTCAACAAACTTACCGTTTTCGGAGGATAAGAATACCAAGGATCAAGTTAGCAACCAGCGAGCTCTGCAGGAGCGACACAGACACACAATGCAACACACACACACACACACACACACACACACACACACACACACACACACACACACACACACACACACACACACACACAGGGATAAACCGATAACGCCAATGCTCCTTCTCGCGCACATCATTTCCGCCCCGCCCCCTCCCATACATTATCATTTCCTCCATCCTTTTCGGCAAAGCAAGCGCAATATGTGTGACAGTGGCACAGCAGCAGTGACAGGAGAACGACGAGACAATGGCGGAACACAACGTTGTAATCAACAGCCGGGTGAATGCCTCAATGCATAGTGCAAGACTCTTACTAAAGTGATGCTTACCTCACCCACAGGGCATCACTGTTGGGTAAGCACGTTTCTTAGAGCGGAAAACTATGTACTTACCGCCCTGAAGATCATATGTAGTGGCAGACTGATGTTCATTTTAAGCGTGTAGTTGTTAATAAGACTGACAGTAAAGAACATCACTACCATGGCCGCATACCACCTGCAAACAAGTGGCAAAGGACAGGTGGCAGATGGGTGACACGAACACACACGCACACACACACACGCACACACACACGTACACACACACGGGGTGACGCACGCACGGGGTGACACGCACACGCACACACACACACACACACACACATGCAGGCCAGAGCACACTGGATGAGGCGTAGGAGACTTACCGCCCGGAACACCATATGCAGTGGCATGGAGATGTTAAAGTTCAAAGCATAGTTGTTTATCACACTGACAGAGAAGAACATTGTCACCATCAATGCATAAAACCTGTGCATGGACAACAGAAGATTTGGCAAGCGTGAAACAGTGAGTTCGAGTATATTGCATGCCTGCACGCACATGGCGTATCCACACTCCTAAGGAGCCAATAGCGGGGTGAGTGCCAATGAACACTTACTAGCACAAAAGAAATCAGGCGTGGGTAAACTACTCCCACACGCGCTTGGATCATACGCAGCTAAAAGAGGCCTATTTTATTGCCCAAACACATATTATCAAGAGTGCATAAACAAGAGTATGCAACTGTGGTTATGGGTCAGTGCGCGGCACACTGCCTTCATCACGCTCTGATAGCATGCACTAGATCCACTATTCTTCGTACGAGGCCATCCGCTTTTGCCCGATTCGTTCCAGTTCTTACGCGATCTCTAAATGTTGGTGTGTGAACTCCAGTTCGGTATGAAAGTTCATTTCAAACCAGACGGAAAGTGCGGTGTTTGATTTTCCGCAGTGCGCCGCGCATCTGGCCCATAGAAAAGAGATCACAGTTGAATACTCTTTGTCGTGATATGCATCCCGATGTACCACTTGTAGTGTAATGACTGCTGTCATGACTCGGCCTGGTCTAGTCGTGCATAGCTGACTCTAGTTACTCTTGTCCCCTACTGACATTGTGTTTCACCATTAGTACACTTTGCCTCTACTCTAGTCGGTGCATGAATAGCCGTTCCTAGGTTTACATGTTCCATCGTGCAGTCCGTAGTGCACGCGACATTCTCGGCTTGACTTCCGCTGCACTGGCAGCCAGCCAGTTATTATTCCTTTGTGATGGTAGAGAAAGGTTGTACATTGTCTTGGCTCGTATCCAGTAACTCTTTGGGAATGAGGGTACGGATTTGAGAAGTAAGTTGGAATCACTAACTGTAGTTACTTGTGTGACTGGATTGGTTGGGATTAGTAAAGTGAAACTCTCTCCAGACGTTTAGGTTGTGCTTCAGTCGAGACATGGTGCTGTGACCAGGATGTCGTCACCCAACGAACAAACAACCTCTGAACAGGAACAGCCTGTCGAGTCAACCGGTGCAGCTGCTGCAGAATTACCGGTGACCCAAGCCGCTCAAACAAGCGTAGATCCACGAGCCGTGGATGGTACAGCGGATGAGTCCCATGAGGCCGGTAATGAGGACGCCAGCAAGGACCAGACCGATGGCACGGACGCTGGTGCAGGAGATTCGGAGCGGCTGCTAGTCTCGTCCACCCCCGAATACAAGCAGATGATCCAATCGAGGTCCAACATGAAGCGTCGACTGACGAGGGTGAGGCAAAGGATAAAAATTCACCTAGACCTGCTAGGAACTGATTGTTTCAGTGCAGACGCTCTTGGCCGCCTAGATGTTTCTGCCGCACGTTCCCTTTACGATGAGGCGTCCGGTTTGAAGTCAAACATCGAGGGTATCCAAGACAATATTAGACGGAGCTTAGAAGACGCAAACGAGGATAAGAAATTAGATGAACAAGACGCGTGGGAGAATAATTTCGAACTTGAATGCGTGTGTTTGCTGAGGCTCGCACAATGTTTACAACAATGCGACCACCATTCTCGCACTCAGTATGAAGCTGAAGACGAACGCCGCACCCGACTCCGATTACTAGAAGAGCATGGGCCACGCGCGCTAGATGTTCTTGATGCGGCCATGTCTAGCCCTCGCAGCGGACCAAAACCAACATGTCATGCGTCGCCAACACTACATGCGTGGAGTGAGAAGAGTGCCGACACGGATATCGACACTGCTACTTCAAGTGCTTGTGACACTGTTGAGCCACCGCGACAGTCCCAATGTGAGTCGGCTGAACAGTCACACGCACAAAGTGCAGTGCTTCATGACATTGTACATGTAGAAGATGCAGCTGAGTCTCCTGCCAGCGCAGCAAATGCACAGGAAACCAGCGCAGCAGTCAGTGTCAGAAGCCAACCAAGATCACCAGTGCCACCAGTCCCCAAACCACGTGTCAGGCATGCCATTGGCCATGGCACTGGTAGAACTGCTGCCACTCCAGCAGTGCATGCGGTGCCCAGCCCAAGTCCCACCTATGGCAGTGGTGAGGAGGACAGGGCCTATGACTATGAGCATTACCTCCAGCAGGAGACCCAGGACAGACAAGCAGTACAACAGCTTCAGCCAGATGCAGAAACATTCTATCCACCAGACCATTCTGTCGCCGCCAGGACAGCCCCTCCACCAGCCACAACCTGGCCACGCGATGCTATTGCCCCACTGGAGCAAGCTCTTCAGGGCGCAGTTATGAATGTCGCCCAGGCTTTGAGCCAAAACCAAACGCCACAACACACCAGCATATCCGCTGCAGCCGGCCCAAGCTCCGTTGTGTTCAAGCTAAAACCGATGGAAATACCGAGCTTCGACGGGCAGGTCACCAACTGGCCTGATTTTTGGGACCTGTTTGAAACTGCCGTGGACAAACAGCCAATGTCCGATGTCGTTAAGCTGAGCTACTTGAAGAGTGCCCTCACTGGCGGAGCTGCCCACACGCTCGCTGGTCTGGCTATCACCAACAACAACTATGCCACGGCCGTACAGCTACTGAAAGAACGATACGGACGGACAGATGATATTGTTGCTGCCCTGTATACCAAGCTGCAGCGATTGCAAAGCACATCGTCCAAACACCGTGATATCCGGAACACCATTGACAACATCGAACGGATACTACGACAGCTGTCTGCCATGGGCATTAGCGTTGAACAGCAGCCACTATTGGTGCAGCACATTTTGTCCAAGTTCCCTACGGAAGTACTCACCAAGCTAGAGGAATGGCGAACATCGAGCCATCAGTCGTGGACGGTCGCCACCCTGCGATCCGCCCTTCAGCGGTATGCCGAAATCCACCGGAATTTGCGGGAAGGTTCGGAGACTTCTGCCTCTCAGTCTTCAAGGACACCGGCCACACAGACACAGCACGGCTCACCAATGACCATGCAAGGAACTGGACACGCTCTTTCATCTCAGTCAACGCATAGTGCGCCTCCACGTCTATGTGTCTTCTGCAAGGGGACTCACTTCAACGACCAGTGCGTCACCTACAAGCTGGCTCGGACAAGACAACAGAAGCTCCGAGAACAAGGTCGTTGCTTCATTCGTCTGCGACGGAGCCATATGGCGTCCCAGTGCCCAGAGAAAACCAAGGCGTGTTTTCACTGCAGCAAGACCGGCCACAACCGAGCTATCTGCCCAGCCCATGAGAGACGTGAGCCCTCCAAAGGCAGCTCAAGGCCACAACCAAATGGCTCACAACCTGCCAGGGCCGTCTCCACACAGGGTAATGATGAGGAACTTGCAAATACGTGCTCCGCCAGTCTCGTGTCAGAGGGTCCCAGCGACAAGACTGGTGCAGTATTCCTCCAGACAGCACAAGTGCAGATTCAAGCTGCCGATGGTAGCTTTATCACCGCGCATGCGTTACTGGACACCGGCAGCAATCGCACGTACATGAGTACCCAGCTCAGCAAGCAGCTTCAGCTGCAGCCGGAGAGACAAGAGTCATTGACCCTCATCACCTTTGGAGTGACACACCCACGCAGTGTTGTTACATCGGTCGTTCAGACGTCCATCTCACTGTCCGACGGACAGAGGTACCCCATCAAAGCGAATGTACTCGACACCATTACACGACCTATCCGACGCTACCCTCTTCCATCTGAAGATGCGAAGTTCCTGGCAGGCGAACCATCCATTCAAATGGCAGACACCATACCATCAACAGCCGAGACGAGGGCCATTGACATTCTCATTGGTTCTGATCATTACGGAAATCTTGTGCAAGGATCACCGCAGCGTCTACCGTCAGGTTTGTACGTGATGGATACGCTCTTGGGTCACATCGTCACAGGACAGTGTTCGTCCAAGTCGGATGACAGCAACAGCTCAACGCTTCTTGTCATGACGCAGGCAAGCACCGGTCTACAGCGTCCGCTATATGACTACATGGCAACCGCCGACTCTGCTCTGCTTGCTGAAGTCGAACCAAACTTGACGGAGTTTTGGTCGCTAGAAAGGATCGGTGTGGAGGACCCAGCAAGTCTCCCAACAGATGACGACACAGTTCGACAGTTCGAGGAGACCGTCACGTTTGCCGACGGCCGCTACACAGTCCAGTTTCCATGGAAGCCCGACATGCAGCTTCCACACAACAAGGACCTAGCCTACGGAAGGATGAAGTCACTGGGGAAACGGCTTGCAGCAGATCGAGACCTGCTGACCAGGTACAACGACGTGCTGCTGCAGCAGGAACGGCTTGGCATTATCGAGCGAGTCACAGAGAAAACCAAGTGCGGTCAACGCTCGCACCATCTGCCGCACCATCCAGTGTTGTCTCCTTCGAATGACTGCCTGAATCAAGGGCCGTCCCTCCTGCCTAGCCTCTGCGGCATTCTGCTACGATTTCGCCTGGCCCCGATCGTGCTAATCTCAGATATTGAGAAGGCATTCCTGCAAGTAAGGATTCAAGAGACAGACCGTGACGTCACCCGATTTCTGTGGTATCGTGACATCACTAAGCCGGACGTCATCGTGGACAACATCGAAGTCTACCGGTTCTGCCGACTACCATTTGGCATCATCAGCAGTCCGTTCTTGCTGGATGCCACAATCAGGCATCACCTTGACAAACACAAGACAGCCACAGCAGCCGAAATTCGCAAGAACATCTACGTGGATAACATCATGCTGACGGCTGGTACTGCAGAGGAAGCCGAGGTCAAGTACCGCGAGACTCGGCAGGTGTTCAACTCCGCGTCCATGAATGTACTCGAGTGTGACGGCGACGAACACGAGCCAGAAAGTTCTCGGCCTGCAGTGGGATACCGTCGCCGACACATTCCACATTCCAGGTGTGAGCTCCGAGTCGCCTGACGTCGACAGCATAGCATCCAAACGGCGTGTTTTGCACAACGTAGCACGCATTTATGATCCACTCGGACTCTTCAACCCAGTCACCTTCCATGCCAAAGTGTTTTTGAGAACGCTTTGGAGGGACGACCTGTCTTGGGACGACGCTCTACCCACAGAACGACTCGAGCAATGGCAGTCCATAGAGGGTATACTTGAGCCGGTCGCAGACATCCGTATCCAACGCCGAACCTCCACTCTGAAGTCAGTCACCGATCGACAACTTCATGTCTTCTGTGACGCATCAAAGGACTCCTATGCAGCGTGTGTCTACCTCCGTGAAGCCAACGGACCTGATGCGACATCGACACTGCTCTTCTGCAAGATGCGATTGGCGCCAGCAAAAAGGGAGCTCACCATACCCCGCCTAGAGCTCATGGGCGTAGTCATTGCAACCAGAGCTCTGCTATTTGTGCGCAAAGAGCTCGGCATCGACATCACGAAGAGCTTCCTGTGGTGCGACTCACAGTGCGTTCTCCGCTGGCTTGTTACGCATAAAGACCTGAGTGTGTTCGTCCGTAACCGTGTCAAAGAAGTCCAGCAAGTAGAAGATCTGTCATTCCGGTATGTTCGCAGCGAAGACAACCCTGCAGATCTAGCAACGAGAGGCGCCACTGTGCCTGACCTCAGTGACATCTGGTGGCACGGACCTCACTGGCTGCGACAAGCCGAGGACAACTGGCCCACCTGGCAGCGACCTCCCATCACTCCAGAAGATTTCAAGAATGTGATGGCCGAGTGCAGGGGACCCAAGGCTGTCTTCGAAGCATCACTTTTCGCCAACACGGAAGACACACCTGTCGTACAATCGACTGGTCTAGCTGGGATCGAGCCGGGACACCGACAGCTGTCAACTCTATTGCGAATCACCGCCAATTGTCTGGTCTTTCTACGAAAGAAGATCTGGCAGCGACTCTCCAGTGACAGCCAACAGAAGCTGAGGACGAAGCACCCACTCCTCGCAACAGTCCTGTCTGAAACGCCCTCCATTCGCCTATCTAACTGCCTTTGGGTGAGGCATATCCAGCAGCAAAGCTTCCCAGACATGGAGTCGAAGAATAGCAGCATAGTGACGCAACTCGGCATCCACGCAGATCAGTATGGTGTGCTCCGGTGCCACGGAAGACTTGGCAAGGCATATGACCCATTTCGGCAACAGGTACCCGGTATAGTTGCCTATTAAGTGAGAGAACACTCCATTAGCCTCACATTTTAACTCTGATAGTTTCATAGCAGCCTTAGCTCAAAACACGCAATACACTAGGCCCTTTCGTGAGAACCACCCCGCTGCGTTTGTTCATTAGATCCAAATTGCTTTCTATTCGTTATCACCCTTTCTTCTCTTTACCCAGTAGTGTAACATTTTGCTGGCCGGAGTGTCGTGATATGCATCCCGATGTACCACTTGTAGTGTAATGACTGCTGTCATGACTTGGCCTGGTCTAGTCGTGCATAGCTGACTCTAGTTACTCTTGTCCCCTACTGACATTGTGTTTCACCATTAGTACACTTTGCCTCTACTCTAGTCGGTGCATGAATAGCCGTTCCTAGGTTTACATGTTCCATCGTGCAGTCCGTAGTGCACGCGACATTCTCGGCTTGACTTCCGCTGCACTGGCAGCCAGCCAGTTATTATTCCTTTGTGATGGTAGAGAAAGGTTGTACATTGTCTTGGCTCGTATCCAGTAACTCTTTGGGAATGAGGGTACGGATTTGAGAAGTAAGTTGGAATCACTAACTGTAGTTACTTGTGTGACTGGATTGGTTGGGATTAGTAAAGTGAAACTCTCTCGAGACGTTTAGGTTGTGCGTCAGTCGAGACACTCTTGCTTATGGACTCTTGATATTATACATGTGAAAGTGTTCTATTCGAAATTGTGCTCTATTAAAATATATTTAAAAAAAGTATATACATGTACAAGCATGATGCTACTCCTTACTTCAAGGGTATGACGGAGCTTCTGGTGAAAAAGCGACTAGTAATTACAATGCCCTCCACAGCGATTACAAGAAACTGAGCAAAAGTTACGATGTTGCCAGCTCCTTTGTCTTGCCTGCGATCAGAAACAAGCACCAAGAACATACAGCTAGCCTCTCATGGCCTCTTCAAAATCAGCCATCTCGTCACACTGAACACTCGTACTTTATAATAGCTTCCAGTGTCACTACATTCGTGCAACATCCGATAAATACTAATGCCACGGCCAGCACCTGGCCCTGACTGAAAGCCATTTCTGTGAGTTCTGATCACTTGAGAATATTTCTACAGAGAATTTTCAAATCCGGACAAGGGAAATTGTCGCCCCCAGGCGAAGACTGTACGTAAGCTCAGGGATGGTTCACAAACATCCGATGAGTGAGACAACACTGCACTGGAGAAAATAAACTACGTATGAGATGGCGTTTACGAACAACAAGTGACGAGGACAAAGTGTACACCATGGCCATGGGGGAAAGACTCAAAACCGAAAATAGCAAAGCCGTCTTTGCTCGTGAAGACGATGACGACGTTCACAAACCTGTAAACACACGTCATTTTCTATTAAATTATTTTTGTCTTGGCAACCAGACGTAATCGCTCAGAAAACCGTAGCTTGGATCCGCGGGCTTTTCGAAAATGTGCGTGTCCCGATCCATGCAGGCGGAGTTCGATTTGAAATGTCAAAGAGAAGTTTTAGCCAGGTCGGCTGCACGAACCTGGTGAGCCTTGTCGAGCAGTTTCTTGTTCCAGCCCTGCTTGTAATGGTGGTGAGATGTCTGTCAAGCACCTAGACCTCGAACTGGAGATTGTTTAGTCATTATGGAGATCTGAACGTGAGGATGCCTCGCTCGAACTACCGTCCATCACCCAACGAACAGGTTTGAAAGAATTGACCCACGTGTAGAGCCTACTTGCACCTGAAGATAGAAGTAGAGCTGTTTTTTCTGGCAAACAATGCAAAATAAAAGAACATTGTTGCTCACGTTCACAAATTTTCTTTACATTTTGAAGTTCGGAGTGGGGAGGGGTTGGTGTCACTGACCACTGACTGTGGAAAAGAACGTCAAGCACTGAATCTACAGTCTAGTCCAACAATGCCTACTGAGCTATGATCATCACAAGGAGTATATGACTCTTGTTGTCGTTGATGGGCACCGGGCACTAGCAAAGTTTGAAACCATTATGGTCCATATTGTTTGAGAAACGCAGCACATCAAGGACCTGTTGAAACTTGCTCCTCTCCTTGGCTGCACATCAAAGAGAAACTACCTTTACTATCTCACTTAGCTGTGCTTTCTTCCCTATTTCATACTTTCTTCTTCCTACCCGATGTATTGGGTATCGCCCTCATCTCGGGGTCTGCTCCCCATATCAGTGTAGCTTGCATATGGAATGAGATCGAGTTGAATAAATAAAATGAATAAATAGAATCCCCAGATGCATACCACAGCACTGCTAATGCCAGTCACCATGGCTGTTCTTGCTGTTCATTTGTTTGTTGTGCAGGCAGCAAAAGCCAAGAAAGATTTTGAGGAGCGGAGGAAAGCACGCCTCCTACAGGTATATTGTGCAGTGCTGGTCTGAGCTGTCACCCCTACATCCAGTTTGCTAGGATCTTTTGCACCTGCAGTATTACGTGGATCTATGTCCACATTGCCTTACATGTGCCAGTGTTACCTTGCACTTATTCTCCGTTTGTCAGCACTAATGTAACCGCAAAGCACACAATCACGCTACTTCATTTTCACACTTACTCTCTGTATAAAACAGTGCTATTCACAAGTTCTAGCCGTTCAATATTCTTACAACTTTCACTGATGAGATCTGTAAGATCGAAACAGCTATGCGGAGGAGTTAGTTATGCCAGCATGTGAAGCAACTTGTAGTAGTCGTGTTGCTGGTGTGCTGAATGAGATTGGCTGGACAGCACATGTGGTGGGGGAGTTTGGAATGAATGCTGTTCGTTGACGCTACTGATAGATGGTCGCTCAGTGCATGAAACCTGAAGTTTAAACGTTAATGCAATGAAAACAGTCTCCTGTTCTCCTCTATTTGTATATTTATTGTGTTGGTGCTCCTGGATGTCTGCTTGGAGCATTTTTCTCTAGCTTGCTCTTTCTGTTTCTCTTACGCACAACACGTTGCACCGTGTTTTTTTTGTGTTCAGGTCCGGAAACAGGAGTCTGCGATTGCGGCTGACGTCCGTGATCAGTTCCGCCGACGTCTCTCCAGTGAACATGAGCAGCTGGCTGCACAGCTGCAGGCCGAGTGGAATGACTATCAGGATGTGCAGAATCGGGTACTGAAAGAGCGCCAGGAACAGGCAGCGAAGCACTTTGGTGACGCTCACACGAAAGCAGCCGAGCAGTCGGTGAGCTTTCTCACGCTATTGATTTTGTTCTACCTGTTATAGCATCAGTGGCATCAGTGTCAGTTGCTATCTGAATCATTGACTTGATGCTCACATAGTCATTGCCTCTCTATCTTCTCTGTAGAATAAGTTTTAGTTTCAGTAGATATAAGGATGGTTTACGATACATGTACTTGTGAACATGGGGAGACCACGGTTGCTCAATAATTTAAATTAATTTCCTTCTTTTGTCTTCAGGATGTCCCTTTTCTTAGAACTGAAGAGGGCATTGAGGAAGCTAAGCAGAAGTAAGTGTGCATAATTATGCATGTGTGTGAGTGTTTATGTGAGTGTTTATGTGTGTGTGTGTGTGTGTGTGTGTGTGTGTGTGTGTGTGTGTGTGTGTGTGTGTGTGTGTATGTATGTGTGTGTGTGTGTGTGTGTGTGTATGCGTGTGTGTGTATGTGTGAGTGTGTGCGAATGTGTCAGTGTGCATGGGTGTATGCACGCGAGTGAGTGTGTGTGTATGTACATGTATGTGTGCATGCGCGCATGTGCTTTATGACTGATACGACCAACTGCATTCATACTGCTCATCTGTACTTCATCTATGCCTATTGTTTCAAAATCTATTCACTAATAGATGTGTCTGTTGTACCTGTTATGCAGAGCACAGCGTCGGCATGATGTGGCACTGCAGCGACGGGCCATGGAGGAGAAATGGCTGCAAGCAGCACGATCACGCAATCTTGAAAAACGGTGAGAAATCTTCCAAATGATGCGCTCCTGTATTGTCACATGTCCTGCTCCTTATATCGCACATTCCTGACTCTGTTTGCTGCCCGCTCTTTGCTGTATATTTCCCTTGTGAGGTGCAGATGTGTATACTATTTGCATGTACATGTATTTGCTCTTTTTTTTGCGTTTCCTCATTGAAATACATTTTAGTCGTGGTTGTTTGGGAATGGGTGCGTGCACGCGTGCTCATGTGTGTGTTTGAGTGTGCATATGATTGTGGATGTGTGTGTGTGTACGTGTGTCGATCCTTTGCCTTTTCAGACAAAGTACTATTGCTGCTGAGAAAGAGCGCTCCAGAAGGGTTGCATCCAAGCCTTTGAAAGCAGACACCCAACTATCAGTGAGGAATACTACTAGGTGTTGCTCTGCCATGTGGCTCATGTTCAAATATAATTCAATGCTTGGTAACCGACATGAGATCATAATTTATGTGCATTGTGCCCTGGCTGGCGGAAAGTACCACCTCGATGCGCATCCAGGCCAGGGCATGGAGTACAGTTATTCTCCTCTTCATCAACGTCCAGTATATAAACACAGCATATGAGATGTTGAACTACTAAAAATGATGCTCTCCTAATGCCGTGCACTTCTGCCATGTCTTTGTTCTTGTTCTTGCTTCTATCTTCAGGACCTCCTGTCAGCTTCAAGTAGTAAGTCACTGTTGTAGAGAAAGTTCTGTTTGCCCACAGGCATGCTATACTGTCACACTGATATCCTGTCTTCACAGTCTGTGGTGAAACTGAGTGTCCGTCTATTGACTGACCGTACACATGAGATATGATGGTACATTGTATGTGTCCTTTTCTCTAGCTCTTGCTTTTTCCCAGTAATTTTCTTGTTCGTTTCCTTGACATACTTTTAATATTCACCTCTTGTATATGCGTGTGTGTGTGTGTGCGTGTGTGTGTGTGTGTGTGTGTGTGTGTGTGTGCATGCGTGTGTGCATGCGTGTGTGTGTATGTCTGTGTGTGTGTGTGTGTGTGTGTGCGTGTGTGTGTTTTGCAAGGTGTAGTTGTTGGTAGTGTTTGCTCAACAAAGGCACCGCATGGTCCGACATACCATCATCTCACCGCCCATGCAGTGCAAGCCCAGGGTGATGCGGTAAGTCAAGTATCCACCCGGTTAATATGCCCACATTCTGCCATAGCACCGATGCTGATCTCTTGTTGTGGTGTTGCCTCATATGCAATGCAGTCTGGGGCAGCAGGTTAATTGAAGTGATACTACTGGCGCCAATGTAAGGACGTTCATACCCCCTTCAACATGGACCTAGTCCCTCTACCTCAATGCACACTGTATATTTATCTTGTCTTGTTCTACGGTATGTTGGATCTTCTATGTATGTACAGCGCAATGCAATGCTTGATGCAGAGAATGTAGAGAATGAGCAGGAGGTGGCACAGCAGGTAAGCAACATATCTGTCCTGTGCTCCTAGATCAGCATACACCCGGCCATGCATACATGTTTATTGAGCATACACCCGGCCATGCATACATGTCAGCATACACCCGACCATGCATACATGTCAGCATACACCCGGCCATGCATACACCCGGCCATGCATACACCCGGCCATGCATACACCCGGCCATGCATACACCCGGCCATGCATACACCCGGCCATGCATACACCCGGCCATGCATACACCCGGCCATGCATACACCCGGCCATGCATACACCCGGCCATGCATACATGTTACTGCTTTAAGAGCTGTTTAGAGAGTCTTGGCTGTCTGAGGATATTATGATAGTGAGGTGGGCCACTGCATTGACTGTGGTATTGCTGTATTGCCAAGGAACTAGGGTGACCAGTGTCATCAACATGGTGCTGTGCAAGAACTTTCCGACATGACAGTCATGTCCACTGCAGTCACAGTTTGTTATTGTGTCTTCACTGGTTGTCGGTGTGTGTGCGTGTGTGTGCGTGTGTGTGTGTTCGTGTGTGTGTGTGTTTGCGTGTGTGTGCGTGTGTGTGCGTGTGTGTGTGTACATGTGTGTGTGTGTGTGTGTGTGTGTGTGTGTGTGTGTGTGTGTGTGTGTGTGTGTTGCTCCACAGCTGAAAGACCGTTCACGACATGAGCGTGTTGAGGTTGCACGTGTGCGGCATGAACATGCTCTGCAGCACGTCCGCCTAAAACGAGTAAGTCACGGCGTACATGTCATGTGAAGTGATTGTAGAACTTGTTTCTGAGCGGGCTGTTTTTCTGGGGTTTTACTTGAAGTAGGAAAGATCTCCGATCAGCAAGTACCGGAATCAGAACAGCTACTAGAACCTGCAGTGGAGAAGTAGCTGGCTGATCTCGGATCCATTTGTCAAAGAAAACCATGATCTGATCACAGCTGATAACTACTAGCGTTATGCTCCACAGGCACTCCACTACCAACATGTTTCGAGTATAATATCATGTGCTCTTTCCTAACATCAACAATGTTGTATGTTTGACTCCTGCAGAACTATGAAGAACAGCTGGAAGAGCTGGAAACTATGAGGAAAGTTGATAGTCTGCAGCGACGGAAGCAAGTGGAGCATGTTCCTGTAAGTTTGTTTGTGTACATCCGTATGTACATGTACATGTGTTTGTGGTGGTGGGTGGGTGTGGGAGGTATGCCATGCGCTCCAGTGTGCTTTCTGCTGGCCAATTTTGTTCCAGCAGGCATGCCTTTGATTGTAATAGGTACTGCCATTTTAAAGAGTCTTGTTTTGTGTTGCATCATGCCACCAGTCCTTATTAATTAATTTTAAATATCCTGTCTCTCTGTGTCTCGTCTCTCTATCTCTCTCTCTCTCTCTCTCTCTCTCTCTCTCTCTCTCTCTCTCTCTCTCTCTCTCTCTCTCTCTCTGTTTACTATGGTAGAAACATCTCTTTGTTACACCGCTAATGAGACTGGAGCAGCAGCAAGCAGAAGAAGAGGAGCTTCAACGAAGAGTGGAGGCGATGTGTCTCAATCGGATTCCGTCCACCACTACTACTGGTGTTGCCAATAGCATCACAACAGCTGTACCTCAGACGTATCATTCTACTAGCACTGCGTCTGCTGATAGTGTCACCACAACATTGACAGGTTAGTGTAATACTGTCTACTTTACTGGTCACTGCATTAGTATCTACACACAGGACAGCGAGATACAGGACATATACATATGCATTGTATTCCTGTTCATCATTTTAGATTTGCTGATGTCTGATGCTTGTCAGCATTTTGTCTACAGACTGGCATTCTCGTTTCTCTATGTAGTAATCAGGAATATGCCCGCTAGACAGATGTAAATAATTTAATTCCAAGTTCGGAGTTAGTTTCATTGCCTTTCGGGTTCCTTCACGTTCAGTGAAAACTTGTCGGCAGGAACAGTAACGGCTGTAACACCGATCAGATGTTTGGTCTTTTTGTTCCTTCAGATTCGGTGACTCCCGAGCTGTCCTGCTCAACACTATCATCGTCTGCCATTAGCGAATCTGACGTGACGGGCATGCAGCCTCCGGATGGAGCTGCGTCAGCACATCGTCAGCATGCTGGAGCACCAGTGTCAAGTGCTTCTTCTCAGTCTCAGCCGCTTAGCCGTTTGTTAGAACACGTCCGGTCGCAGCAACAAGGCCGCCGAGCGCAGTTGGGCTCTGAGCAGGTCGAGTCACCCCCTGCACACACTTCTGCTCGCAGTGCGCCAGCCGCAGTGCGGGGGCTTGGTGCTCTACCAGTAACGTCATCCATTGCTGACGAGCATCCAGTACCTTCCACTCGCAACATTGTACCAACAAGAAGTAAGCCTACGAATTTCTCACAGCCCGTGACGTCACACAGCGCGCTCAGTACAGCTTCTGCTGCTGCTGCTGCTGGCACAGCGGTTACTGCTTCTCATGTGCAGCACACTGCTGTTAGTGACGATGACTACTCATCCAGTACGTTATCAACTTCGTCATCTCTTTCTCACTCAACTCTATCACAGCATGCTGGCTTATCCACAGCACCACCAGAAGAGACTATAGCACAGCCCAATCCACGGTATATCAGTTCTGCTGGTATGTTACATAGCCAGGCGCAGTCTCTCCAACACCAGCCACCAGCTTTCGTGCCGAGCACTGCTTTTCCAGATAATCCAACACCTTCGATTTGCTCCAGCTGTGCGCGTGATGGCTTGTCTGCAGCTTCTATCAGCTCTGGAGCAGTTGCGCCATCCCCTATACCTGCTGATGGTGCTCTCCAATCTGCTATGGCTGGCCAAGCACCAGCAGTTCCAGCTGCCGGAGGTGGGCAACCTACATATGTACTGGTGACCACACCTTCAGTGCTGACCCTGCATCGGCTACCTGCGATGGACAGCTCTGCTTCGCTCGCCTCACTGTCGGGTGGTGTTGGGCTTCCCGTGGGCCATCCGCCTACACAACCGGTAGCCTTGGGACATCATAGCTTGCCGCCTAACCCTACTGCTGCCGTGACGGTGACAGCATCTGATTATGCGGATCCTGGTCAGTCTACTTGTGTCAGCGCAGCAACACAGTCAACTGCAATGACTGTTCCTAATGTCAATTCTGCGTTTCAGTCACCTTCTCCGCCACCTCAACTGCTACCAGGCTGGGAGGAGACCCAGGCACAGCTAGCCATGTATCGGCAGAGTCAGCAAGAGCTACTGGAGCAGTTCCGTGTCAACATGGCCCAGCTACAGCAACAGCAGATGTCCCTGTCGTTGATGATGAACAGCTCCAGTCAGCAAGCATCACCATGCTCGCAGCTCTCATCTTCTCGCTCCTCCAACGAATCACCGCAGCTACTGCCGCCATCATCTCACATGCCGTTGACGTCCAGGCAGCGTGCAAGTGCTTCACCTATGATCAGTCCATCATTTTTGCATTCGCCTCAGTCTCACCTATCAGATACTTCACAACAATCTGATACCAGTCCTGATATCCTGAGAAATCGACAAGTGTGTTCCGTTTCGGATGTAGCGACCGAGACTGACTTGTCAATTCAATCTACTGCCAGTACCTTCCCAGCTTCTAGCTCGCATACATCGCGAAGCACCTCAAGCCACTCGTCATCCGGTCCTCCGAGCTCAGCTCAACCGCTGTCTGTTACTGCCTCAGCACTGTATGTGGATAGTGTTCGTCTGCTTCAGGAGTTGAGCTTCACACCAGCCACAGCCACCACCACCTCGACAGTATCCAGTGAGAGCACCAACGACGACACTGAACAGTCTCAAGCGGATCCTCGGCCTGTTGATGTCCATCCTGTGTTGGACACCAGGCCAGTCCTCTCTGTCATTGTTGAGGAGCCTAGCATCCTCTCCTCGTCCACATCCTCACTGTCATCTGTTTGCAGCCCGCCTGCTAGTCCCAGGCGTGCAGCGTCGCATGTAGCCACTGACAAGCAAAGTGATTCACCCACGGCTGCCAGTATAGCTGTCGATAGCAGCATGTCAGTGGCATGTGCTGACTCGACTCTTACCAATACTGACACCGATTCCAGTACGTCTCTATCTCAGCCCTACGAAGCACAGCTAGCTGCTCTGTTGGCACGCCTGCGTCAGGTGCAAGCTGAGCTGCCACCACCTATCAGCGCTGCATCATTATCCCAAAGTAGTCTTTCTCCACTGCCGGCCCAGAAAGCGGCCGACCCTACTGCAACTAGTGCCCATAGCAAGCCTTCATTAGGAGCCAGTGACGCCATTCCAACTTGCACAAGCAGCCTTGGTCCGCCTGTTGCTCAAAGCACAGCCTATTCGAGTCAGCTAAGGTCGTCCACTACAGGAGTCCTCGGGCCACCTCAAGCCCACAGCACAGCGCAGTCTAACATGGCTAGTGGTATGCCTGCAGGTGATAGCAGCACTGGTATTAATACACCGTCGGCTATTACAAGCAGTGCCAGTGTGGCTGTACTCCGCGGTCCTTTAAGTTCAAATGTCAGTATTGCCACTGGTACCCTGGCACCAGCACTCTCCCGTAGCAAAACAACATACTCAACTGCTATCGCACGTGCTCCATCAACCTCGGCCAATGCATTGCTGAGTGGTCTCCTGTCATCAGCTGGCATCGATACCATCGCATCTACTGTGTCTCTGGGCCCGCCAATTGGCCAGAGCACTGCCAATTCTGCAACCGGTAGCACTGGTATTGCTGCAGGCCGCCTTGGTCCCCCACGGGCACAAAGCACGGCGCACAGCACACTTGGTACTCATCTCACAAGCGACAAAGCACCGAGACTTGGTGCTAACCTCCTCTCGGATTTGTCCACTGTTTCCACCAGTGACTTGGACATGGCGTATAATATGACGTCTTCCGCGGACAGCGCTTTGCTGCCTGCAAGCACAGCTGCCACTCCGTCTCCAGCTGGTCCACGTGTATCTAGTGGTGTGCTGTTTGGTCATACCGCACTACCTCCTGCCCATACTGCAGCCAGTGCCATGGACGGTCATTTAGTGCCTGGTGCAGCTCCTACATCTGCACACCATGTCAGCTCGCCAATTTCATCAGCAGCAGCAGCGCCAATACCACTAGCGCTTGTAAGGCCATCTGCTCATGCGGCTGGCGGAGGGAGTGGTGGCATCCAATCTGTGCCTAACCCGGTCACTGCTATTCGACACGCATCATTGTCTGGTCGCCGTTCGCTGGACTTCAACACCAGAAGTACCAATGCGGCCGACATCCCCATGCCACCGAGAAGTAGCCATGCAACAGCAGCCTACAGTGCAGGGGCTATCATGACCACTGCTGGAGTTAGTAGCAGTGGTGGTGGTGGTGGTGGTGGTGGTGATGGTGGCCTTAGCAGCTCTGCTCCTCTCTCGGTTGTATCTATCAGTAGCTCACTGACCTACAGTGACTACAGCAGTTCAACCGGGGATGCAGCTACGACTGAACCAGCACAGCCAGCAGCAAGACAACCTGTTGCCAGGGCTCCAATGGTCAATATTGCACTTGGCGACTTCAGTAGTGATACGCTAGCTGACCATCAGATAGGCTCAGCACCCCTTGACAGTACAACAACAGCGGCAAGGAAAGATGTAAATGTGTCCAGTGCTCCTCGCTCGAGCCAGCTTAGCAATGAATCTGACGCAGCGAGCAGGCCTGGCCGTGTAACACCATCATTACTTGGTGTGTCTACTGGTGGTGGTGGTGCTGGTGATGGTGGTGATGAGGTTAGCTTTGATTCACCGCTACGTGGATACCCATCCCACCAGCAGCCATGGAACAGTAGGGTCTTTGAGCTCGTTCAGTCAACACCGGTGTCGGACTCATCCTCGTCATCTTCTTCATCTGCCACCGAAAGTTTCTTGCAGGCGGTAGCACCACTGTCACCTCTGAAGGGCAAACTGGCGAGCAGTCCTGGAGCTATCCTTGACAGTGCACTGGCTGTGGATTCTGTAACAGCCGGTCAGCAGTCCGCAGCCCCGAAACCTCTCCCTGCCCAAGATACATCATCATCGTCCACAGATTCCATGGCAGATTGTTCCAGAGGTGATGATGAAAGCGAGTCACTGACGACGTCCACCCCGGCAGCAGCTCAGTCGAGAAAGCCAACAGCGTTTACAGTTCCCTTGAGCAACGATGCAGCTACAAATCAGAAGTCTCAAGCCTACAGCGCTGTGTCTTTGCAAGCATCCTTCCAGCAACGACGACAGGACTTCATGAAGTCATCAGCTGAGCGTTTGCAAGCTATAAAGCAGCCCGCGGCATCGAGCAAACCGCGACCGGTGCGCAAGCAGGACCTGCATCGTTCTAGTAGCCTGGGCACAACAACTCGCAGTGGTCCCATGGAGTCTGCAGCTGCTGACTCAGACCGACATGTACGCTTTGCGTCGCCGCTTCAGGAGTTCTTTTCTTCTCCTCTGGGTAAGTCCGGCCACCACTGTAACTGGTACTAGCACACTAGTACCGTACCCCCACTCAAATTCATTAATGTGCTTTTGGAACCCAGGTGACTGCCCTTGCTTGATATCCGTACTGTACGTCATCAAGTACTCGCTGTGCTTGTCTATGCCTATGTTGTGTCTATGTCTTGCATCGCAACAACTGTGCTTGGCTCAAGCACAACGTTCTCCTTAGTTTTGCACTGCTTTGCGCTGCACTTGACATGCACTTCACCGGCTTTTGTGTGGCTTTCTTGCTCTCTCCTCAGGTTCCTTCTCCGACCAGCGTTCACCCGTCACTCCGGAGGAGATGAAAGCGCGTACGCAGCGGTATGATCTCCAGCATGTCGTGTTGCTCTGTGCGTGTTCTCCATTGCACAGGTCCTGGGAAATGCTGTTGCTTGCTAACTCTACATTTAGTAGCCTACCTGGCCTGGTAACACCGTGTTTGGGGCTTTCGTCTGTGCAACTGGGTGGCCATTGGCATGCTCAGGAGTGGACAAATCGATGTGATGATGTTGCGTGTCCGAGGAAAGTCTCGTTTTACACATTTTGTTCGGGGCACTGCGTCCGTCAATGGTGCTCAGGATCTGGCCCTTCCCAGTGCCTACCCCATTGCTGGGTCACCTCTCCGCTACCCCATGGTTGGCCATTGGGTCATCTCTCTGTTTGCTTTATGCGTTACTCACTAGTGGTGAAACGAATGTCAAAACCTAGTAGTCGAATATTCTTTGGCTTAACGAACGAACGAACGAATATTCTTTTGGTAACACAGATGACATCACATGACCTCCTCTCAGTCATTTGATGGATGTTGTCATTGTTATTAGGTATGACAAACAGTAGTGCCACATAAAATGCACTGCCACATAAGGCTACTTCGAAGTTTATACATGTTGTTTGCTACATTGGCAGTCCAGTATGCACATACATGTGCAAACATGCAGTACAAAGTCACAGGCAGGCTGTACGCACTGCACTGTACTGTGTTTGGCGTGCACGTATGAACGTGCACTGCATTCGAAGTGACGTCACGAATACTCGAATGCGACTTAAAGAATATTCGAATGTGATCAATCGAACGAATGTTCGAATATTCGAATATTCGTTTCACCACTATTACTCACTATATCTCTCCTGTTTTGTGGTGCTTCGGTCATGAACTCAGACTCTGGCATGGTTTGGAGGAGAATCGTGGAAAGAAAGCTGACGAGCTGAAGCGAGAGGAGGCTAAGTTACGACAGCAGCGCGTCAAGGAACTACAGAAGGTACAGGACAGGGTGAATGTGGCTTTCTGGGGGCTTAGACGAACTCAACACCCATGACGTCTTTATGAACAAAAGTTACAAAACCAATCTGGACTGCTCTTGCTGACAAACTGCAGTAGATATCGTGTCAGTGTGTGTGGGTGTGATACTACTGTCTTGTGTTTCAATTACTGAAGTTTAAACTCGGATACTGAGCCAGTAATAAAATGTCAACCTACGTAACCATGAACCTTCCAAGTTGGAAGGCTGTTGGTTTGCGCACTGGAGATGTGTTAGAGCTAGGTCTCAGGTCGCTGAATGTCTCAGTAGCCTGTCAGTTTTGTGCCCTATTATCGCACTTTCTGACCGTTTATCATCTTGTTTCAGTCGTGGATAGTTGCTGCATAACTCGTTCTCATGTTTCTTCTCTAATTACTGAAGTAGTAGTATTTTTTGCTGAGAAGATGGCACTGCACATCCTGGAATTTCGACGAGACGTATAACATGTGTCTGGCTTTTGTTCCTATTTTTAGAAAATCGACGCCAGTCGTTCGCGCAAGATGGCTGGGCAGGGCAAACCAAGGATCCATGCCCACCCTCTGCCTCCCAAGAACCTACAGGACATGACGGTCTCCAGCAAGCCATGGAAATAGTGCACGAGCGAATGTCGTCCGATTGTTAGTTTTAGCCCTAGCGAGCTGTATAGCGACTTTAGCCATTAGGAATAGAGGCATCCTCTTCTGCAGCCCCCGTTCTTATAATCACATTCCGTGTACTCCTTGATCCTTGATATTGATTACTCTTTCCCACCATCAGTATCTAAAGGTTATTTCCTTCATAAATGCCCGTATGATCCAGTATTCTCCGGTTATGTTCGGCAGTTAATTTCCACATGAAATCCTATGATATTTCCAGTACAAGAGGCCACACAGCCGTTCACCCCCTAGTCCACGTCCATTTCAGGTTGATCTCCCGTAGCACTGACACCGGCCGTTTAACAGCATGACTGTATTACAGTAGTGGCATTAATTAAACTCAGCTGCATGATGCGAGGCTGTCCAGTGTGCAGTGACACTGCCCAGACACTAGGCGTTGCTGTATTCAAGCTCTATTTCTCTTACTCATCCCCATCGGCACTCAGCTGCCAGTTCATGTGCTCGTTTATGTCATGCAAATAATTATTACTAGTAGTACTCATGGTGCAACCGGTGGCATGTCCTCTTGCTTTATTTATCCGAACGGTGTGCTGTGGGCATCTCTCTCTCTCTCTCTCTCTCTCTCTCTCTCTCTCTCTCTCTCTCTCTCTCTCTCTCTCTCACTCTCTCTCCGGCTCTCTCTCTCTCTCTCTCTCCGGCTCTCTCTCTCTCTCTCCGGCTCTCTCTCTCTCTCTCTCTCTCTCTCTCTCTCTCTCTCTCTCTCTCTCCAGACACTAGCTGCTGGTGTTGCTACTGCATGCTACTTAGCTATGTTACAGATAGCAGAAAACATGGACATGATTGTAGCCACACACAAATCACTCATGCTCTTTGAATGGTTGCCGATCTTGTACTGTGTGTGCGTATGAAAGCTGTCTGATCTGCAAGTCCGTAACAAGATCCACTCCTGATGCAATCATCGCGTTACAACAATCCACTCAGAGTCAGAGATTTCATGCCAGATTTACACATGGTCTGATGTTCTTGTCCCAAGCGCTTCGCGGATTTTGTTCACATGTGAATCATGTGATCCTCCAGCCGGCTACATACCGTCACCTGCAATGCCAATCTGGCAATCAGTTCGCTGGTGAAAGGCAGAGCTAGAGAAGTGCCGGTAAGTAACTTTCAGACACCTGCCTAAAAGTAAAAGAATCTGGAACGAAGTAGATACCGCCTTCTTCCCACCCTCGTCATACCCACAGACTCGGATCGCTTGGGATAGCTCAAGAAAGTTGTTCTTTTCTGGATTTCATCGCTCTTCTAGCTTCTGCTATCTGCCATGAAGCTCAGTATATTGTTGACGCTGGCCGCGGCGGTGACTGCTTGTCACTCAGCCACTGTTCATCATGAGCATGCCCGCCAGGCTGAGCCATCACCGCTGACACTGCTGCCCGATGCTGTAGCCAAGGTGAGCCGGTTCAGATGTATTTTGAAGTCGCTGGGACGGTTTGTAGAGGTCATGTTCATTACCAGTGCCGCGGTTCTGTTTTGCAAATCCACACTTTACCGGCGGTAGATCTACACTGACTGTATGCATGTCATGAATTATCTGCCAAATCGATGCAATTATTGCAGAGCCCCGGCCCCACACTTATTTGCCTTTGGGTCTGTGGGGGGGGGGGGGGGGGGGGGCTGCTCCCAAATCCTCCACTATATTTTTAATTTAAAAAGTAGCAAGCAAGTCGAGTGTCCACCATGCACTTGAAAACACCACCCAACACTGGTGTACTGATGAGGGTCATGACCTAAGAACACTCCAGCTCACCCGTGACCTTTAGTTGTACGTCGTGACCTGGCAGTGGCACTGTTGTGATACCGTTGAGAGACTTTGCTATGATAATCTCATTTTCATGCACTCGAGGAGTTATAGATACCAATGCCATTGTGATGTCATCCGTACATGTTCTGGACAAAATGGGTGCTTTCAAGAGACTTTCCGTGCTTTGCAGAAACATTGCGACACCCGTTTCGTTCTGCAGGTTCAAGTCCAAGCACCTGGTCTCTACGGCTGTGTTTACATGAGAGTTTTCGACCCGGGTCAGATTTCAACCCGCCATGTACACAACATGAATGGCGCGTTTACATGACGCATTGCGCTTGACCCGGGTTGAAATCAACCCGGGGGCGAGAAAATCGTACTCACGTACTTCTGTGCGTACCTCGCGCCAGGTTTGAATACCACACTGCACATGCAAATTTCGCGCGAAAGTATTCATGTGACCATACTGGACTCTAGAAGTGGACTTTTGGCGGCATATCAGTATTTGAGCCGGGTCAACTGTCTTCATGTAAACGCTCACCTATTTTGTCTATCGTACAGACTTTCAACCCGGGTTGAAAAATCTCATGTAAACACAGCCTATGACTCCCAGGTCTTACTTGGCCATGCAGTACTCCTGCTTCCTGACTGTAGATCATGGGAAAATGCTCGTGCGGTACCTTTTACCAGTTCACGGCACTTGCAATCAAAATACAGTACCCATCCTTGCCCGTCACATTGCCTAGTGCATAATAGCAGTACCGTGCAGTGGCTGGTGTTGGTATCGCTATACACTGATCTACTCCCCTCCCACCGCTTTAGGAGCTGCATCTGCGCCTTGATCCATAGCGAGTGACAAGGCAAAACTGGTTCAGTCTCTCTGACTCAAAACACAGGTAGTATTCTCAGGGAACAATATTGCACGAAAAGACAAACGTAGGTAGCACAGAACTAACTTATAATATATTGAAAGACTCAATAAGTGAAGGTAAGACAACAGAAACAACGGAAGCAAAGACTCTGCAACACTGAGCTGGGCAACTGACACACGGATCTATATACGGTACGAGATTGCCAGTTACAGCTCCGAGCGCTAGCTAGCGAATGAAAGCAAGGGATCTGATGGTGCCAGCAATGCATAGTGCAATACATAGTAATACATAGTGATTTGTGTAGGGGAAAGTCCGTCTACTACACGGGTGGTGGCGTTCCTACGGATGCGTAAACTCGGCCTCCAGCTGAGTCTAACGCGAAACGTGCGGTTTTTTAGTGCTGTAAACTCAGGAACGTCGGACACGCTACGGTCACAACGGTTTTGACCGTACCACTCTTTGCCCCAGGTGCCCCGTGAATCAATAAAAGGCACAGATTTGGCCTCTGAATGTTGGGAAATTTCTGAGGACACACCCCAACCCCACGAGTATATTGTCCTTCAGATGGCTAACCGTACCACCCTGAAATACCTTCCGACGCCCCTGAAACTAATAATTACAATATATAATGGCACGCAGAGTCTAGATAGCCGGGAACCTCTTAGAACAGACTCCGGGGCAATGCCCCTGTATACTATCATGCCTACTGCTCTTTAATACAATCATCATTGTATCGTGCATGCTACAGGGTGCTGTATGCCTGGACGGCACAGCTCCCGGTTACTACTGGAGACCGGGCACGGGCACGGGAAAGAACAAGTGGATCGTTCACCAGGAGGGCGGCGGATGGTGCTATAACGAAGATGACTGCGTTGGGCGCAGCAAGACGCGTCTGGGCTCATCCAAGTACTTCCCGAAGTCCATGACATTCGGCGGTCTGCTCTCGGATGACTGCACGGCTAATCCGGACTTCTGCACGTACAATGTTGTCTTCCTGCCATACTGCGATGGTGCTTCCTTCTCTGGAAACAAGTAAGAACCAGCCTGGGAGTGCTTTTAAAAACGGTTTTCAGTGCAAGTACATGTACCTGCAAATTCTTGCTATTGTGTACCTACAAGACTGCAAGACTTAGTTAGTACTAGTACACGGTGCTGCTCAATGAAATCTGATCAAGCGAGTCAGCTTTGCACTCTGCACGAGTAAACATCCCAGTGTTTGTAGATTTAGGGCTGCACAGCGCCCAGCACGTACATCATTCACGAAATCAGACTCCATCGAGCAGCACTGTACATGTGCGTGTGTGCCCCCCCCCCCCCCCCCCCCGGGTAAGATGCATGTATGGATCTCAGTCTTAGTGAACTGTGTGCTATGTACGTGTACAGGAACTTGAAGTTGAAGTTGTAAAGCATGTTGGGGTACCAAAGCATGCACTGAGGAATCATTTTCACTGTTATGTTTGAACTTAGAACACCGTTTCCGAATCAAGCCCTTTCACATGTGCATGTGTGTCTGCTTGAAGTGCATTGCCGTGGATGTATGCAGCCACGCACATGTATTGAGTTTTGCCCCTCTCCAGGGACACGCCATTGGAATGGAAGGGAACTACGCTGCACTTCCGGTAAGCACATCCTTTCATGTACAATTCAAAAGTGTTTTCCCTTACATAATAGTATCTGTGACTGACGCTGTTACAGGTTCTTACTTGCCTGAAATGTTCCGCAACGGACCACCAAACCAAGTTACACCCACACTCCTCACTGTGTGGATCACAAAAGTGATGTGTTGATGTATACCGGCACCCGTGGTTGAAATCTTGTCATGTTCTTGCTGTGCCCGCATGGATTTTTCTGTTCCAGTGGGAAGAGAATTCTCGATTCTATCTTCGCTGCCCTTGCCGAGCATTTCAGCACTGCGGAGGAATTCATTCTGACCGGCTGCTCAGGTAACGCCGTTGTGTAGTAGATTCAGGTAACGCCATTGTGTAGTAGATTTACTTGTAGCCATTGTAGAGGTATAGTCGAGTTGCGTGTTTACCTGCTGTACACCTTTTAGCAAACCGTAGAGGTATTTTTAAAATTAAAAAAAAACCCTGCTGAGGATTGCCAAGTATGACAGCATACATGATTAAACTCTTTGCTCGAGGTTGCATGAGATTTGTTGCTCTGAGTCTCAATCACTCGATGTCATACTCTGAAACACACACACACACACACAACTGGTGTATCCTTACTTTAAAAACAGTAGTGAAAAAAATGAAGCCATCACCAGCATGTCGGCTTCACTGTGTCTTCATTTTATTTTTGTTTTTGTTTCCTGCATGCAACACCGGTGTTGGTGTGTCCAGCTGGTGGCCTCGCTACATACCTACACGCTGACTACCCACCAACCAAGATACCCAGTACAACCAAGTATGCAGCCATTGCTGACGCTGGGTAAGCCACCGCTCTACACTGCGTCAACTATTTGCCAGTACTCTTCAGACTAAGATCATGTCACAGTGTGTCTCACACTCAGAATCTGTCAAGGCAAAAATACCATGTACATGTATTTCCTACGCATGCGCAATATGAATGATGACAATGAAAGGAGTCGTAATATGACTTGTACTAGACATAGCAGATCAATGATGTCCAAAGAATGCTGCAGCAGCTGAAGGGCAAGCGCTAAGAAGTAAGCTGGTACGGTGTGTTTACTGTGCAACATAAAACACATCTTCTTAGTTCTGGTTTGTTTGATCATCCACTGTGACTTTGACAGTTATTTCATCGATGCACTGGATGAGGATGGCCAGCAGCTGATCCGACCCAAATACCAATACGGTGAGTGGAAGCTACATTATGTCATACAGTCATTGCAGCTGCATGGCATTATTATAGTCATTGCAGCTGTGCGCATTGGTACCGTGCTGGTACATCTGCACTCACCTATATAATCCCATTGCGCAATGATGTACACGTGTAGTTTATAGGAGCAACCGACCCCTAATGAGAGTACACACATCCCTGCCTCTGTAACACTACTGCATATAATCAGATCTTTGCTGTTCATTCCAGTATTAGTTGTCTGATGGTTGCCTATGGGCATGCAAAAGTTACAACGAATGATGCATGGTTCTCTGTGGGTCTGTGCCGTGTGTAGGAGCAACACCCTGTCTTATACAGATGTTTTGCTGCACAGTAATAGATACATGTCCGGTGAATGTAAAGTGGCAGTTATGTTATGCATTTGCCACCGTGCTGCCTTTCCGGGACATAATCATGGCACGCTTGCATTTCCCGCACCAGGGCAGTCTCATCCAGTGTGCGGGTCGTAGTCATGCATGTCTGTGATGTGTCTTCTCAATGAATCATATGATGTCATGCATGTCTGTGATGTGTCTTCTCAATGAATCATATGATGTCATGCATGTCTGTGATGTGTCTTCTCAATGAATCATATGATCCATGTACTGTAGTGTACAAGATGCAGAATGCATCCAGCGGAGTCAACCAGGACTGCATCACCAAAACACCGGAGGCCGACCAGTGGAAGTGCTTCTTTGCTCAGTACACCATGCCACACATCAAGTCCCGTTTCTTCGCCCTGAACTCACAGTACGACACATGGCAACTACCAAACATCCTCAATCTCCACTGCCTGCCACCAAAGTGCGAAGGAAAGGACGAGACGGCCTTCGAGGGCTGGAGAGCGGTAAGCTATTTGAATAAGTTGGTTTATACTAATTTCTACATGATATGCCTCTTTTAGTGGCTGGATTGTGTACTTCGAGTGCTCGTATAGGGGATTTTGGATCTATGAGCACTATACGGGGTGTGCACATCATATAGCGACCTGGACTGTCTATGGAGTCCGGGATGGAAAGCTACATATATCAATTTCTACGATATACAAGTACATGTATATACAATTGTTAAGCCGTGGCCTAATGGCTTTAGCCACGGCCCATGCAGGCAAGTGCGCTCACTTTGCAAAACATACCAATATTAGTGCGGGCCTACAGTTGTGTGGATGCGCACAGCAATATAAGAATACTTCTAGCCAAAATCACTTGTCAGTGACTTGGAATGAGTGTCTCTAGTCAATGGCATACAGCTGTCGTAGATTATTATCAGTCCAAGCTACTGGCCTCTAGTTGTGCACAGCATGCAACCCTGTCATTTACACATCAGAAAGATACATGGCACTCTTACCAACCTTTTGCCGTTATCTTACATCCGCTCCAGACATTCCTTGCTGCCTTCCAGCCAGTGATCAACGGCTCGTCAACAACGGGAACGTTTGCCGACGCATGCTTGACACACTGTCAGAGTATGTCCAACGCCTGGAGCGAGTACAAGATCGGAGGACAGCTGATGCGCGAGACCTTCGCCGATTGGTACTTCCAGCGCACGACTGGCAAGGGACGAGAGATGGACGGGCCATACCCGTCAAACCCCACCTGCCCGCATCATGTCACCGAACTGGATTTCGCGACAAATGTCGTGTAAATTCCGGTCAGCATTGATAACGCCATCGATTGTCAACACAGTGCTCTTCTAAATTGCCATGACAACCGGTCAGTGATTGGCCAACGCAGCCATGGAAATATAATATATCGTCATTGTCAGATCGGCCATAAAAAACGGTGACATGCCGTTCAGAAACACAGAAAGTACCTTCTGTAATGTGGACATAAATTTGGACATTTCTACAGATTTGAAGTGTTTGCTGGTTTCAGTCCAGCAGCTGTTTCATCTCTGCATGCATAACTCGTCAGTGCCACATTTCTATTAGATTTTCTCACTTAGTATTGTTGTCGACTAGAACTGTCATGGTGCTGTGTGTGCCGTTGTTTTTCAATTGTCACAATTACATTTCAAAGACTTCTAATCGTAATCTGAAGTGATCGATGCGTTGAGGTCTCATTCTGCGCATTGTAATGGATTCGCAAGTGCCGTCTTCAGACTGGCGATCACTGCAGGCTAGATTGTAACGTTATCAATCTAGCCTGCACTGCATCCAACCATGACATAGCACAGGGCAAAACGCTGCTCTAGTGTAGATAGATCCATAAGCCCCAACGCTCAGCAATGCCATTTCATAGCCGTGTGCCCGGTAGTCCACGGTTGGGTTGCAAGGGCATAGGGGTAGGCAGTACGCTCGCACCAGTACACTTGTCAAGATGAATCAGATGACACTTGCAGTTCGTCCGTTGTCATTCACCTGTGAATCATCATGATTGTTACGTGCACACTCCTTACACACTCCTACTTGACATTATGTTGAGTCTCAGTGCAGCGAGCAAGTGTTCATCATACATGTAGACTCGTAGAATCAAGAGTAGGCAACTGGTGTCCCCAATGGCCGGTGTGTGTGTGTGTGTGTGTGTGTGTGTGTGTGTGCGCATGCGTGTGCGTGTGTGTGCGCGTGCACGCGCACACATACGCACATCGGTGCGCTCATGAAGGGTCTTCAGGGTTGGGAGGGGCACTGTATACTGACAAATTGTGGCGGAATGAACCATGCAATGATAATAATAATAATAATAATAATAATAGTAATTAGTGTTTACTCCACATGCTGCAGGCTCCACACTGGCATGCATTGGATATTACCATGATTACACTGCTGTACTGGCATTGAGGCAATGCCAATGATGATCTCGCCGGGACCATCATTGTGGACTACATGTACCAGCTGGAGAGGGGTGGACGGGCTTGGGCACTTGCACTGCGTCCACCAGGCACCAGGTCCACAGGCACAGGTCAAATGTTTGTCCAAAAAAACAGGTCCCGTCCGTTGTCAATGACGACGGGGACAGAATGAAAGATGACGACGCTACTATGGCCTTGTCCCACATTTTCCTATTTTCGTGTTTTATTTGCTGGTGAAGGACTGGAAAGTGGAGTGGTTTTCCAGTTCTGGAGCTTCAGTGGCATGGTGTCTGGTTCAGTGGTTGGTTTACACTGCAAGTATTGTGTGGAGTGTAATAAATCTCTGTGCAGGTGTAGCTCAACGATACTGGGTTGCAAAATTGTTCAATTTTGATTTCTGCGCTGGTTGTAGACTGTAGACTTGTCGTAGCCATGTCCCGCATTTCTCCCATTGCTCGAGTGCTTGCGACTGTACCCAGTGGCTTGGAAACACTGGCTGTGGAAGAATGCAAGCTGTTGCCCTTTGTGCAGTCGGCCACTCATCTCAGACGTGGGAAGATAGAAATTCGCCTTCCAGCCGACGACGTAAACAAGGTGAAGTAACTAGTTCTTTGCCTGCACTGCAATGTTTACTTCCCTATTCCTGATATTATAACAAACAACAATATACAGGAGTTCTTTGTAGCCAAATTGTTTTCTTTATGTTGAACAGGAATGCACCCAAACTATATAAGCAATACCGTAGAATCCCGCGGATAAGCCCCCGGGCTTATCTATTTCACAAGGACATTTCGGTGGACTTATGAAAGGATTGAACGGATTCAAAAATGCACCGTGGCGCGCCTGAATCCGTTCAATCCTTTCATCCTTGGATGTCTAGTGCACTCGTACACGACATCCCCCTCAGCCGGGCTCAGACTCGACCAGAGTGCCTTCTCTCCAATGTGTCTAGTACACTCGTACACGACGCCCCTCTCATCTCAGGCTTGACCAGAGTGCCTTCTCTCCTAGTCTGGTACACTCGTACACGACGTCCCCCTCAGCCGGGCTCAGACTCGACCAGAGTGACCTGACCCTAAAGCTGCCGAGTGATCCTTTACGGACCTCCCGGCCCATTGCCTTAGTCTTGTGTGTCCTAGTTCGACCAGGAGCACTGATTAGTTCAATTCCTCCCAGTTTTCTTTGGATACTTGGGTCACTCGGCGTTTCCGCTGAGTGTCCCTGAGCCTGCCGTCTCTAGGACTTGTCATCTGGTCCTCCCTTCCGTGCCTCCCGATACACCGTCCTAAGCCGGTAGTGTGTTACCCGCGTGTGTTGTAACACTTCTCACACATTACACCTGCTGGCGTTCCCGTCAGCCTGTGTGTCCTCTCCTGAATATGCTGTATCTTAGCCTTGCCTGACTAAAGGACAGCATCTCCCCTCATTTCTAGAAAGAAAGTGAATAACGACCACTTTCATTCTAATGACTGCATGACCATGAAGAAGTAGTTCAAACTGCAGCTCCCGATATACCACCGGTGATGGCACCGTGTAAAAATGTGTTACACACCTATACCCGTTCTTACCGCTGAACAAGCGTGACTCCAGAGACCCAACCCTGTATGTCAATGTCACTGCCGAATATTTATATCCCGAACCAGCCCTCTTGCGAGTACACTACTTGTCGGTTCTAGATATATGCCCAGGTTCCTTGCTTCACGTATCAAAAAAGGCGTATACATGCCGCCAGGTTCTGACCAAACAATCTCAAGAAAATGAGACTTCCCCACAGTTTTGGTCCTAGCCTCCATTCCTCACCATACACGCGATCAGAGCGCAACCAGGTTCAGATAAAAACACTTTTATTGAATTGACATAATAATTATGTGATTCAACAAAGAGGCCGCATATCACTGTGACGCGGACTTGTCGGGGTAGTCGGCAAGTCCGTTGGTATTTCCGTGTCAGTACTCGTGTCCTTCTTACTAGACGCCTTGTCTTTCTTGGGCTTACGTGAGTTTTTACGAGTTTTCTTTCTCGGTGGCTCTTCGGATTCATCAGTGCGGTGGCCGGCATGCCGGCCCAATATCCGAAAGGATGTCAGGGACAGAAAGTCCAGGTCTTCCTTCAACTTCCTCAAGTGTCGCCCTTGGTCAGGTCGACCTACGCCTTCGAATAGAGCTATTGCCCGTTCAACTCTGCATAGTCGGAGTCTCCCGCCCCTGGCCTGCTTCTCGCGTAAGGGAGTTGAGCTCCTCTATCATTTCCTGTGCCATTCTGGATAAGACAAAAACGCCACACCAGAAAAAGAACCGAGGATTAGTTCACATTGAGTGACGGATCCTGGTCACAGCACCAAATGTCATGACCCGACCCCAAGGGTCAGTCAAAAGCCTGCGTTGCGAACAACACCAAATAGGACCGCCACAAAGTGTGAGCAAGACCCAGAATCCCAAGTGCACAATATATACACGCCATCACTCAACAGCCCACCAAGAGTTCCATTTCCAAGGGCATACCTTGTAGATAGGTCAGAGGTAGAGTAAGAAAGAGGAGATCAAGATAGAAGCAGTACCGGAGCGAGAGGACGAACGTATAAAAGACAGGGACTTATATTCATAACAATAACTAACAACAGCCAATCAGAGCACACATACTGTACTTACTAGTCATATTAGACGGCGGGACAAGTAACGGACAAAGCTAGATTCATAATGATTGAACGTCTCATAACGGCGGAATACAACATGCAAGAATGGAAGAAGATACTAGTAGACTATGACAGTTAGAGAACAAGGCGCGAGATTATGCAGTATCGTAGCAGTTGTGTATAATTACGTAGTAAGTGCGTACAGTAGAGTCGCGCGCTGAAGAACGTGGAGCCCAAGAACGTCCAGCCTGAAATACTAAGAACGCCACAGCCTAAAGCTAAGAACGGCAGTGTTGGTTTTCTGGGAGCTTGTGAGATACATATGTAACATTCTCCCAATGTACAAGTCAGACAGTTTCCTAACCACAGCTAGAACAGCACTGTCATTATAGTTTCTGGGACCATGATTCTCAAACCAAAACCACACTCGAGTGAAGTGAAAACAAAAGAACCACAAAAAGAACAGAAAGCCTGCACATGGCATAAAGAATCCAAGATGGGTGCCATGACATCATCAGAGTCTACAGTGAAAGGAAAAAGGAATGAGTTGCCGAGTCTGGGGTTTGAACCTGTGAGAGGCGATTTGTATGAAACCGTAAACTTAGGTAAAACTACAACTTGGGAAAGACAACAAGGATAGAGGACTATTATGCATAAGTTACAATCCTGGAATGCCACACATCCCTCGGCTTTGCAAACGTCGCGTCCTCGCGACAACTTTACTACTACAAAAAAACATGACGATCTATGTCGGATTAGAATAAGTGCATGTGGAGAATAGTAGGGTTGATTATAAATAAGGAAGTCAATGCTCTCAGAATGCAATACTTATTTATTTCGGACTACATCGACTGCACGACCACTTCAAAACAGAAGCAAATTGTGTCTGTGCTAGATTACATTTACTGTGGTGATATTAATAGTGATGAACATCATAAGTTCAAAGGAAATGGCGTGTCATGGGTCAATAGCATGAGCTCACCTATACCTCTGAGGGAGCTGCAGGTTACCTCTGTGTCGCAATCCATACCCGTGTGCTGCTGCTGGTAGCAGTTGTGGTACAACAGGTAGCTGGACATCATAGTGTACTTCTGCGTGATACTGAGGCTGAGTAGGTACAGCCGTGGGCGGAACAACTAAATCAGATGGAGCCACAGCATTCGGAGTAGCAGTGTAAAGCTTCAATCGGTCACAGTGTACAGTCTGGACTTTGCCCGTGGAATCGGCAATGGCAAATACAACATCATCGATCTGAGATACAATGGTGAAGGGGCCTTTCCAGGGTAGATGAAACTTTCGCGTCAGGCCGGTCTTTACTGCTGGGTTATGTAGGCTAACGCGATCACCAATACTGAGACGAGGCTTATTCGCGAACTTATCATACAGAGCTTTCTGGCGTTTCTGAGCAACTGCCCCAGAAGCACGAGCATGATCAAAAGCTTGCTGTAGGTGACACTTCAATCGCTGTACATAGTCGGTGGCGGTGAAGGCCTGCTGTGTAGGACTGTTGAACATGAGATCAATAGGTAGGTGTAACTCACGACCAAACATCAATCTAGCGGGTGTCTCCCTTGTGGAGGAGTGAACACTGGAGCGATAGGCTAGAAGACATCGTTGTCAATGTTCATCCCAGTTGGTGTGGTGATCATTCACATGAGCTGATAACATGTTCTCAATGGTTCGATTCATGCGCTCCACCAGACCATCACTCTGTGGTCTATACGCGGTAGTGCGCGATTTCCGTATATCCAATAGTTGACATATCTGCTTGAACAAATGCGATTCAAACTGAGGTCCTCTATCAGAGTGAAGTTGATACGGCATGCCGTATCGACAGAACACACCATCAACTAATACAGTGGCGAGTGTCTCGGTACGCGTGTCAGGAATAGCAAACGCCTCAGGCCATTTCGTGAAATAGTCCATAATGACAACAATGTAACGATTACCACGGGATGACTCTGGTAACGGGCCCATGATGTCAATCGCCACACGTTCAAATGGAAATGAAGGCTGATCTTGCACCAATGGTGCTTTCGGGTTAGGTGTTGGCGACTTGCGACTTTCACATACAGAGCAACTCTTGCAGAAATCCGTAACAGATGCAGTCATAAATGGCCAATAGAACCGTGCTCGAAGCTTCTGTAGAGTACGTTCTATTCCTAGATGGCCACCGGAGACATCAGAATGGGCACTCTGCATTGCTGTTGTCTGAAGAGCTGATGGAACGACTAGTTGCAAAATGGGAGTTTCGCTATCCTCGGGTTGATACACCCGGTACAAAACACCATCACATAACTTTAGGCGTTTCCAATTGCTCCACAGTCTCAGCACACCTACTGATACACCTCGCATTGCAGAGTCACTATGTACAGATCGGTCTAGAAGGGCTTCTTTGCCAACCAATCAGGGTACTGAGGTCTGGATCTTCAAGTTGAACAGTTCTTAATTCAGCAGCTGTAAATGCTTCACACCAATTAGGATCACTAGGACTAGATGGTAGGTCACTGGGCTGTGTGCAGGGATCAGCTTCTACTGGGTACACAGGACAGGGGACATCAGCATTTACTTGCCTTTGGTCATTTTCTGGAAGCCGTGACAGAGCATCAGCGTTGGCGTGTTTGGAGCCAGGCCGGTGACGGACAACATAGGAGAATCGAGACAGTCGCTCAATCCATCGGGCAAGCAGGCCAGCGGGCTCCTTGAAGGAACTCAACCAAAGAAGAGACTTGTGGTCAGTACGCAATGTGAATTCAGCTCCAAGCAAATAATGGCTAAATGCATCAGCAAACTCTACGACAGCTAGCAGTTCACGCTTAGTGACCGAATAGTTCTTCTGAGACCGTGATAGGGATTTGCTTGCATAAGCAATGACAACTTCATGACCATCATCATTCACTTGGGATAGTACCGCACCAATACCCGTACCCGATGCATCAGTGTCAAGAATAAATGCCTTCTGTGCGTCAGGATATGCTAGTACTGGTGGTGATATCAAGTGTGACTTCAATTGAGCAAAGGCCTGCTTGCAGTCATCGGTCCATATGAAGGGAGTATCTTTATGTGACAAGTGGTGTAAAGGACCAGCTACAGTTGAAAAGTTAGGTACAAATCTGCGGTAATAGGAGGCAAAGCCAAGGAAACTACGTACCTCTCTAGCAGATGAGGGCACCGACCAATCCTTGACGACCGCATACTTATTGGTATCAGGTAGAACACCATCAGCAGAGAAGGTATAACCCAGATAGGTCACCGATGAGCAGAGTAGTTGGCACTTCTTGGGTTTAACCTTGAGACCTGCCATTCAGAGTCGGTTGAAGATGAGTTGTAGTCGTTCCATTTGTTCCGACAAAGATGAAGAGAACACAATAATGTCATCCAGATATACGAGGCAAATTGATGGCACAAGGTCCCCTAGCACTAGGTTCATCAGGCGTTGAAATGTTCCAGGAGCGTTGCACAGTCCAAACGGCATTCGGTTCCACTCGTATAAGCCAAATGGGGTAACAAATGCAGATTTGGCTTTGGCGGCTTCATCCAACTCAACTTGCCAGTAGCCAGATGCAAGGTCTAACGTGGAGAAGTACGACGCACCACTCATGGCATCAATGGCGTCATCAACTCTAGGCATGGGGAAAGCGTCTTTCTTGGTGATTGAGTTCAAGTTTCTGTAGTCAATACACAGTCGGATTGAGGAGTCTGGCTTGCGAACTACCACGATAGGTGCAGCCCAGGGGCTCTTAGACGGAGAAATCACATCATTGTCTAGCAACTCTTGTCAATCCGGAGGCGTGGGTTTGAATCCCACCGCTGCCACCATGTGTAACATTCTCCCAATGTACAAGTCAGACAGTTTCCTAACCACAACTAGAACAGCACTGTCATTATAGTTTCTGGGACCATGATTCTCAAACCAAAACCACACTCGAGTGAAGTGAAAACAAAAGAACCACAAAAAGAACAGAAAGCCTGCACATGGCATAAAGAATCCAAGATGGGTGCCATGACATCATCAGAGTCTACAGTGAAAGGAAAAAGGAATGAGTTGCCGAGTCTGGGGTTTGAACCTGTGAGAGGCGATTTGTATGAAACTGTAAACTTAGGTAAAACTACAACTTGGGAAAGACAACAAGGATAGAGGACTATTATGCATAAGTTACAATCCTGGAATGCCACACATACATGTATGATTCAATGCGGATTGTTTCTAAGAACGTGTTTTAAGAACGCAGCCAGATTGCTGAGAAAATAAGAACGTCCCAGGCTGATCCCTCGGAAACAACGTTCTTGGGTGCGCGACTCTACTGTATAAAGGCTACGTAGTAGTAATGTCTAATGATGTAGTGAGTAGAAGAGATGTAGCTAGTGAGTGGAAGAGATGTAGTGAATAGAAAAGATGCAGTGAGTTACCGTACTGTGCACGCTTGTCAGCTGGTGCTGGCCCCTCGTCTGCCAGGCTGGCTAGGATGGCTGCGCGTCGTCAACCTCGGGTCACGACACAAGAACATGGGCTTATACAAGAACATGGGCTTATACGTGGACACAGGCTTATACGCCGACACCAAAATTGTGCTATTGAAAAGTACCAAGGAAGTGAGAAATAAAAAGTACCGGTATAGCGCACAGTGCTGAAAATCACTGTGCAAACAAAAACAACCGATGATTGTGTTGAAATGTACAAAAAACCTACACGACCTAGGCCCATGGGCTTGTACAACGAAGCTTAGTGATGTTCGAACTTAAGTACTTGGCCAGGGCTTATGCACGAGCATGGGCTGATACGCGGGTGGGCTTATCCGCGGGATTCTACGGTACCTCATACATGTACAACAGCGTATCAAACCATATGCATGCCTGCATGTGCGTGTCTGCATGCGTATGACTGCATGTGCGTGTCTGCACTGATACACAGTGAGATTCAGTTTGTTATGTAAAGGAACTGTTCGATATAGGGTCAATTGTTTGGTACATGACGAGCTCAGGCGCGGGCGAAATGTTCACTGCATCGCGAAACTGGCCACATGCGAACTTGCTGTAAGTCGAGTTGACTGTTTACAAACTTTACATGTTTGCACGCAGGAGGTTGTGTATACTTGCAGCATCCAAGACTGAGCGGTAGAGAAAAGAGCACTCGCAAGAATTGGAGTTCACCTGACTTTTTTGGATTGCCGTTTTGTGTTTTCTATGCTTCTATTTCTGGTCAGATCAAGGAGCTGCGTTCCATTGACAATGCCTTCGTTATTGTAGGCAGTTTTGAGAATTTCTTAGAAGATGACGCCGACAAGGTTTGTGATCAGTATGCTGCCTTAGAGGCCTTCCGTAAATATCGATATTTATTTAGAAACGAAAACTAGTCGTTTCTCTTCAAGCCCCCTCCCTGAGAAACGAACACATACAAATGGTACATAGTATCGATATTTTTGGTCTTTTTTTCTGGACATGCTCACACATGCAAAATGTACATCGATATTTTTCGAGAAACGAACAGGCGCTCAACCCCCCCCCCCCCTAAACGACTAGTTTTCGTTTCTAAATAAATATCTATATTTACGGATGGCCCCTTCCGAGTCTATCCTTTGGACAAATAATCTAATTTTAAGGGCATGTAAAATAAATTGATTGTTTATCGTCAGAATTTCCCGAGAAATCGGGGCGGACGAGAGGTTTTTAATTTTATTTTTTATTACCGGTATGCATGTATATACATGTACGTATGGCTGTAGGATAGGTGTTCGCAACCCCAGACATGCCTTTTTCTTCGCTTTTCTTATTTTAAGCCATTTTGGCGCAGAGTAAGATAAATCCATGACGTGATGCAGATGAATCGTCAGCCATGAATAATTAATAATGAAAAGTGCAACAACCAACGTTACATAGAAAAAAACGAAAAAATCAGGCAGCTGATAATCAATTTCACTTTTCAAGCCCATAGCAACTAAGTTTTGGTTCAGTCTATGAACTTGACCTACATACAGTAATTTACCAGTACTAAAAAAAATTCGGCCGGGAGGGTGAAAATTTGGGGCGGGCGCGGACGATATACAGTCAATTTTTTTTACTTGGCCTAAAACGATTAGAAATTTAGAATGGCCGGGGTAAATAGGTACCATGGAGAAAGTAGTTCAGATGTGGTAATGAATACTTTGAAGTACAATTATAAAAGTCTGTTGTCGGTGTTGGCACGTTTTTTCCTACTACTTGTGCTAATACTGGCATCTGCTTATATGATCCACAATAGTTCTACTGCCTTGTTTGCTGTGGTAATACATCTCATGATGCATGTACACTGCTGTTCAATGAAATCCGACCAAATGAGTCAATGCCACGCCGGGCGCTGTGCAGCCTAATTGATGCAGGGCGCAAACATGACTCTAGCAGTCAGATTTCATTAGTGAGCATTGTGAGAAAAGCAAAGTTTGAATCCTCTATTTAAAATCTTTGTGCTTTCTTTTTTTATTCATTCCATATTGCGTTGTGGCGTAATGATGCCTTTCCTGGTTATATTCATTGCTATGCTGACCTATGACGAAAATTTTGAATCGATTTTAAGGATGTACAGATCGTTGACAGCTCTATAATTCCCATGCTGGGGATGACAAAGGTTACAACAACAACAACAACAACAACAACAACAACAACAACAACATTCTCTTATTGGCCACAGGCCATCGTGAGAATATAAGATTTCAAACAGCAACAACAACAACAACAACAGCAACTAAAGAATTCAAACAACAACAACAGTGACAACCCATTCCCATAGCGCTGCATATCACATCCGAACCAGTTCCGTTATTGTCATGTAATAACAATGAATTGTTATTACCTGACGATGGCCAAGTGCCGAAACGTAAAAATAACGGAACTGGTTCGGATGTGATATGCAGCGCTATGGGAATGGGTGTGTCCACCCGAATTCTTTTCACAGATGAAGCTGCAGGAAGCCTCAGCCCTTCTTCAAACAGTGACAACATGAGAATAAAGATACTGAAGTATGAACACTGATAGCACCAGCAGCAGGTCTCCAGCAGGTCTCCAGCATATGGCCTAAAGCCGATGGCATGGTGCTTCACGCAACCAGTCTGTACATGTGCTTATACAAGTACCTTAAAGTACCTTGAGAGCGCTCCACCATCTCGTCCTTTCGTGGTCGTATTGTGGAGGTGGTGTCTTGTCTGAAAGTCACACAGCACGAACCTTGTATACACATTGCACAGTGTGCAGTCAATCCGTACTCAATTTACCTTGGAGCGGACACGAGATCCACACAAAAACCTGCTAAGTGTGACCTTAGTACACTGAGGTTCTCACACCGTACAAACTTCCTTGCACTCTGCCATACAATTTTCCTTTCCCTGGCTGTAAAAATCAAGGTGGCGCTCTCGCGGTACTTTACGGTGGAAGGACATGATTGCTGATCACTCGTATCCAGTGGCTGTGTACATTGAGTTTACCCTTCTTCAAGTGTATGGTGGCTTCTGTTGTTTTTCTTTTGGTGTGCTTGAAGGAGGTTTGCTTGAAAACATTTCACAAGCTGGCATGGCAGCTAGAATTCAAGGACTCAATAGCCGTATGGAAGTCTTTCACTGGCTACAAACACAACGTCTACGTTGCTGATCCATTCCCAGACAGGCCAGACGTGCTCCCATTGCCCACTGCTGCTCTCTTTGCACGGCCAAAGTCCAGCTCGGCGGCTGCGTCTTCCGACGCGCCCGTGTCAAACTCTTCAACAGCTAGCAGTGATGAAGCAGCCAACACGGATACCACAGCGTCACCCACACAGTCGGAAGACACGTCTAAGAATGGAGGCGAGGGGACGACACAAGTGGCCGGTGAACCTGATATTTCCTCATTGTCACTGGCTGACGCTGCCAGTAGTACTGAAGCCAATGGCAGCACTGCGGCCGAGGACACCATGGCTGCTAGCAATGGCAGCACTGCGGCCGAGGACACCATGGCTGCTAGCAATGGCAGCACTGCGGCCGAGGACACCGTGGCTGCTAGCAATGGTAGTGTCGCCAGTCAGGAGGACGTTGCTCCCCTGGCTCCTACATTCCGTGCCACTTGCAATCGCATAGGCATGAAGCACACATTCTCCTCCATGGACATTGCCCGGGCATTTGGCGGCAGTTGCAACGACCGGCACCACTGGACGGTGAAGATGGTCGATTCGGACATTGATGTTGTTGTCAATATCATGGAGAGAAACATCGAGGTAAGTGTTCCGCGTGTGTGCCTACTGTTTGCTGTGCGTGCATGTGCATGTGTTCCAGTCTGTCTGAAGTAGACCAATATGCTCAAAACGTTAACATTCATCAGGATCAAGTATTGCTTCTGTTGTGCGGTTCAGCTCTCTACTGTCTGTCTGTCTGTCTGTCTTTGTCTTTGTCTTTGTCTTTGAGCGAGCGAGCACATACGGGCGTGATCTGTGCCTGTGTGTGTGTGTGTGTGTGTGTGTGTGTGTGTGCCTGTGTGCCTGTGTGCATGTGTGCGATTTGTCTGATTTCTACCTGTGTGTCTATGTACCTACTAGTAACTCATTTCTGCAAAGCTGTGTGATTGGTTCGGCCAGTAACTACGAGCTCCTCTGATGAGACCTACGGTAGCAAGGTCTAAAACACCTACTACACTACACTAGCTGTCTGGTGATTGGGTACCTAAGTTTTTCATGTACGTCAGTCATTATCAGACTGGCATGGTGGCATTTAGCCATTCAGCATCCTCGTCATTCCCTGCTGTCATTCTCAAGGATGGAATTGCCGCTAGACCTTGGCCTTTTCCCTGTTTCTTTCTCGGTGTTGCTTCTAGGTTTGTATAGCCCTGACTACTGAGAGTCTGCACTATCGTAACATGTCGTTCTTTGGACCAACCACGCTGCGCTCAACCATTTGCAATGGGCTTTTGAGGTAAGCCCCACACAGTCCCATCAATGATCATGCATCTACAATTGCGCTCGGTGAAATTACGGCCCGGGGTGCACTTTTGGCGCCCTCCACTTGCACGGCCCTTGACGCCCTGGACGTGGCACGAATTTGGCTGGACGTACACATGTACAGATACTGTACAATGGGTCAAATGATGTATGACACAGCTGGTCCAGGGCGCCAGCTTTGCATTTCAAGTCGAATTTCACAGAGCTCAACTGGACATGTAGACTGCTGGCACTCACTTGTAATGTGCCTAGTGACTAAGTGTGACAGTGAAGCATTGTGCAAGTAGAGTCTACTGTCAATAAGTCCCACACCCGGTACCCGATCTTGGAGACAAAAATGTGTCACTTACATAATAGTGTATGCAAAAGTACATACGGCCGGGAATCCCAAAGTGCACGACTTTTCGCAAGTGTGTGGCTTAAAAGCGCGTGATTTATCTCGAGTAGACTGTACTAACTTAAGATCTGTCCAATTCTGTGAAGGACGACGACCTGCTCATGCCTGCGCTCTCAATGTACTACGCAGTTGTACAAAATGAAGTGTGTTGCATTTGCTCATAATGTTAGTCACCTAAGTATTCACAGTGGTCTGGTGGGTGCGACGTGTAGAGCAAACTCATTGGTGCGAGTTTACACACTATCACGCGCCTTTCCACGTTAGAATGTGCGAGGGTGCAATTCCACCTGTGGATGGTGTGAGCGCGTGGAAGTTTTTCCTTTCTTTTCTAACACCTCTGCCCTTGGCACTTGCTTATTGGCTATAACCGTGTGGGTCAAAGTATTGTCCACGCTGTACTGTGTTGATTAGTGGGTGCTTGCCATCTTCGTTCCCTTTCCTGCGCGATGTGTCTCGCTACTCTTCTACCATAGTTTTCGTTGGTAACTGTTAGAACCTGGAGTTCTCGTATCAGTTCCAATCCTAAGCATAGAGTTGTCTGTGTTATGATGCCGGAGAGGAAACTGTGTACAAGACTTTCTGTGTCTCACTCTTTGTGCCCAGCCAGTGTGTTTACCCTTCTTCCTGGAAGTTCTCTCCGTTATTTTTCTGTGTTTTTGCAAGCACTCGCATGGCACTGTATCTGTTCTCTCTCTCTCTCTCTCTCTCTCTCTCTCTCTCTCTCTCTCTCTCTCTCTCTCTCTCTCTCTCTCTCTCTCTCTCTCTCTCTCTCTCTCTCTCTCTCTAACTCTCTCTCTCTCTCTCTCTCTCTCTCTCTTTCTCTCTTTCTCTCTCTGTAGACTGGCAAACATTCAGCCCGGTGAAGTAGTGTGTGATCCCATGTGTGGCAGCGGATCCATTCCTATTGAGGTTAGTATTTGAATTATTTCTCGTGTTGATGTTTACACTTTGGTGGCGTGTGTTTTGGAACTGTGCTGGTTCATTCAATTTCATTTTCACTGCTTGACAACCTGCTTACTTGTCCTGCAGTGACAACACTCATCCTCTGTTCTCCATGCTGTCTCGTGTTGAAGTTTGTTTTGAGTACAAGCCTGATTTCCAGATGGACCTGCCTTTCCCATACTTGTGCATGTGTCAGCTTGTTTTTCTGTTGTCCTACATAGAAATGCATGGGTCCGATACAAACCGGATCCTCGCGCTCTTTACATTTATTTCAGCAGTGTATGGCATTTGAACAGGTTATGTCGATACAGGAAGTGAGGGTGATTTGAAATTTTTAATGGAAACGTTCTTCTTCCCACTTCAGGGTGCAGTAGCATTCCCGAAAGGAGTTTACCTTGGTGGTGACAACCACGAAGTTGGCTGTGGTTACTCGGCCAACAATATTACGGCTCTATCGGAGAAACGGATGCTTGCAGACAAGTAAGTTGGCTGCTTCAAATGTCTCGTGCGTTATTTTGTGTTCTGCTTGTGAGCATCACCATCACATTGCATTCTCTTAGCATTGCAACCCACACGCCTAGCCCTCACTGATTAGCTCTGAGTTGGTGGAACAGCTCTCTGGAGGGCAGGATGCTGGTCAACATCATCAACGCCAGTGCCCTTGCTATGGTAGCGGTGGTGTGTGCAAGACGAGCTGGTCGGCCAAGAGTGCAAGGTGGTGGTGGTCATATTCACATGTATTCAATAGTCAAGAGCTCTGTCGCAAGAGTTATAACTTACCGTATGTCAGCGTCTATAAAAGCCATGGCCTTATATTGGAAACACGGCTCCTTTCCTAGCTATTTTAGATGCAAAATTACTCACCCACTACGCCATGCCATAAACGTCAAAGCCCACACCGAAATATCAATCTAAATTCACTTGTCCGCCCTTCCTGCTGGGCTGTAAGTTTGTTAGTATTGTACTTATTCCTTCATTTTTACAAAACATACTTCTAATGTCATTAAATTTTCGTTTATGAAGCCCATGGCACGAAGGAGCACGAGCATTTGCTGCAGACAAGTCGAAATGGAGACCAGACATTGTTTATGGATGAGTTTTGTTGACTGGAGACAGAAGCGGACTTGGCTTAATTTCAGTGTATTCTCATACATAGTTCTTTGGCCTTTGTACGCGTGCTGTGGTATTATTATTATTATTATTGGAATATACGTCCATGGCTTTAAAGGTGCGGACGTACATTATAACTGTAAAACTATTACTTGCTTGACTGTGCATCCTTTCCTTTGGTGATTTTCTCTCTCAACTTACTTTGAAGTCGACGTTTAAAGGTATCTATGCGAGCATTACGGCAATAGAGATGTACATAGATGTAGCATGGGATGCTGTGTGTATTTGGCAACTGTCACATCGAACATGCAGGGGTTGGTTTGCTGATACTATTTGTCACGAGTGCTGTACAGTGCCTGCTATGGTTGTGCTGATGTCGCACGTGTGTGTGTGTGTGTGTATGTCAGTGTCTGCTCCAGCGCCGGGTGAGCCGGGTAATCCACCCGGTTGGGCGGCGCTTGCACCCGGTTAAAAAGATAGTACCGGGTCACCTGTGACCCGGTTGGTACTTTACACTTTCGAACTTTGAAAGGACTAACTACATGGCTTGTATGTGTCAGATACTTCTTCTTCTTTAGTAATTTTCTAATTCCTGTCCTCTCTTTTTCTAAATGCGGCTTATCCATTCGCCTTTATATCATTGGGCCTAGTTCCCGTTTATTGTCTGAATTAAAATAAACCAAACAACCAGTTAAAGCATGTGACTTGGCTGGTGAGACAGCGCCAGGTACATGTGTACCCGGCTCCAACCCGGTTGAAATGGTTGCGCCAGGTACACGTGTACCTGGCTGTCCTCCAATCCTAGAGCAGACACTGTGTGTATGTGTGTGCACATGTGTGCACGTGTGTGTTTCTTCTGGCGCAGGGGTGCACTGCCAATCGACACCTATCTCTGGGACGTTGGCCAACTTCCTCTCCGCACCGGCAGTGTAGATGCTTTTGTCTCTGATCTGGTAAGACTTTTGGCAGAGGTGTAGATTGCAGGCAGAATCATAAGTTCATAACTCAGTGCAGGCCTGCCATCCTGGGAGAATGTATCTTTGGAATTGCTGTGTTGTATGTGGTTTCTATTTCATTGCGATATCAGGAGAACATTTCTTTGAGCCAATGTTTCTGCCTTCTCTAAATCTCCTGTATGTTGCCCTTCTGGAAATTCATGCTGCTTAGCTTGGCCTGATCGTTGTGTGTTTGTCTGTTACCATGTGTCTTTTCCTGTGCATGTTCCTACTGGTCATTGGTCTTGATATTAGCCGTTTGGCAAAAGGTATGTGGAGCACTCTTGATCTATTCCTCCTGTACTTGAACTTCGTTGCTGCCGTCCCATCCCATATATACAATTCTTCCACTTCTCCATACCTTTCTGTATTCCAGGCCTTTACCTTGTTATCCGTATGAGTGAATGCCTTCTGTACATTCCTGATTTGCTCTGACTTTGTCCTTGCGCAAATGCTTGTGCGTAGGAGGCAATATAGTTGAATAATTATACAACGTACTAGTATCATGCTCGTGCAGTGTGATACCTATTGCTTACAACAGTGATGACATGATCAGTATCATCCTGTTTGAGTTGATGATGCGAGCAATTACGCCAGTGATCATGATGATGGCTGTAACTGATGTGTGCATGTTATATGCTTGTGGGTTTACCGGGTGTTTGCAGCTGTCGTGAGTTCCCTTTGGGAACGGACATGATAATTTACTTCTTCTTTTTTTTACACGCTTGTCTGTGTAGGATCGGCTCTGCTGCGAACAACAAAGTCCTCTACCCACGACTCCTGCTGGAGATGGCCCGGGTGTGCCGATGCACAACAGGCCGTGCGGTGCTCATGTCTCTGGATAAGAGGACTTTGCTGCGTGTGAGTCTCTCCCGTGCGCATGTAATAATATTTAGTGCTGAAACGATTATATCGATTACTCGTTACTTACTCAATAAGAAATAGATCGAGCGGTTATTTCGATTTTATCGGCTAAACGAGTAGAATGGTACTTACGCTCGGTACGGGATTTCCCCCCTTATGGGGGTCGCACAAAGCGTGCATGCGAAAGTGTTGCGAGTACGACACGAATATGTACATGACTCGTACACTTGCAACATCGATGTACGCGTACACGTACAAGCGCGATCTGAGAAACATCGACGCAATCACCGTCGACGTCTTTTCAGCTGACTACTTTTCTTACATACAGCATGCAGGACTGGCAGGCTCAGTATGTGTCTACACTGTAGCTGCAGGGGCTGGAGTTCCCTCCATGTGCGAGTAGTCTTGAGCTAAAGACAGTAAAGTGGTCTTCAGTTTCGTGTTTTGCGTTCTGTCGACGGTTCCCGAACCAGTTTCCTCGACGACGAGCTAGGCCTGGCATCTGGGCCTATTTTGAGATAGACAGGAAAAAGCCACTACAGTCCATTCATAAAAAAATGGGTCCTGGCTCTGGCGAGCTCCCGTATTTGGCGATTTTTCGTGATTTCATCGTACACAGTGCAGTGCTGCGAACTTTGAAATTTGAAAAAGGGTCCAAAAAGGGTGCCTGAACTGGGGTTCGAACCGCAGAATGCACTGTTGCAGGCGGGGTCAAACGGCCTGGATTTTGATGGTTTTTCCCAATTCAGTGCTTTTGGGGCAAAACCTGGCCGAAATCCTATTCTTGCTATGGCTTGCTTTTTGGACAAAAAAACTTCAGAAACATAATTGGAAGAGGATTCCATATGGGATTGCAGAAAAAAATTCTAAAAAAACTCAACGTTTGACCCATTTATGGCCAAAAGCTAGAAGTTCATTTTTTTCTGAATGGACTGTAGTTACTTGTTGGCGCGCCTCAAGTCAGCTCATCCGTAGAAATCCGCCGATCTGCACCCCTGGCCGGCTTCTCTGACTTCATCGTCCGAGTCAGCGAAGTCACAGGCGAAGGGCACCATCAGCTCTTGGGTTGCAACCAGTGCATTGCCTCTGTCTTGTCTGTATTTGTCTGGTCAGTCCGAACAGCTGACGAACTTGTTGCAGGATCATCGGATCTATGCGCCCGCTTTCCGTCGTTGGCGATGTTGGACTCGTATTTTTTTTGAAATTCATAGAATGTACATGTACTGATGTACTTACAATAATAATTGTTTAGCCGATAAGCCGATCGTTATGGTATCAGCTAAGCCACTAAGGAAAAAACGTAATCGTTTCAGCGCTAATAATATTATAACTCAAGGGTCAGGATATTCTCAGCTCTTTCTTTGTATCCTAAACATAATATAATAATGTTGGTGTGTGCTTTTAAATAGTACAGTAAAACCTATAACTAGCGACCAGCCTGGTACTACCGACCACTTCACCAGGCACAGACGGTCTCACATTCAAAATGCACTGTGACTAGCGGCTACCTGCTGAACGCGACCAGCGACCGCCTTTTCTTGTCCCAATTGCGAATTTTGACCCGTAGCTAGCGACCGCGATGTAGGAAATCAAACGTACTTGATTTGCTGGAGTCATGTGTTTAATGTGTGTCTGAGCCTCGTTTGTTCAATTTTGTACTTTCTGCTTGGTGCAGAGTGTGAGCGCATCCCCGTTTTGGAAGACGAGATACTCGCGCACTCTCAATGTCGGAGGTTTACCTGCATGCGCGTATTACCTGACTCGCAACAGCAAGGAAGTGGAGTGAGCCGACGTCGACCACAGCATGTCATGTTGGCATTCCAGCCACGTGGACATACAGCTGATATCAAACGTTCGAAGTGTTGATCCATCCAGATTATTCTGGCCCGTGCAAGTAAATGGATACGACTACACCAATACTGCGCATCGGCACTGCATGGCCATGGTAACAGCACTCACATGGCGGCACCAAGCTGTGGGGCAAGGTTACCATACTTATATGGCGGCAGAAGGCTGGCTGTGTGGCCATGGTAACAGAACTAACATGGCGGCACCAAGCTGTGAGGCAAGGTTTCCATACTTATAATTATGGCGGCAGAAGGCTGGTTGTGTGGCCATGGTAACCGAACTAACATGGCAGCACCAAGCTGTGTGCCGGGAGAACGTAACCAAGGCAACATTACTGACAGACTTTGCTATCCACCGTCAAGCTGCGCAGCCAATCACGGACAAATGCTGCTACCGGCCCCACATCTGGACCCCATGAAAGTTGCTCAGGGTTTTTTATTATTATTATCTGCATGCAGTATCCGCTTTGTCCGCCTATTTTTATCATGTTTTAGGTTTGGCATTGCCTTTCCATGGGACAGCCAGTTGTGTTATGTGTGTGTGCATGTGTTACTCCGATTTCAAGAGTTGTGTTCCTGTTCTCCACAATCAATGGCCGCGATTTTCACGTTCTTTCCTTTTATTTCCTGGCCTTTCTCCTTCAGGTATTTTGTTCTAAATTCCTTTATATTTTAACTCCTGGCCCCCCTCGTTTGCTACACACACTAAATTCTGGGTTATCCGAATGCTACACACGATTGTACGAATTGAAGTGCTTATACTGCCCCATACCGTACTAGGAGTAGAACAACGGTCAATTCTGTTTCGTTGGAAGAAGAGTTGCAACAAAGAGGTCCCAAATTCCATATTGAACAGAGTGACACACATGTACATCCATCCTATAATAAATCTTTCACTGTATCTCCTCCTGCTGCTGCTTTGCTGCGCTGCATGCTGCCATAAACATTTTTTGAGATGCTGAGAATATATGCAAAAAGTAAAGTGAGTGTAAATGTATATTATAAAATGGTATACACCGAGTATGGCCGTATGAGTGTAAAACGGTCATGTTAGGAGGAAAAGGGTATAAGCATGATTCTTGCAAAAATCAACTTGATGAAGAGAAAAAATCTGTTGGGAGCCGAGCATAAAACTCCGAAGAATGCCGAAATGTTACTTGTAAGTAGCAGCATAAGCAGCCACAGCATGCATGCATAGGTGCACGCTGTGCAAGTGGCCAAGTGACAGTCGACAAACAAAAACGCTCATGCGTCGTCACGGCAGCACGCTAGCGAAACAGTGCGCCAACACGGATGGAAAGCACGGTGATAAGTTGCAACCACATTTCCAAACAGTCCCTCAACCCGTTGTGGTGTTACTGTGTTTTCTCCTTGGGAGATAGGATTTTGGCAACCTGGTCCACGTACGGTACAGCCTTAGCCCTAGCAAGGAAACAGAACAGGAAGAAAAAGAAAGGTAGTTACAATTTGGATTTACAGTGAAGAAAGAACGACACTTGTTTCAGTCTGGACACGGGCCGAGTGGCCTAACACAGCATCAAATGCATATTTGCTCACCCAGCCACAGCAAATCCCTTAGCCACACACCCAGTTTCCCTTTATTTTCTCTTATTTCCTTTCTTTTCCTGGTTTTCGCCAATTTCGGCCCTTTTCTCTTTTTTTGTTGTTGCAATTTTTGATTATTTTTGCAATTTTTTTCTTTCTTTTTATTCATTTCTAACCCATTGCTCATTGGGGGACCAAAACCTGAGTTTCTTTATTAGGGAGGTTTAGTTCCCACGTAACGGAAACGCGTACGTGGGTGATCCACGTAAAGTGGATGAAGGGCACCCACATTGCAATGTTGTGTTTAGTCACACGGAACAAACAAAAGCATGACGCGAAAGGCCCAAACCTGGTCAAAGACGAAGCTACCCGGGCCTAAGAAGCTCATCCAATATTTTGATTTCGTGCTTCGGAAACTTCTTCAGCTGAGCACCCTCACAGCTCGCACAATGCGCTCCAATCTGATTTTCACCCACGTTCTGGCGGAACGTGGGTGAGCCTCCATACACGGTATGTCGTGAATCAGAAAACGTCTGTACGTGGGTCACTGAGTATCACGTGGTACACACACGTAAAGTACCCACGGATTACGTGGGACTAAACCTCCCTATTGTCAGATCGTCCCTACATGTGCGATTCTGTGAAATGCAGTGCCGCATGTGCCCTTGTCACACCACAAAACAACCTTTTTTTAAGAACACTCATGGTTCAGAGCCAATACCGGTAGTGACCGTAGTTTACCGGTATAATACCGGGAAAACAGACCGGGAAAACCGGTATGGTTGGCAAGAATGCAAATGGTGCAACAAGCCCTCCTGCACTGCACACACTGCTACGGAGCAATGCGACCGTTACCCGCAGGACGGTAGCCATTCTCTTGTCATTGCGCCTTCGTGCAAATTGGCTACACAAACGTTTTCAAGCCCAAGGGACAGCATTGCGCCTTCGTGCAAATTGGCTACACAAACGTTTTCAAGCCCAAGGGACAGCATTGCGCCTTCGTGCAAATTGGCTACACAAACGTTTTCAAGCCCAAGGGACAGCAGAGGGACAGCGGAGAGACAGCTGCATCTACTCGAGACTTGCCCAGCACAGGTGATACAGCGCAATAACACACAAGCATTCGAAAAGCGTAAGCAGATAAATCCTAGTAAGCAAGCTAATCCAGGATTTCACTTCGCAAACTTCAGAGAAAATGATTTTACTTGATCTAAAGCAACCATTCTCAAATCAGGGTCATGATTACTTCTTGAAGTATGAGGACTATCACTTGCATATCTGCTGGGTAAACAAGTAAGAAAATTACACTTACTTTTCCAACAGCTGTACGGTCTGAGCTTTACCTTTGGCTACAGCCTGGTCGATCTGGACCTGAGAGAGGAACAAATAATAATACGAACAGCAAATGAGACGGTAATATAATTTCCTCACTGATGTGCGTGCTAGTAACAAGTAACAGGGCCGAAAGGCACAGCCACAAAACCTCACCACAGAACTCTCATGATCCACATCTTCTGCTAAGCCTTTTCCTGTGTGTACATACTGAAGTGTAGTGCATCTGTAGCCAGCAGCCTTACTGAAGCACATTCCTAAGTATGTAGATAAGCTACTGTAGGTCAGCAACAGGGCACGACCATGTAGAAGTGCTGCTTCCCTGCACATCCAGATCCTAATTGTCAACAGCTGGCAAGCCGAAAGCACAACAAAACATGATCAAACTTGTGTGTTTTGTAATACCTGATAGACTTCATACAGCTTAGGCACGGCGAAGAGGAGGATCACAGCTGAAGACAAGAAAAAAAGAGACAATAGTTTTTTCTTTAAATTTAAATTGTCTAAGCCACCACATGATCCCACAACAACCAAACCAGGATCCCAGTAACTTGTTTTAAATCAACACACACATACATGTAGACACGCGCGTGTGCGCACACACATATATACACACACACTCACAGCGATGTGGCAGTGCTACCTGTACATCAGGGAGTCGTAGCGGACAGGGAGACAACACAATGTCACAGTACACTCATATCTCTCTTATCTGGGCAGCCTGGGACCGGACACTGCCCATAACTTGGAAATGTCTGTAACGGAATCACATACATGTTGATGGCAACCACTGTACATGTACATGACTATTGTAATCGGTAGTGAAGGCCACACGACGTGTGCATGCATTGAAAGTCTCGAACGAACACACCATCTATCCCCCCATCCTATAGTGTCTTGGCCATGCCCAGAAAACATCAAGAGGGCTAGAGGAATTCAAAACTAAACTGAAGAGTGAGCGAGAGTGATAACCGCCCAAACTTACCGACGAGGAGCAGGTCAAAGAATCCAATTCGGCTTGTAATCCAGTATACCAGCCATAGAGCAATACCGAACTACACGCAACAGTAGAAAGCACAAGAAAACCCATCAAAACATGAGATAGTACACTTGCAACAACTACTCGATTGAGAAACACGATGGTCGCCGATGGAACAAACATTTTCCTCATTTGAATGTTCGTTTCATGCGACCTTCCGTTCTCTGTCCATTGAGCATTATTCTCAAGTTGAAGAATGGCCATCAGCGGCGTACCATGGTGCGATTTCATTGCTTTCACCAATGCTGGATTATTTGTTGAGCGCATTCCCTTTGATTCTGCTCACTCACACTGGGACAAAATGCTCGTGCTCTACAGACTTTTTTCTGGAAAAATCTTGCTCCTGAGATTTGTTCTAAGATGCATTTTGACCAAGTCGGCGACTTCATCTTCTTCATGAGTGATTTCAGTCTCATCAGGCTGTCCGCTCAGGGTGCACAAGTCGACACGACGTCTCGCTGAAAAGTCAAACACAAAAGCAAAACACCTGTACGAAAACCGAAGGAGCGGAAGTGGTTTTGTAAACATGCACGGAAAATGTGCAGAAATCAGAACTGTTCCAGGGCGCCAGTTTTGGACACTGTGTCGGATTTCAGCGAGTGCAACTGTACATGTACCTGCTTGTGCATGCACTGTAACTGTTCACTCACACTCTAGTATAGAGATTATGCGACTACATCATCAGTTGAGATGCTTTGGCGAAGCCTGGGACTCGCAGCACAGCGCTGCACTTGCACTAGCGACTCACGCTCCATACTTAGCACCCATTAGAAAATCCGCGTACTCACCCCATGAACTCATTCGCATCACCTCTATACCACATATAAGGCACTAGCTCACATTACCTGATCCTGTACACATACTAACCTGCCTTTTAGAGTATGAGAAGTAGGAATCAATTAATGCGAGAGAGTGCCATATACAGGGTATATGTATGTGCACCCCGTCCTCTTCGCGTACACCCATTCTCTTGTACACTACGACTTGCAGCGCTTACGTTCTCTGATCTGCACTTCCTGCGTGTACACCAGCCAGCCTTTTAGTTTTAGAGAAGGTACACTGATTTCTCCTGTTCTTGCAGCCGAATCCTCAGAGCTAGTTTGTCTCTTGTCACACTTTAGCTTCCTGCTAGTGTTGATTGATGAACATTTTTTAAACCCAACATTACCCTCCCTTTTCTCACAGTCAACAATGGCAAACCATTCACACTGCTTTACTGCCCTCCCCATCATACACACACGCACATATACACACAAATAACAAACATGCTGCTTACCTGGAAGGAGTCCGAGATATCCACAATGCAGTAAAGTCGGCGAAGTTCTTGGCATGACTTATCAAATTTGGCAGCAAGGCAGCGAGAGAATCCTTCCACCTATCAGACAGGACAAAGGCGCATACGCATACGCACACCCACATAAACAAAATGTTACTTGCACACGTTCACCAACACACATTGCAGGATGTGTTGCAGGAGTGCAACACATCTACAGGGGGCCACAATATAGCACACCACATGTGAATACAGCAGACATGAGACAGGCCAGCAGCATGCTGTAACGAGTAAGCTTTATAGCACATATGCACTCATACATACAGCACATATAAGCTCATAAAAAAGACACATTACGCAAATACGCGCTCACACACGTCACACATAATTATAGCACAGCCCAACTTAATTCTGGAACATACCTGGTCGTCAGAAAGCGTGATGGGTTGGCTGAGAACTCGCCTATCAAAGCACAAACATGAAAGGCCAAATCAGATCATTTTCCAAACTAAACGTTCTGGAATTCAAACGTACTACACTGCTTAGTGTATGTGTCGTGTCGTGTGTTTGTGTGTGTGCGTGTGTGTATGTTGGAATGACAGCACAGCTTTAATACTTTTCACAGCCTTACTACAGTAAAACCTGTAACTAACGACCACCCCTTGGTGCCCGGAAAAGTGGTCGTTAGTGCCAGGTGGTCTTTAGTTAGAGGTTTGCACCGCGCGACCATATATGGATCCCATTATATGATATGTATGTCAAAATGCAGATAATACAATCCCCCACCACTTGCGCACTGACATTCTTCTTTCAGATCATACAACACTTGGAGAGAGAGAAAATGAAGTTTTTTATACACCGGAAGCGATACGACCTTTTGACACGTATGTCGACTCACTGGGTTTCCAGAGCAGCGCTGGCCTGGCCAGGCAGTGCACTAGTCACTATCGACTCCATCCTCATCTGTGTGCGACTACACTGGCAACTACTGGTATCAGTAGGGAGGTTCTGCTCTACGTTTTGGGAACGCGACGCAAAGAATCACGCGAACTTTCTTCGCGTTCCCGTGACGTAAAGAAATGCTGTTCTGCTCTACGTTTCACCTAGAGAAGTCACGTGGAATGTGTACTGGGAATTTCCCCTTCCATATTTGGCAGTTTTCTGCATGCAGTTGATCGATACCCAGCAAATCCGTACGCATTTTCTCTGCGTGTGCCACAACGTAGAGAACCCCATCTCCGCGTAGAAATCTGGAGCCAAAACACGCGAAGCCGTAGACTCTAACCCAGGCACCTGCGCTCTACGTGATTTCTCTACGTTTCACGTATAGCAGAACCTCCCTAGTGTGTTGATCTACAGTGGAAACCAGTGAGTCGTATAGACTCCCTGGTGGAAACTCAGTCGCTCCGACTTGGATGTAGTGTAGCGTAAACTGTACTAGTGAGTAGTGTGTACCAGTACGTGATGCGGCGATGTTGCGAGTTTTCGCACCTTTCACTGTAGACTATTATCCGCCATCGTATCCTGGCCTGTGTTCCGTACACATGGTACAGGTGAGTACATAATACCGTAGCATGCTAGCTAGCCAGCACAGACTGTCAGTGTGACCTGGTGTAGTGGTGAGTCTGGTGACTGATCTGTGTGATTGCACTTCGACAGAGAGCCGCTCAGTCTTAGTTTCTCCTTCGAGTAGTAACATCGATCAAAGAGCGCTTTGGATGCGCTCTCCAAGACGTTTCCTATCATGTTTGTTCTTGACAGCACTTGAAATTATGACAGGTGTAGTGCAATCCACCCTGATTCCACAGTAAAAATGAGACTGCGCTCATTTGTCCAGCTGTAGTATCGAAACGACCTTGGAAAATCATCAAAATTTCGAGAAGGAGCTTCAAGCAATGTTTGATTTGCTACATCGCGGTCGCTAGTCACGGGTCAAAATTCGACATTGGGACAAGAAAAGGCGGTCGCTGGTCGCGTTCAGCAGGTAGTCGCTAGTCACAGTGCATTTTGAATGTGAGACCGTCCGTGCCTGACAAAGTGGTCGGTAGTACCAGGCCGGTCGCTAGTCACGGTGGTCGTTAGTTACAGGTTTTACTGTAATTCACTCCCATTCAACTTCAATATTTCACTATAATAAAGCTCAGAGGGGAAGCATGCTAGCTTGCAGGTGCGTAGCTGGTCCCCCTGTTGGGGGGGGGGGGCACGGCCGCATATGTGTAGGATGGCTGGTGCATGTCATTCATGGTCATTATGCGCATGCTGAACCTAGGTTGAAAATTTAGGGGGGGGGGGGGGGGGCGCACGTGCCCCATGCAGACTACGCGCCTTCTAAGTACCAGCCGAGCATAGAGGTACGCAACAACAATACATGTACTAGAACGACAACAAGTCAGCTAAGCTGCACCCTCCTCCATGAAACCACTTACGCCAGTGGGTTTGGCAAGTCCTTGCCGAGGAACTTCTTGGCAAGAGCCGAGACAGCAGTTATGGCAAATGACAAGGATAGGACAATGAGTCCGACGAAAGACACGGTATTGACCAAGCCATTGCAACGCATAGCGAGCAAGGCAACTGTGGAGACTCCCAGGAAAATTCCAGACTGGACGGGGTCCTTCCAATAGATGAGGTCACGCGCTGCAACGGAGCACATGCACACGCACAGCAAAGGTACAGAATTACGTACCATACCATATACTAGGGCTCAAACGGTTAGTCCGATTAACCGGTTGCAGACCGGTTACGAAGAATTAACGGTTACGCAGTAACTTTTCAGTCAATTTTTCAAGTATCAGGTCGTTGCAAAGTATGCACTTTCGCAGGCTGTCGCATGCGTACGCAATTATTATTTCTGGGCTGTCAACTCGATCATATCTGGTCTCTTGGTGTGAGAGTATGACTGTATGAATGAGCATGCAAGAGAACGTACATGTGTGCGTTGTACTGAATAGGGTACATTTTTTGAATGAGTACGAGTATAGTCAAATATACGGTTAAAAAAGAGTCCGCAGGATTGCCGTGGCTTATAGGTTATAACCGTTAAAGGGGAAGTTAAGGCAAAAATTAAAATTTCACCAGTTGTAGTCTTCGGGGTGCTGAGTCGAATGGTCTTGGTCCGAGAAAGCTGAGACGCTCCCTTCCTACTTGAATCCCAATCGAACTCGCGCACTTCCACCGAAACTGGGTGACTGCGCCCTACTAGATGGGGATTTGTATGCAAAATGTCACTAAAAGCGCCATTTCGTTCTTATAAAAGCACGGATGACCGCGATTGGCCCATATGTTGTAGTCTTTTGGACGCTGAGTCGACTAGTTTTGGTCCGAAAAGGCTGCGATGCAGCGTTCCTCCTTTATTCCCAATCGAACAGGGTTGAACAAGCAGTCACGTGCTCCTGGGTGCCCAAATCACCTGGTCACCACGCCAGCAGGCGACAACTTTCACACCAAGGTTCAACTCGAGTGACAGGACTGCACCCAAAAAAGGTCAAACAGGCTAGTAAGTTGTACCCTGCAGGCACGGTGACCAGGTGACTGGCGTACGCAGGAGCACGTGACCGCTTGTTCAACCATGTTCGATTGGGAATAAAGGAGGAACGCTGCATCGCAGCCTTTTCGGACCAAAACCAGTCGACTCAGCGTCCAAAAGAGTATAACATATGGGCCAATCGCAGTCATCCGTGCTTTTATAAGAACGAAATGGCGCTTTTAGTGACATTTTGCATACAAATCCCCATCTAGTAGGGCGCAGTCACCCAGTTTCGGTGGAAGTGCACGAGTTCGATTGGGATTCAAGTAGGAAGGGAGCGTCTCAGCTTCCTCGGACCACGACCATTCGACTCAGTACCCCGAAGACTACAACTGGTGAAATTTTAATTTTTGCCTTAACTTCCCCTTTAAACCGACCGTTAGCTTAGCAGTTAACCGTTAGGGGTAAAACCGTGACCGTTTGAGCCCTACCATATACCGGTCTTGTTGCAACCAGAACCAGTTACATACGAAACGAGTCAGATTGCACTGGAGCAAATATTACTACTTGCTGAATTCTGTCATGAACTAACTGTATAAAATAAATTACATTCGTCCTATCAAAAGCAGCAGTGAATTCTCTTCGTAGTGCCACTTACCACTGTGCCCACCTTTTTGTTCCCAGTATTCTGTGCTGGGCGCTGGCATATTGTCATTGCAATGAGACTCAAGGGATTCTAAAGAGGTAGACTGATAATTGCCTGGTATGTCAGAACAGTATTCGCAGCTTACGTGTAAGGGCAGGTGTGTATAATTATACACCATTTCTGAGATGGATCCCAGTTAGAACAAGGCGGTGCTTGAACCCCACCTGATTTTTTCTTTTTTCCTTCAGTATCTCTTTCATAATTTCTAATCGTGGAGTGGATTGAGTGCTTCATACAGCCCGACCATCCCGGTATATGTTCTGCCCTCCAGCCAAATACCAGTACATAAAAATATTATAATAAATTATATTTTAAATTTGAACACTTTGAAATGATCGGATAATCTCCGAAGATAGGTACCACTAGTAATATCCATACCTCTGGGATTCATATTGGCAACAAAACTGCAACAGAAGCCACCTGAAGACGAAGCGGGAGCGGCAGCACTAGCTTCTACACAACAAACAGAAACAAGAAAGTGAACAAAAACAAAGCTCTCAACGTAAGTATGACCATCGAAAAACAGGTGGGACTAGGACAGAAACTAAACATTTTCAACACAACACCTGGACAAAATGCCCTTACCCAGACTGGCGGACTTGGCCTCCTCTCCAGCCTTTTCAGCCTCCGAAGATGGGTCAGTTGCTGGTGTTTCTACTGGCGATGCGGTAACTAATACTTCGGTCGAGTCCATGGTGACTTCACTGGGGCTCGAGACCTCGGACATTTGGTCAACTTCAGAGTCTGCCATAATGGATACTTAGAAGAAGTGGGACGGAAGGGAAAGAAAAGGACAAGGCACCCCTGTAGGCTAGGCTGTACACAGAATTTCTTTCTTCCCACTTGCAAGATTAGGGAAAGCTGACTCGACTACTCAAAAGATGTTCGTTGAGAAACGAACCAAAAAATCAATGTTTCAGACTTCCGAAAGTCCTATGCGCTAACTGTAGCTCTCGCGACGCTAGCATCCATCACGTCCGAGTCTTGCATGCGCTGCCTAGCGCATGACGTGAGCTAGCTGTGCATGTGAGGCCATGCATGAGGGAGCTTTGCACTTTCACCTCGAGTACTGAGTACCTCGGCATCTGTCCCGTGCGTGGCCTGTCATGTTCACGAAAAACATGCTGTGAATAAACAACTGACTACGCCGCGGGCCGCGGGAGTACATTGTAGATCTACGCGTATACGGCCCGTAGATCTACGGGCATGATCGATTGGGCGACTCCCGAGCAAGTGCGCTTCGAGTGAGCGTGATCGATTGGCCGAATCCGGAGTAGGTGTACTCGTAGTGGAATCCGATCACACCGGTGTAACATAGTCATACCAAGAGTTCATAACCCCCTGATAACCCCCAGGGGGTTATGAACTCTTGGTCATACCAAGAGTACATAACCCCTGGGGTTATGTACTCTTGGTCATACTCATAGCACAGTTACCGGTACCCCCAGAATTTGTCCCCCCCCCCGCAATCTGCTATAATGATAGACTATTCAGTCATAGCCCTGCGTCAAACTCAAAGCTGCAATGGAGAGCAGCCACTGGCGAATCGGTTATGTCATAGTGCTACAAGGTGGTGGAGCTTGTGGAAAATATTGCGCCGGATTCAGTGGCAGATTTGAATATGTGCAGCCTTTCTTCCTTTCTGACCCAGACCAAGAGCATTATAATTATTTTATAGCCCTTGTTGAAGCATTATAATCAGCATTATGAGGTAGTTTTTGGAGCATTATGATTAGCATTATACGAACATTTTCGGAGCATTATCCGCTCAGGGACCCTACAAAAATTATAGTAGTAGCCCTTGGCAAATACGGGTTGAAGTTGAATACCCTAATGCCGGCAGATGATGATGGCAGAACAATTGGCAGAATTTCAAGGGCACTTTTTCTGGCATGTTTCATGCATCAGTGTTTGGTATGTGGATAAAGAAATCGAGCGCATTCAAGGACTGAAGTGCCTGCAAATCGCGCGCAATACGGTTTGCCTGGTTCTGCCAATTTCACTGCTTTTCGAGCAGAATCTGCCAGTTTTCGAGCAGAATCTGCCAGTTTTCGAGCACTATCCGCGAGTAGTGTGTACCAGTACGTGATGCGGCGAATAAATAAAATATTGTTTCTCCACTTCAAGTACTGTAGAAGCGAACAGCACTTGGAAGTTGCCCCCCCCCCCCTACAAATGTGGTTGCGAAAATACTGGTTTTCATGGGCGACACCCCGAATGGCTAACTAAAAGCTGGCCTTATTCGCCTCGGTTTTAGTTTTTCAGCCATTTAGATGACAGCCTGAGGTTAGTTGGCCTAGCGGGGGCTGACTTCAGGTGGGTGACTGTGAGTCACAAGTTCTGCGTACATTCTATTTATCCGAAATCACACATGTGCAAGCCAGCCAGTGGGCAGTGGCACATATTCGTGATGAGGTTTTGGATCTAGAAGTGCCTGTTCAAGGTGCTACGGCCTTCTGGTTGTCACCTTTTTTTCTTTGAAAAGGCAAGGCCTTCACCGAAAGAAAGTCAGAAGATAATTTGCCAAGAACAGGAACAAAAGTGTTGCACTGTCTACGACGAAATCCTCTCAGGTTCAAGAGGCGAAATCGAAATACGCCCCGGGTCGGGAGTTTTCTTGAACATTTACTTGTACATCAATACGCCATCAGTGGACGTATGGCAAGCTCAGGGTCTGGGGTAGGGATAGTTCAGCCAGGGAAAGCTGAATAAGCCCTATCCCCCCCCCCCCCCACTCATCATCAGTGTAAACGCGTGCTCTAAACTGGCTTGATCACAAATCAAGAAAGGCTTCATTCTTGTTAATAAACAATGTGTGTAGACTGCAGTTCTAATCGAATAATTAGTCTCTACTACTAGCACCACTCGTGCTGGTAGTACTAGAGACTGGAGACCACTCGGGTACAGAGTCATGTTCATGTCATGATGTCGAATAATTATGATACATATGAATGTATGTACATGTCTCACTGAAGCTGTGATCGTTTCATCGGATCCGGATCCCATCATCAGATCCACTGGATCCCTCAGAATCAATCAATCAGATTTGGAACACACTGCCACCGCGACGCGTCGACGATGTTGAGGTAGAAAACGACAATCGAAAAGTCACTCCAGGTTCGTACTCTTCGTGCTCATCTGCATGGTGCACCGCTTTTCCACGTGTACATGTATGTGTACAAAATGCGTATAACCAATAATGTTACCCGTCAAACACGTAACTGAGGTGATTTTCTTCCTCTAGGCTTCGTTCAGCCGACTTTGCTTCGTCCTCGTTGAAAAGTGATCCTGAAAAAAGTTCGATTCGCAAAATTACGTTGATTTTCAATGTGCGTGATGACATGCGATTGCTGGCTATGAAACGTCTTGTTTGGCAAAAAATGAATCCGTTGAATCCAGTCAACCCTGCTCCCTGGGCAGGGTTGCTCGGATCCAAATTCAAAGGATCTGGATCGGGATTCGACCAATCGATCAATGCAGATAGAGTGGATCCTAAAGATCTGGATCTGGATCCCGCGGCGACCAAACGATCACGGGCTTATTAGTAGTGGTCTTCACTGACACCAGTCGCCAGTCAGTCGAAACTAATACTAGTTTATAGGCGATTCAGACAACGGCCAAAATCACGGCTGAACTTGAATTTCCATGGTGATGCAGTCGTGTTTCAAAATTTTATGCACAGTCGCTGATCAAACAGGTCTGAGTCGTAGAAACGTGGTCACAGTTGGCCGTAGTCTGAATAGCCTATAAATATTAAAGGGGAAGTTAAGGCAAAAATTAAAATTTCACCAGTTGTAGTCTTCGGGGTGCTGAGTCGAATGGTCTTGGTCTGAGAAAACTGAGACGCTCCCTTCCTACTTGAATCCCAATCGAACTCGCGCACTTCCACCGAAACTGGGTGACTGCGCCCTACTAGATGGGGATTTGTATGCAAAATGTCACTAAAAGCGCCATTTCGTTCTTATAAAAGCACGGATGACCGCGATTGGCCCATATGTTGTAGTCTTTTGGACGCTGAGTCGACTGGTTTTGGTCCGAAAAGGCTGCGATGCAGCGTTCGCCCCTAATTCCCAATCGAACATGGTTGAACAAGCGGTCACGTGCTCCTGCGTACACCAGTCAGCTGGTCACCGTGCCTGCAGGGTACAACTTACAGCCTGTTTTGACCTTTTTTGGGTGCAGTCCTGTCACTCGAGTTGAACCTTGGTGTGAAAGTTGTCGCCTGCTGGCGTGGTGACCAGGTGATTTTGGCACCCAGGAGCACGTGACCGCTTCTTCAACCATGTTCGATTGGGAATAAAGGAGGAACGCTGCATCGCAGCCTTTTCGGACCAAAACCAGTCGACTCAGCGTCCAAAAGACTACAACATATGGGCCAATCGCGGTCATCTGTGCTTTTATAAGAACGAAATGGCGCTTTTAGTGACATTTTGCATACAAATCCCCATCTAGTAGGGCGCAGTCACCCAGTTTCGGTGGAAGTGCGCGAGTTCGATTGGGATTCAAGTAGGAAGGGAGCGTCTCAGCTTTCTCGGACCAAGACCATTCGACTCAGCACCCCGAAGACTACAACTGGTGAAATTTTAATTTTTGCCTTAACTTCCCCTTTAATTATAATGGATCAGGCCAAGTAGTTTCCGTGCTGGGAGTGGGAGAGCGTGATGTGATGTCAGACCTTGCTGCGCTGAATGCATGCTACTTTGCTAGGTCACGCAGCTGATCAGTGCATGCTACTGTGCCAAGGCGACCGCAGAGCCTGTGCCTATCACCAGCCTGATCACTCTTGACTCTTGTACTCGCTGCTGGTAGTGCACGCAGTTTGCAGTGACAAGCAGCGCCGCGGCATACCTTTCGGTCTCTAGCTCAGCATGCACCTCGAACATACACTATGTACACCACTCATGAGTAAATCTACAAAGTCATAGATCTACGTAGGTGTCCGACTGACCGACATCGACAGCACAACCGTGAAAGGCTAGGTGTGTGGTGGCACGGACCGAGCAGGTGACCATTGGAAATCATAGACGAGAAGGTCTGAAATTTCGACGATATTTGTAGATACGTAGTACATTTTGGCAAATGCTCGTTCGTGTTGAAAACCGTGACCAATGGCGAACTCAAGAGCATGATTGCTTACCTGGCGAACCCACTTGACCAGGAGAGACAGAGGTAGCAGGACCAGTGACCGGTGACTGAGGAACCGAGAAGGATTGTTTTCCAGTGGTAGACCGGCTCGACGCAACCCTAGCGTCTGGCTTCCCGCGCAGCGAACGCTGCCAGGATGGATGAAAAGTCTGGCTTCGCGAGCTCCGGCTCCAGCATGGCATCCAATGACGGTGCTATCTATCACGGCGTGTCGCCATCCAAGGTAACGTTCATTAGGCCTAAACACAACCTGGCAATGACTAGAGCCCCGTGTCCATTGCCTGCATTCCCCGCGTTTGAAAGATACAGCTCTCCCTCAATGATTGACAAACACGGGGCACGAAAGGCAAATTGAAATATGCATTGCCTCCAGATTTTTTTTGCTTTCAAAGGTAGCTACAAGTATCACCTCTGTGGAATATGGCCCACATGGGTTACCCGTGGGCCATGGCAAAGCATGCCTACACTGGCTACATGTCTACATTGTAGCCTGTACTGGCTGTAGGCTTGTAGGCGCCTGGGCACCACTGGTACTTGTACCAGTACGTGTATGAAGAAGGCCTGTGGCCCTGGCGTAAAATCATGCCCCCTAGCTGGATAGAGGCACAGAGGGTAAAGGGTCAGTGGTTCAGTGGATGTACTGAATGTATGCAGCATAATAACGTTAGGAATTCATTATTCAGCGGCGGATCCACCAGCGATCTCTACAGGGGGAGTATAGTCAACACTGAATAGCTGATACATGTACACGGACACACATATGGTTGCCAGTATTACATTTACGAAATTTAGGGGGTCCCACGGAACCCCTGGAACCCCTCCTGGATCCGTCCCTGCTATTGTACTGACGTTATGAAGCACTAGACGGATGACCGAAGAGAACAAGTAGCATGCCTTGTAGAGAAGGCACATCCATCTGGGTAGTTGGGTATGCCGTGAAGAGCACAAGAAGCAAGAACCTCAATCCTGCAGCCTAGACTACAGCAAAGCGGCATATATTACCCGACAGCGCTTAGCGTTAGGTATACAGTCCAGCCGGGTGCGGCGTTGGTTATCCCAACTTCACCTGTCGCGAGCAAGTCAATCAACCAACCGAGCTGCTGACCCTAAGGTTATTGTGCTGTATGGGTCGGGTAGTGACTCCTTGAGTCACTGGGCTTCACTGCCAGTATGTACATACCCGCTCCCAACTGCTGTGCAACTATGCATGCGATACAGCACAGATTTTGCACCACTGGTCTGAGCACCTGTGATGGTTCCACTGCGGTAAACGGAATGGTGATGAAGATTGAAGACACCACCAGAATCCTCTGCAAATGCATTTTGGCTAGTCATGCATGCCTATGGAATACCTAGGGTTCACACATGGTTATCCAAGTAATTCGCTATTCACTTATCCAAACCGGGGCCTAGTCTCACCGCCGGACATGTTTGGATAACCAATACACAGGTGTACTTGTACTAGCACAGTAAAGTGGCAATTGAAATCCGACTGCACAAATAATATATGCCTGCTTTTCTAGCGCTATCCGATCCTGGAACTCGTACGCACTGTTGGGTAGCATACAGACCTGGCCGACTACATGCACTGGGCTGTGCAGTGAATGGCATTGATGCAATGGCTCTGACTGCTCAGGTCTATCAATGATGGTTGGATCAGTTTCACTTACCAACCGACTATAATACTAATGTGGCACATACATTTACCGGTCTATCTGCAGCACACAATGCCTACCTCTTATCAGGCCGTTGGTTGAAGTTCCACCGCTCTTCTAAATGCACTCAGACTGCAAGGCTAGGCTAGGCTAACCTCTAAACCAGGGAGGAAAGAAGCATCTGCAATTTTCTCCATCCAATGGAGCTCTGCATGGTCTGCTGTGAAACAGAGTGTCTGGCAAGCTGGAAACACACACTGACCCTTACACCAAGATGTAGAGGAGCAACACTGTTTCTTGTGCCTGCTGCACTGTGAGACGGAGTCTGGCATCTGTGTGTGTAGGTGTCACTTTGCCAGGTATAATGTCACTGGGAGCAGCACACTGGTCACGGTTTGGTCTGTGATAAGCGGGAGTCACGGTGATGAGGAGTGTGGTGTGGAGTATGGCAACTAGTGTTCTGTGACGTGGAGTGTGCCGGTGTGGAGTATGGCAACTAGTGTTATGTGGCGTTGAGTGTGCCAGTGTGGAGTGTCATGGTGATGTGGAGTGTGCAGTGTGATGAGGTGGAGTGTGGAATGGCAGGGTGGTTATGACACCAGGGGGCAGTGGTGGTGATGTGGAGTGTGGAGTGTGGTATGGTGTGCAGTGTGATGTGGAGTGTGGTATGGTGTGCAGTGTGATGTGCAGTGTGGAGTATGACAGGGTGGTTATGACATGGACACTGATGTGGACTGTGGAGTGTGGTATGGTGTGGAGTGGACCAAGTAGTGTGTAGTGTGTAGTGTGTAGCGAGGAGTGCACACAGTGACACTTTGCACAGGTTGTGACCTTGCTCAGTGACCCTTTTTCATAGTCACAACACTTGTTATTGCTGGACCGTCATACAGCGCCTGCTCTGGTGTGTACTGGCATGATGCCACCACGTGTTTCATCCTTGCATGTGTGTGTGTGTGTATGTGTGTGTGTGTGTGTGTGTGTGTGTGTGTGTGTGTGTGTGTGTGTGTGTATGTGCGTGTGTGTGTGTGGGTGGGTGTGTTTGTGTGTATGTGTCACTGTGTGTTTCGTGCAGAAATTAGCACTCCAAGTGTTCTTCATCTGTGTGGCGCTGGCGGTGTTGGTAAGTAGAGTCGTAATACTATCACATGCTCATTGGTGCTATCAAGAGTAGATGTACTCTTGGTGTGATCTCTACTTAGCCTGGGAAAGCACAGTGGCTAACTGTAAAGATCTCTTGTTATCAGCAATGTTATCAGCATGCATGGTCTTAGCTGGCACAGTTGAAAGTTTAAGATAATTTGTTATTGGGAGAGATTCATTTCAAAGTCGAAATCTGCACGTAGTGCTAAATCAATCAATGCAGTTGGATTTTTAAACCATGACGTGTGCCGGCCTGAATCACTGTGATCGTTTTGTACATGTGTTTGTATTTTTATTGTGTGTATATTCCTTTTTCCGTAGGCCTCGCTGGTAGTATGTTTTGTCCTGGGCAGCACGGAGCGTACTCTGTACATGCTCGGAGTAAACCAGTGCAGTAAGTCTGACGGTTAGAGTGAGCTTGGGACCGGGGAGTGGCATTGTACTACTCCCTGCTTGTGGCTGATGTGCTACTATCACTGGTACATGTACTGCGCTTGGCATGTTCATGTACCAGTGACAGTAGCTTGATAGGACTGCTACTGGAATAATGCACTTCTAGTATCTGAGGTACTACATGACTGCACTTATCTGCACACACTGGACTATGCCCACCCATGCCAAGGGTGGACGATTTCCGTACTAAGCAAGTACATGTATAAGTATATGTCCGACCAGACTAGTATGTAGTAGAGTATGTAGTGACGGTGACGGTTCCACTGTACAGTACAACCTGGTGTAAGCGACCACCCCACGGTGCAAGCAAAAGTGGCCGCTAAAGCCAGGTGGTCTTTAGAGCCAGGTCCCAGAGTGTCTGTGTAGAACTGTCAGCGCATGGAAAAACGGTCCTTAAGAGCAGGTGGTCGTTAAACACAGAGGTCGCTTACACCTGGTTTTACTGTACATGCGTATCATCAGGTGTACTCTGTGGCACTTCACTTGCTATGCCCTTGAAGCCAATTCATTTCTAGCGTGGCCTGAGGCTAGCATTAAATGCTAGCCTCAGGCCACGCTAGAAATGTTCACGATCAAATTTTGATCGTGAATGATGGCGGTGAAAACCTAGGATGAGTCTATGCCGGAATTGGCGTGATACTGATAGGTATGGAAAACCAGCAATGCTGGCAGCCGGCTATAGTTGCTCCTCCAACATTGAATATCCTGCGGGATGCGAGTTGCGTGGAGTATGCGTGTGTAGTGTTCACACATACATTATATGGACTGTCACACGCATATATATATACACAGTGCCGTTTGTACTCCTATCCATTTACATAGGCCGCTTTCCACACCTGTGCTGACAGTCGGTACGCACCGACTCTGTACTCATGCACGCACACCATGACATTCTGTTGGCATCATATTGCGGAGCTTTCCGGAGCTCCGAGTGAGTTGTTGTTGGAATAAAGTAAGAGACCAACATTACAGCGTGCACTCACAAACATGCATATGCACCTTCCGGGTGTTTTGTATTCACATGTCCTAAATAGAACGATGTCATGTCCTAAATAGAACGATGTCATGAACGATGTCATGTGTTGTGTGTGTGTGTGTCCCTCTACAGTCACTCTAGCCAATTGTCTAGTCCTGGTGAGTTTAAGTCAGTCCAAGTCACGGTACAGTGCATGAGGCAATCTACAAGTGCACTGCTGCTCATTGAAATCCGATCGTGTGAGTCAAGCCTGCGCCCTGCACCAGTTCACCATCCCAGTGTTCGCAGGCCGAGGGCTGCACAGCGCTGCCCGGCACCAGTTCACATCCCAGTCACGGTTCACAGACCTAGGGCTGCACAGCAGTGACAGCACCCACTGCCGGTGTGAACTTGACTCACGGGCGATTGGATTTCACTGAGCAGCACTGACTGCACTACCACAACACACAACATACATGTATATGCTACAACATACATGTATATGCTATTTGCTTTGAAGTACATGCTGGCAGGATACATACTTCACCTCTTTAGTACTTTATTCCGAGGATGTGTATCTCCAATAAGGGGCTTTCCCGGATCGAAGATATCCTCATGCATGGTTTGACCGAGCACATGATCAACTAGCTACCTTCGTGCTGGACTTCGAATGCAAGCTCTGTAGTACAGTCCAGTTTGTACAATACAGGAATAGAACAGTGCGGTGTGATTGTTTCCAAGCTTATTGTATGAGTGTTATGTGCAGGACTTGGTGGAGAAATTATCTGTAGAAAGTTACTACTAGAAACACGAAAGCTCTGTAGTGTTCTTCTTTCTGGTGTCGCTGTGTGTTCTTCAGCGGACAGGACTTGTACTAGTTGCTGGTGTTATGCTACTTACTGCAATGTGTTTGTGTTTGTGTATGGCGGTGTGTTTCTTTGCGCAGCTCAAGTGGTACAAGAGTGGCACATTGGTACGGTGAAGACTCTATGCACTTGTACTGCTGCACTGTACACCCACTGCCAGTAGTCACCGGACCGGAGCCAGCTACGGGGGGGGGGGGGGGGGGGGGGTGGTGGTACAGCCCCAGGGAGGCTACAGGGCCCAATTACCCCTCCCCTTACCATATTTTAGTATCATAGGAGGACGCATTGCCAGATCTATGCACATTATCTGCTTGTTTTAGCTTCGCAGTCTGCTAGCAACATGTGGTGAGCTAGCCTCCATAGTACATAATTATGTAGTTCTCACTAAACAAGAAGAGCAGTTTATGACAGATAGGCTCTAGTGGAATGTGTACAGGATAGCCGATTAGTACTCAGTGCTTCCACAGTGTTTTCAGTGAGCGATTGAAATCGCTCACTGGATAATATTCCAGGAGCATTGGAGTTGGTAGAAACTGGTCCGACCATGACCGTTCCTGCCGTGCCAGTCAGTGGTGCCGGCCCAGAGTCCATGCGTTCATCATGCCATCTACTAGATGTGCTTTTTGTGTTGGTCATGTTGCGGAACTGATCCATGCAGCATGCCATAGCAGGCAGTCCGGCAGGTCCGGCACCTGCCGGACCAATATTCGACCAAAAAAAAAAAAAAAAAAAAAAAAAAAAAAAAAAAAAAGCGGGACCTCACAGATGTGAGCAGCTCAGGATGTCCACCCGGTACCATTGATGAGGATGTGTGCAATAAGTAGCATAGAGGTAGTACATAGTAGTGCCGGTAGTAGACCTACATATACATGTCATCACTTTCAAGAGTATGACCCTGCTGAAGGTCATGTGGACAGTCGTGCCCGTGAATGTTCCTACTCTGTACTTCCTGAAATGTATTGATTCTTTTCTTCCTCCAATTCTTTCTAGATAGGGTTTGTACCAAAGATATTCCATTGCAATACCCTTTCTCCTCCTCCAAAGGTCCATTTTGGTTCTTTTATCACATGTGCATTTAGATACGGTTGCTATGCCTTCATAGGCTTCAACAAGTTCTGTTTGGACGGACACAACATGCTGATGCCCTTTTTCCTGACTCATGCCGAACGTCCTTCTTCCTTTTCTCGCCCTATGTCACTCTGCATGGTCACGATTACATGCATGTACATGTATGTACAATCATGTACATTAATTTTTGTACATGTACCGGCATATGTATGAGTGTGGGCTCGGGGGGGGGGGGGGGGGGGGGGGAGCATCGAAGTCGGATCTTGCCGGACCAACCAAATGATGGGGCTGCTACGGGCCTGATGCTGGGATAGGAAGTACATGTGCTTCGGATACCAAGTACGATTTCTGGTTCCAATGTAAAATATAGTCCAGGATCGAGGAAAACTTCAACCGGTGTGCGTGTGTGTGTGTGTGTGTGCGCGCTCGTGCACGCACACATGCCTATACCATGTTTGACAGTTTCATGGATTGACTTGTGTCTATCCGCTGCTCTTTCTCCTGTCTGCAGCCTCAGACTTGGCTGTGGTATTTGGTGATGGTGGGTGTATTTCTAGTCATCCAGTCGGCTATCACGGACATCATGGTTGGTGAGTATCCCTACTCACCGGCTACAACACAGCCGCCACCCACCACCTATCCGCCCATCATCACAACAATACCCAGCAACATGACCAACACGACCACCCCGCGGCCTGTAACGACGACGACCAATTCATCAAATGCTAGCGCGATATTTGGCTACGAGCCGATGGCACTTGTCTTCTAGTGTGTCCTGGGCAAAGCGTGTGTGCTTCCACAGCCTTCCAGCTTGTGTGAATGAATCAGGCTGCTGCTGCGTGTGAGAACCAGAACTCCATGGAGGAATATTGCAATCTGCATGAATTCCAGCCCGCGTGGCTGGATACCAACACTGGAAGAACATGTCTTACGATGTGTACAAAGTTACTAGTATTTTATTCAACCCTTTTTGTTATACTCTCTTGCAAGCTAGCCATACTCCCTAGATTGTGTGGTCGCTTTCTAGGGAGTCTTTTACTGCAGGGGCGCCCAGTCTAGGCCGCGGGATATCTGATATCTACTGGTGACCACAGTTAGGTAAGTGTAAGCTATCTGGCTACATACACCACTGGCACTGCATGCATGCACACTGCACACATACACCATGCGTGCACACTGCATAATGAACATTACCACTGGATCACAGTTTTAATATTTAAAAAACATATTTGTCTCATGTGATTGCCTTTACTGATAATCAATCCTTGCAGTACATGAATTATTTCAGAATTTGCTCCATCAATTTAGCACTCAGGTCCAGTAAGGATTTTAGGCGGTTACGGATATGAAGTTTGAGGGGCGCATGTTGGACAAGCGTTCATATGCATAAGCCTGCATCTCTCATTATTGTGATCCCATGCTGGATCTTTCGAGTTGAGCTTCATACTAATTTTGTCATTACCTGACCTGGCGCCGGTGGCTTCACAGCGTCAATGTTTGCACATCTGAATGGACTTTCCAATGGTACAGTGTACCAAGCAACATGTGTTGGGAACATGTGTTAGCGTGTTTGATGATCAGTTACATGTGACCACTGGCATGATAATAACAGGAGTGAGTTTAGTGCTGATAGAGTAAAAAAACACCCCAGGGCAGGGGTCACAAGATAACGTTAGAAGGGGGGGGGGGGAGCATAACACCCTGGCCTAGAATGCTAATTTGCCAAGCTGAGGGATTTGCACTCTTGCTGGTGCCACGGTTGTATGTGTGCTTCAACGGATGTAGGCAGAGCTAGGTATCTGATGCTGGTATGTGACTTGGTGTGAATGGTTGCTGCCCACAACCGGCAGCAGAGTGGCCTAAAACCTGGCATGGCCCAACACTTCAGCCAATGTTCCCATTAGTTCCAACATAAACACTGGGCATCAGCCACTATCCATACTTCCATAGTTATGCTCAATAATTAGAAGCAGCAGCAGTAGGGTGAACCAATCAAAATTAATAGTGAACAGCAGCTAGCTCAGAGCACTGCCAACACATGAAGCAGCATTTTGAATGCATCTTTATAATACAAAAAAAATAGAAAGGTTTTGAAAAGAGTCGATGAGCAATAGCATGCCGTTGTCTGGCTGCAGCGCTGACGGTAAAAGGAAAACCAATAATTAAAATAGCACTCAAGTCAAGAAGACTAAGCTACTTGGAAAAAGTATTTGAAGCAAGCTTGCAGCAGAGTGACATGGCTATAGTGCGGGTGTAGTGGGAGGGGGGGGGGGCAACATGCTAGGATGGTGTGCAGAATACGATGATGGGTGTGTGACGGCAGAGTCATTACACCGCTAAGTGGGAAAGATTTGAAAATCGTTAAACTTTACACTCGTCACACTCTCAATTCTGTTATGTGGTATTGGCTGCTGATTCATTATCACCTGTCTGGCACATAAGGGTGGCGGGGCGGCATGGCCAAGGGGCATCTTGCACCGCTAACATCTGTATGGAGTAGAGCAAGACAGTAGACAGTCACGTGAGCGAGGTGCTTGGGAAACCCAGCATTGTACTACCCTCATTTCACATCTATGCAGCACAATCATAGTCCTTTGTAGTACATGGATATGTAGCAATGCACAGATCATCAAAACCACATCAGAACCAGCTACAGACATAACTATGAGTTATAACCTGCCAGCCTTTCCAAGTCCGAGAGTGAGACTGAACCTTTGCCCTCTCCTGATCCGGATTATGTCTCAGGTGCGACAGGCTCAATGGAACCATTTAGGAAGCTAAGCTCTATATGCACAGACTCAGCATGGACAACACAGGCATGGCTGGTCTGGCTAGTAATCAGCTCAGAGAAGAGAAATGATGCTAGTACTACACGTCACATGCACATGTACAACAGGCTACAGCATGCACAGCCGCTCTACTTGGTTATCAGCTCCAGGCAACAGGTTGTACCGGTACTTCGTGACCCTGCTCTTTCATGCACCATGCCTTTGCCTTGCAAGCTGGACGAGTAAGTGCCAGGGGTTATCCTACTGGTACTATCTTTCCATTAATTTTCATTTTCATTGCAACAGTAAAACAAACAATGAATTTGGGTATTTCCTCCGCAGTTTCATAACTAATGGAGAGAACGAGCGACCAAATAACACTTATCAGGTGGGTGTGGACTGCGGTGTTATTTGAGATCGGGTTCTTGTTCACTCATCCTCTCCATTTTTATATATTAAATACTCAATATCAAGTACTGCAAGTAGGCACATATTAATAACACACTGACTGGGTTTGTATGAATGGGGCAGTCAAACTTACATAGTTCCTTTCTCCTTCTGTCCACGTCTGCCCTTATCCTTGGTGGTTGGTTTCGGCACACTGAATGGTTCCATCTCCACCATTGACAACCTGTTCGTACTGGTGCGCAAGACTTGCGATCCACTGCGCTGATTTAAACTGCCAGTCCAATCTGCAGAGGCTGCGTGCGGTGACGCAGGCTTGGGCGTGTACGGAGACGAGTTTGTCACGCTATGCGCCAGCGGAACTGACGGAGAGTAGCCCGTTGCCAGGGGCGGCACCTGCGCTGCACTCTCCTCCACATTGGTTATGGCGTGGCGACCATTGCTGGCCTTGCCGTCCTTTCTGGCTTTGAGCGAGCCGTCCTTCTTTGACGTGACATGTATCGCTGCCACGCTAGCCGATGCAGTGATTTTACTGTTCTTTTGAGATCCAGTATTCCGATCCAGAGTAGAGGATGTGTTGCTGGCGGTTTTCGTGAGGGTGTCACTGTCGTGGCCGTTGCGCCTGCCAGAAAACTTCCCAAGCCAGCTGGACGAGCGGGGCTTGCCACTGCTGTTGGTATTGTTGCTACTGTTGCCATGCTCTCCTGCAACACTCATACTAATACTACTACTACTACTAGTAGTAGTAGCCTGCTGCTGGACTGACTCTGCAGTCACAGCTGAGCTAGCAACGCTGAGAGAACTACCATTACCAGCCGAGGAGGTGGCAGTGGTAACGGGCGCAATAGCAACGCTGGTGCTGGAGTCAGGGGTCTTGGACGAGCGCGTTCTCTCAACAGTGGGGTGCGGTCGAGTCACCGACTGGGTGAAGCTGCTTGGCGGTGTTTTGGAGTGCGGAGCGCGGTCCACTACACAGAATGGGACTATGGCGTTGACGTCGGATGTGGAACGGCGCCGCATTTGTCGCTCGTTAAGTGCCTCCTTGGGTGGCAGTCGCACCGTATCATAAGCAATAGGCTCCTGGCACACAACAGTGCCTGTACTAACAATACTTTGCGTATCAGAGTTATCATCAATGGCACTGACAGGACGAAACCCATGAGCAGAATCCGACGGCAGCTGGGTGTGTTTGCTGGACCGTTCACTCTCCGTGGTGGATGGCGTCCTTGAATCAAGGACCTTGACAGCAACGATTTTGGGACCGGGAAGACCACTGCCGTTGAGTTGACCTGGGTCTGGGGATCGGAAGTTGGCTGTTGGCGACACCGATCGTTTGCCATTTGCATTTGCATAGTGGCGGAATGCTGCCTGGGGAAAGCCAGAGAAGCTATCAGTAGCTGAGTCTGTATCTTCCGTTGTAGTGTTGGGGCTGTAGCTACTAGTCGTATTCAGAGAGAGACCAGTGGAGGAAAGAGTTGAGACTGTCTCCCAAGTGCCCGTGCCAACTCCTTCCAGTTTGTGCTGCGGTACCGACGCTTCAAGCTTTCCTTTCACTCTGGTCCACTTGTCAAAAGCAGATGCTTCGCCGGACGGGGACAGCACGCCAGGACGAGAGCCAGGCGTAGACGGCGTGTCACCACGCTTGATTCGTTTCCAGGTGTTGTCCTTGGACTCCCCGCCGCCATTGGCAGCTGCCGCCAGTGCTAGTTTAGCCTGGAGTGACTGCAGGTTGCCTTCGCTGTAATTACGCCGGTGCCCAGGCCGGCCAGGAGAAGATGCCGCTGCTCCGGCCGCAGGTGCGCTCAAGCCGGACGGCGGACTGTAGGTTTGCGACGAACGATTACCATAGATAGGTTGGCAGGAGTCAGCATTGGAGAAGCGTGTTGCCGACTCACTGAGTTCAGATGCATGGACAATCACCTGCATCCCCAAAGCAAATCAGTCAAATCAGTCAAATCAGTCAAATCAGTCAAATCAGGAATGTACATGTACTAGTTAGTAGTACAGGTAAGTAACTGAGTAATAATTATGTACTTCACTCTCAGGGAGAATACTCATACTTCAAGCCTTCAACCCCCCCCCCCCCCTCCCCCATACAGTGGAAAGGCCTGATTTTAATTTTCTGGTAGTGGAATAAAGAGACCATTTTCCTTAGCACTCTCATTGCCCTGATGATGCCCAATCATCGGGGTGAAATAATGGCAGTACCTGAAGTACTTTATTCATTTATACTTTTTGTGCAGCAGCTGAGAGCCTGTTGGGGGGGGGGGGGGGGGTGGAGGTGTTCACAAGTGGAGTAAAGAGCACTCTTCAAAATGTACTACTATTAATTTTAATTTTAGAAGTCAGTCCTTGAACTAGCACATGCAGTGCTGCCAAATAATTTTCGCCCAAAATCGGACACCCTTCATCGCCAAGGCTGGCCACATGGTGCGAATTTTTCTCCTCAGCAATATTTTCCGGAGAATTCACAATACCGCCCAAATTACCATGGAAATTCGCTTCGTTGCCATGGTAACCGATCTTGCACACCGAAGTAATTGATTGCCATGCCTGAATTCTGTAATCCTGGTAATGCATGAGTGTGGTCACGCACTGTACAGTGTACATGCCCTCGTACTTTGCACTTCCACCGCCAAGCGCTAGCCTTTTTAGAAGCACATGACAGTGAGTCTTGCCTTCAGTTGCGCTGAAAAGCGAAAATACAGGACTTCTGAATAGGAAAGTACTGATCCCTGACATTTTTGGCTACTTTTCGGACGTTTCCTTTTTCGGACCGGTTTTCGGAAGAGCCTTCAAAAATCGGACACTGTTCGAAAAATCGGACGGTTTGGCAGCACTGCACATGTCAGACAAACCAATGTGCAGAAGAACGGTTGTGCTTTGCTCTGCATGAAGCAAGGCAAGGTGAATTGAATTCCATGGTGCGATGTTAGCCTCCACCTTCACACCGGTCATGTCTTTGCATCAACTACCCATGCACATGTACGACATTATGAGCATGAACATTCTGTCAGCGTACCTGCCAGGCAGTTCCGTGTGCGGCTTCCAGCGTCCGTCGCACCATCTCGTGAGCCTCATCAACCGTGCGACTAGCAGTCTCGCCTTTGCCATCGTCATCATTAGCCATCAGTGCCTTCAGACCGCGTGTCAATTCCCTGCATTATCAATACACGGAATCCATGGTCAATATACGCATACCACCACTACAAGATTGTCGACCTAACATCAGCACGTACAAGTACTAGGTCCTACACCATCGCAGGGAGCGTCTTCTGAGGAGCCGCAATTTTACGGTATGTAACAGGCTTTTCTTGTCATAGGCAGGGTGCCTGGACGCTAGTTTCAAGCGCTACACTGGGATTAAATATTATTACGAAATTAAGATGGTACGAGACACTATTTTTTTCCATTTACCCATCAATAAATACGAAGTCAAATACACTAATCGAATACATGTACATGACTGATTGTACTAGTAAGTAGCACACAATTCTACACACAGGACACTTACTTTGCAGTCACCTCAATGTCACCCGGTTGCACCTTGGCCGGGCGTAGCGTGGATGTAGTCATCTCGTCTGCCGAGCCTTGGCGTTCCACTGGCACACTGTGTGGCCGAGGTCGACTGTACATTGCCAACGGATCGTCTCCAACACCGACAGTGCTCCGCTCAACAGCAACAGGCACAAACCGTTCCGGTGCGAGCATGAAATCATTCGGGAGACTGGACTTCTTCATGACTTTCGGATGAGGACGTGCGGGTGGCAGCCCAGTCACGAATGCACTGACAGCAGGCGGTGAGCTTCTTGGGTTATCATGGCGTGTAGACATCTCCGATGGTAGACCACTGGTCGAGGACCACTTGCCCGTGCGACTGCCTGGTAGCATTTTACCACCATCGTTGCCATCTGGTGGCCAAGATCTAGATAGTGAAGCACAGGGTAGAGGAATGAATGCATCATGGAGTCACATGGTTTCAAATCAAAAGAAAGCAGGAATATTAGCCAACATACAGCAACACAGAGTTTTAACTTGTGACTGAGGTCTTCACTGGGATACAGCTCATTTCTGAATGGAGGGAGAGAAAGGGACTCAGATAGAGGTAGAGATAGATAGATAGATAGATAGAGAGAGAGAGAGAGAGAGAGAGAGAGAGAGAGAGAGAGAGAGAGAGAGAGAGAATATGCAGAGGAAGCTGAGAAGGCGGAGGAGAATGAGCAAGAATGAGCAGGGAGCAAGGGAAGGAAGAAGCATAACCCAGTCAGTGGGCATAACAGCTCTACCTCTTGATTGGTGAAGATGTAATAACACCGTCCTTGAACACCATGGTGTCCAGTGAAGATTCACTCAGAGATCGTCTGTCTTCGGGCAATGAGCTTCCACTGCTAGTACTCTTGGAGCGCATCTCCCGCAGTGTACGTGTATGCTGCAGAATAAAGCAACAAGATTACCCACAGCTGTCAGAAGGAATTAAAAAATATGTTCAGTAGTATCAGTACCGAAGGAGCCTCTTGTTGCTGTTGTGGGGAATGAACATAGTCGGCCGCAGAGCGCAACGGTGGTGGTGGTGGTGGTGGTGAAGTAGACGCAGAATTTTCAAGGGCCGAGAGCTGCTGCTTACTTTCTTGTTAAGATTACCCAGGTCACAAGTAGAATAGCATTCACAACTTCACACACTTCAAGTACATGGAAATACACATCATCCGCTAATAACACCAAGCCGACATGTGTAACAGTAGAAAAACAAACAGTGTGCGGTGTGCATCGAATAGTCTGTGTCAATATTGATCAATAACAAGCCTTGCAGCTGTCGCTTGGCTTCGCTAGCCACACCGCTGTGTTCACAAAACGTCTACATGTAAGTTAGGTGGACCGTTGCTGAAGCGCGTCAATATGTGTGAACTACCAAGCTCCCGTTACTATGACAATGTCTATTAAACAATAGTTACAATACTGTAGTGTGTAGTGTTCACTTGGACGTGTGACGGTGTGTGTACCTGTTGTGCATGACATACCTCCGTTGCCGCAATGCCATGGCCTGCTGAACCGGGTACACGGAGTGACGCCAGCACCTTGCGATATTCCGTGATGGATGCTGTCGGAGTGGCCGGCGATGGCACTGCTGTACTGGCAGAACCTGAACCGGGCCGTGCTGATGCACCCGCGCTGTTGAGCCGCGCATGCTGCAACTGTCGTAGCTGACAGTCACGCTCAGCGTGCAGGACAGTGATGTCTGCCTGCGCATCAGCCATCTTCCATTCAAGAGCGCTGATCGTCTGTTCTTTCTGCAAGAGAGCCAGCTGCAGGTCCTGGACCTGTACATAGTCAATGAGTCAATGCACAATACAGAGCCTACGGTAAGCAATGGGCTGAAGTTATAAGGCTAGGGGGTGGTAGAGACCACACGTTAGGATAACATGTACACTGCACTGTCAAACATTTACACCCTCTGTACACTATCTTGTTTCATTTGTCAGTGATGAGTCTGATGACCGCCCAGAACAGGCGCCAAGTTATAATTTACATAGGAAGTACATAGGAGCTCATGCAGCAGAACATTGCACTGGGATACAGGTCATTGCACTGGGATACAGGTCGCATTCACAATGTCAATGCACCTCCTACTAAGAGCTTAATAAGCACTAGCAAGTGTTTGGATATGCATGCGCCATACCATCCTGACATTGCATGCATTGGCTGCAAGGCCACAATTGCAATAGCACCCACTCAGTTATCCCTCTCCAGGACCCGGCAAGTGCTTACCAAGGTGCGTAGATCATCCTGCTGTTGCAATGCCAGCTCATACTCCTGAGTCTGGTGGATCATCTCAACGATGACTGCGGCCTGTGGAGCTGAAGCAGTAGAAAGAGAGAAAAAATGGAAAGAAACAGCACACCCTTGATCACACTAAAGAACAGAACTAACGCCAGGCTCTTTACAAGGAACACCTCCAAAAGATTCCACAAGTACCGTAATTTACAAGTCTACCCCCGATACTTGGGGTCTCAATTTACTGGTTTAGCCGATCAATATCATCAATGGAGGTTAAACTCTGCTTGTAAGTAGACTAACCTCTTTAATCCGTTTCTTAGGTATTATAATAAATAAAAGGTCAACTTATAACAGGAAAAATACGGTACTTTCATTTCCTTCTCTTCAGGTGGATACATGCAGAGAAGAACCTAACAAGTACACTAACTAATATACAGAAAGGTGATATAAAGCAGCCTTTGATCACACTTTTAAAACTTATAAAAGCTTTCGACCATAGGTACGCGGCATCAGCAAAGTCCGTGTAAGCGTAGAACACTCTGAAGGTTATGCCAGCTGAATCTTGCCTGAAGACGCAGGGCCGAGGCCCGCAGACCCCGAGGGATGTGTCCAAGGGCAAGATATCAACCATCATGACCGACAAAGGGTGTGCTTGAATTGACTTCTTACACGAGTGACAGGAGTTGGGGTCAAAGGGTCAAACTTCCGACCTCCCAAATGCAGGGATTTCCCCAAAATGACGTCAACCGGGCATGATGAGCTGATTATGCCTGTGGTGGGAAAGCTGGGTATTGGTCAGGGCCTGGGCAACGATCACTTGCCGTGTCAGACATGTGTATCTTGACAGTCAGTGACTACAGCATATCAGCAACACAGTCACGCCATGGCTGTAAACAGTCGGGTACATGTACTGCTAAGATGTCTCTACATGTCGAACATACTGGACTGTGTCTCACCAACCTTCAACTTTCTCGTTGGCAAGCTTCAGGTTGAGGCGTCGCAGGTTGTTGATTTCATTCTGCAGCATGCGCTGAATCTCCTGCTCGCGCCGCTGGTGCATGAGGAGTGCCTGCTCAACACGTGCCTTGGCTGACTGCACGCCCTCTCCCACATTGCGCAGCTCGTCGATTTTCTCCGACAGGGTCTTCACTGTGGTTTCATAGTCGGACTGTAGCAACAATAGACAGCACCACAGTGACACCATGGACGCCATTCACCAACTCTACCATCTCAGGAGTATTCCGCTCCATAAGGCCTTTTCTACCGCACAGCACACGGCGCCATCAAAAATGCACCAAAACTACAATACGTCAACAACCGGTGTGCCCATGGTGTGAGAATGTATTCGTATAGTCTATGTGAAAAGGGATACATTGAATAGCATTCAAGAGCATGTGCATCATGGGTGTCAAGGTACAACAGCAATATCAGCGTCGGTCTCGTGCATCTTGCTGGAAACATTTAGTATAAGCTCACCAAACTGATTGCCGATGCGGGACCACTTGTTCCATTGCCGCTTGCCCTGTCCTCCCCACCAGAAGCAGAATCGTTGGCTTTCTCGCCTCTGTTCCTGTCGCGCACAGTGACACGTGGCCGCTTGTCAGCCGCTCTCTTGCCGCTCACAGACCTGACAAGAGCACGCTGGTTCTTCTGCAAGTTACTCTCGCTGCTCTGCAGCCTTGAGCGGCAGTCCTCCAGCTGTCTGTGCAGGCGCTGGTGTGAGACGCACAGCTTCTTGACGTGCTCCTCGACGTCGGCCGATCCCCAAAAGCGCACTGCGGCCAAGTTATCCAGGAGCTGCTCGACCATCTGGACAGACTCATTGGTCTCTCGTCTTTCAGCCTCCTCCTGCACACAACCGGGAACAATATACATAACAATTTGTGCGAGCATGGCTAACGGGTATACCAAGGTGCATACGCTGGTTGTAGTTGATCGATCTTTTCAGGCCCAACACCATCGCACACTGGTTGAATAGACATTGATTGCCAAGTGTAGATCATAGATATAATAGCTTCTCAGTTTAAAAACTGAGAAACTCGTATTTGTACTTGACCCAGGTCTAGATCCGAGTATTCTATGTGTGTGGATTTCATGGAAACCTCACCCACCAAACAAGGCGCAGCAGGAAACCTCACCCACCAAACAAGGCGCAGCAGGAAACCTCACCCACCAAACAAGGCACAGCAGGAAACCTCACCCACCAAACAAGGCGCAGCAGGCCTCTCACGCTGTAAACATCATGGCGAAGAGCCTCCAAGTGAAACCAGCCAATGAAAAATATCTCAGTCAGCAATATGCATCATTTAGAGTATAACTGAGGATGCGGCAGGTCAGACGTACCTCTTCAGTACTGTTCTTGTCCTTACGACTGCCCATGTGCAGATCAACCATGAACACGCTCTGAATATCATGAGCAGTTGACGCCAAGGAGAGGGCATCATCGTCCTTGGAGACTCCACCGTGACTCTTGCCTGCACCGGAGGAGATTGACAGCGTGGAAGACGTGTCGGGCAACAGTGGGCGCCTGCTGCGGGGGTCGGCGAGAAAGCTTTCCTTGAGGTCACCCTTGATGATGCCGTGCAGCTCTGGCACAAGGTCAGGCGTATCCGATAGTGGCCTTGGTCGAGGAGTGGATGCCTCCGGTCTTTCTTCCCTGTCTGGATCGGTGACGTCGTCGATGTCAGCAGCAACAGCAGCAGCAACAGCAGCAGCAGTGGGTGGACTATGATCCTGCTGTTCTAGATCGTCGGAATGATCGCGGCCAACCAGCTGCTGGTAAATGCGCTGTCGCAGCTCAACATTCTCTTTCTGCAGTCGCCAGAGCTCCACCTTGACCTGATCGCTTTGCTGCGAGTGCATGTGTCTGTGCTTGTCTATTCGACGTGTCAGAGCGTCATCCGCACCTCTGGCTGATGGGCGCTTGCTACTTTCCGCACCTCCCTCGGTCAGTTGGATAATACGCTCCTGACGAGCAGTCAGTTCTGCCTGCAGCGCCTCCTTTTCTGACTCAAGCTGCTGGCAACGCTCGGTGATGTCTTCCACAGCTTGCTGACAAGACGTCGCGATAGTTTTATGTTGTTCCAGCAGCTGTACAAGAACAAATACCAGAAACAATGCACGTATTGAGAATGGTGGCCGGGGAAGCTCACTGCTAAATAAACCATAAATTCCAATTGGATTGAAAAGTTTTCCTTCGCGTGGTGGAGAAAGAGTGTTGGAAAAAGTTTCAAATACAAAACTAATTCACAAGTGAAAGTTAATTAAACCTCTCATGATATCGTGCTTCGAGTTGCTGTCAGTGCGAAGAACCGAAATCCACTATGGGCATTCGCCAGCAGAAGTATACTGCATACATTGACCTGCAACTGGGCCACGAAGGAAACCCCGTATATGTCTGCACTAACATAACTACCCGAACATACCTGTGAGACCTCTTCAAACTCGGTCAGTTGGCTCTCTAGGTGTTTGGTTTTCAGCTTTGATGCATCCAGGTCACTTCTGGCTTTCGCCAGAGCCGCCTGGGCAGCTTCCAAAACCGAATGCTTCTCCTTGGTCCGAGTGCATTCCTCCTGCACCGTGGAGCGCAGTGTGTCCAGCTCCTTGAGAAGACTGAGCTTGTCCATCTGTGCTGAACGGGTGTCCATCTGTGCAGCGCGTGTGTTCACTTGCGCCCGTCGACACTCCTCCAGAGCTACCTCCTTCTCCGTCGACAGCTCTTCGAATATGGCCTCTGTTTCTTCCACCTTCAAAAGAGAATGCAGGAGAAGACAGGAAACAGATGAGAACGAAATGTCGTACTTTGCAGTCATACTTCAAGTACGTCTAACCAGTAGAGGAAGGAAAGGAAAGGTTCCCCGTCCCTCCTCCTCCTCACGTGAGAAGGCAGTTTCAGTGTCAATAACTTATCAACACAGGTAGGATGTCATGCTTACCATTGCCGTATCATAGGACGACACAACACTGACGGCGAATGCAGGGAGGGGGGTTACATGACTATCAAATGTATTCTACAAAGCATTCCAGCAGGCCAAACAAGGGGGTCCAAGCTCTATATCGCTTGATCTCAAAGTGACTGAATGCTACTGGAGTCTATTTAGTGAAGAGCACTGAGGTGCACACATTGCCGTCCTGCTTGAAGGATAGCAAGGCAGATACAACCAATGATCCAGGCCACTGCCGGCATAGCATGCAGCCTGGCAGTAAAGTGACACATACACAGTCAAAGCCTTACCAGCACTACATGCATCATGAACAGTAGCAGGCTAATCGCACAGCATGCCTCTGAGCTAGTATAGGGTCAGCTGTGAGTAGATGCACCACATGATTTACTCTAGGCACTACATCTGAACCGGAAACTTCTCCTATTGGTCACAGATCACCGTTAGAAGTAAAAAAAATATATTTCCAAGGGACTGACTGGTCTTTGCGGCGGACTCTAACCTTCTTTTGCACAGCATCTCGTTCAGCTCGGAGTTGCTGTGCCTGCCGTTCTAAGTCAGAGAACTGCGATGTGATGGACGCAACCTGTTGTTCGGCTTCAGCTAGCTTTCTCTCAGCAATGGCACACTGCAACACAACAAACAGAACACGCAGAGAAACTAAATGACTACTAGAAAGCTCAGTGTCATTCCTCATACATACATGTACATGTAGATCAAGAACCAGTGCGATATTCAGTGGTGGCCAAATACATGCACAGGGGTCACAACACCAATGGAGCAAATTAACAAAGAATGAGGAAGCACGCCTGTAATGAATGGACTGCAACTTTCCCCAGTGGGCACCACTTCCTGCTTCAGTGTGTATGTTTGCAGATAAATTTTGCACAGCGTGTTGGAGCATATCAAGTGGAGGATACACACCAGTTCTACATGTACATTGCGGATCACAGCTATTTATTTATTTAAGATTTATTTAGTCAAGATTTATTTATTTATTCAACATCTTATGGCTTCCGATGGCAGCCAACACGGGGAGATGTGGGTGATAGCCAACCATGGTAAAAGAAGGAGAAGATTATATACATGAACAGGAAACAGCCGAAAAGCTATATTGATTATATATTTTTTTATTACGGTGCACGCAGTCATCAGCAGACCCTCCGATTCACTATACATGTGCTATGAGTGTCACTGTCCACTTGAATATGCCTCCAGCCTCCCTATGCCCGTGATAGACTTTTTGGGATGGAATATGCAGATGCTGTGTACCTGGCCCAATACCGTGATTACGCATGCACACACAAAACACTTCTATTCACCTTCTCCTGCAGTCGTATGAGTGCTTCGTACCCCGGCATGCCAGTGGACGCCGCTGGGTGGCTTTCGTTCTCCGTCATCAAGAAGTTTGGCAATCGCTGCGGTGTGTCTGCCCTTTCGGTGTGCTGTGACAGCTCACTGCGTAGTGTGGTGGCCTGCTTCTCAATCACACGGCGCTTCTTAAACTCGGAATCAACCTACACATACACACACACACACACACACACACACACACACGCAGCAACAGAGTTTGATCGTCCAATTAAAAAACAACCATGGTTAAAACTTAAAACCCGGTGAGCATGAAAGCGGGCAGTAAACTCTCATTTGCTGTACAGCAGAGCATCATGCACATGTGTGCAGACCAGTCCCAAACCTTACCTGCTTCAAAAGAAGTCGGATTTTCTTATTGGCCTCGCTCAGATCATCAGATTTACTGTTATCATCCATTTCCTCGTTAATCGTGGTAACAAGACATAGCCGGTTGCTGAGGCTCATTACAGTATCCTGCAGTTGCTTGACCTTGGCCTCCGCTTGCACTATGTCACCACGCTGGTCATCGGTTAGGCTCACAACGGCCTGCATGGGCACACACACACACACAATCACACACACACATATACACAAACACACACACACACACATAAATCACTGCCTGCTGCCAAAGTGAGAAAGACGAGAAGCAAGGAGTGATGCCCCAAACGGTCGAAAGACCGATATTGACCCACGTGTACTGGACCATATTCAAACATTGCCAACAATGGTTAACGTTTACAATACCACTGGACAGTTAGCTAGATAGCAGTAAAGTTGACCTCCTTCACACACACACACACACTGTTGTACATAAGATGTAGAGATAGATAACCCGTTGAGGACAGAGCACTGCATGGCTACTAAGCATGACTGATTGAACTGATTGTAACATTAAAACTAGCAAATTAGCAATACTCAGGAGTCATGATGTGCCCACGATCTAGTTCAGGTGTATATTTTATTTACCTGCGACATTCACGAGGGCAAATGTTGACAGGCATAACTGTGCTACTGATTACAACAAGAGATTGTATTCTGCTCCTGAGGAAACAAGTTAGAATACTCTACACTGTACTTACTAATGAGTTTTGTTCGCCTTCAAATGCATCAATGCGTGACTGAAGATTTCGACATGCTGCCTCTGAATCTTCAAGCTTCTTGTTTGCTGCGTCCGTAGCTTGGCGCTGTTCAAGCAATTGGCTCTCCTTGGTTTGGAGTTGCATTAGCACGTCTGCCATTCCATCCGATGACCTGCCATAGGCCACGCCATTGCTGGGGGTCTGCTTCTGAGAGCGATACGCATCAGCTGGCTTGCCTGCTGACTTGGTGGTCAGCTTACTGGCCTTCTTCGGCGAGTTTGGTGACTTGCCCGCACCACCAAGCTGAGGCTTGGGTAGTATCAGGGGAGGCTTGCAGCCAGTAGGCTTGGGAATACCACACCCACTAGGCTTGGGTATATTGCTGCGGCTGGGGGATGACGCTGGTGGCTTGCGCGTACCAGCATGCTGAGGCGGATAGGCAGTCGTGGCACTGCTGCGGCCCTGGAAGGAGTTGACCTGTGGCATCCCGCACACTGCACTGCTACTGCCACCAGCACCTCCGATCAGTGCAGCTGCTGCCCAGCGACTATCTCACTGAGCACACACAGTGATACACACAACACAGGACAGAGGGACACTATGATATCTCACAGCAAGGCATAACCTACAGGGCGATTCATACCATGCATTGGAATTCAGTGCGCCGCGGTCAGTGGAGTCAGCCACATAACGCACACCTGTGCTTTATAGCACTAGGAACACATCAGCAGCTACTCACACTAACAATAGGTGATAATGCAGCTGGATGCCAGGATGGTACAAGATACACCGCACTGACATGGTGGTGACAGTTGAGCAGTGCATAGGGTATAGCCCACCATTGTGCATAGCGGCATAGCCCACCATTGTGCATAGCGGCATACTAGTAGTAAGTATATATGCTGATGACTAAGGATAAATTCAGACATTGGATAAGTACTTTCTGTTTGAACAAGAGAACTAAAGAGGGCACCATGTACCTGTCCAGGCTGCTCAGCGACCAGTGACTGTCACAAAACCAGTTTTCCTATCCCCGAGGCCTCTAATTGTTGCCAATACACCCATAGGACACAGGAACCCAGACAAGGCAGAACGTGCTATTCCAACGGCAAGTTGGCGACGGCACCAACCAGGACCGCAATACATGTACCATCACAAGACGTTCCACTGGAACTGAGGCCATTTCCTGTACAAACATACGGGCAAGCATAGCAAGGCACCAGGTGGTATGCCTGTGTATATCCAGTACTTGTATATCCAGCACTTGTATATCCAGCACTTGTATATCCAGTACTTGTATATCCAGTACTTGTATATCCAGTACTTGTATATCCAGTACTTGTATATCCAGCACTTGTGCTTGTATATCCAGTACTTTACATCCGTGTACATGTACTAACTAGAAGCTTGCGATTTTGCTATACCATTTCGGAGTATTTCCATCAATCCTTGTACTTGAAGTAGCTTGTTCATAGCACGCACTTACGTGTAGAAATCTACCAGTATAGGTTATGATAAACATGATGTGCAATACTGTAGTCTGTAGTCATCATGTCTGGCATTCCCCAGTGCACCAGTGATGGCCTGAAACAGTGAATCATTACCATGGTCATGTGTACGTGTACATCTGGCATGGTAGACCCTCTTTTCTAAAACAACTTCACCTCCTTTGTGGCCTCACACCCAACAAACAACACAGCTGCTGATCTGGGCAGCAGGGTCACACCAGCCTGTGCTGTCTCCACAGCTGTGATATAACTCACTTCTTAGCCACAGGGCGTGAAGGCGAGATACACTAAAATGGTGCTTTTCACTCTCGCCTGCCCATCAAGACCTCTTAGCAGCAGGATGACCACAACTGCCCATCAGCCTGGTCACCTGATGTAGATCTTGCTTTTTCCCCAGGCAGAACACTGTACAACACTGTACAACACTGTACCAGTCATGTACTACACAGACACAGAACAGAGCAGCACTTAGCTAAGATGCTAATAGTAATACTCTGAGTAAATTAGGGGGGGGGGGGGGGGTTCAGCACTGCAGAGCACTGTGTCCGAAAAAGGTACTCAGGATCACTCTTGAAAACTTCTTTACAACCAACCACTTAGGCGGAAGTTAGGGCACCACTACCAGCACCAGCAGCAGAAGCACCAATGACCATAATTGCATGTGCCCTTCAAATAAGCAAGACCAGTACATGTACATGGCTATGTGCGCTACTGAGGATCAGATCAGATCAGATAGACATGATGATTGTGCTGACACTGTGTCATGTGCACAATCAACAAGTTCTTGTTCTCCTCCTGGCTTGATGCAGCAGAAAACAAAAGCCTGAGTGAATGGACTGGCCACGTCCAGACCCTTGTCCCCAATTAGCAGCAAAGTGTGGCTACATCACACATCAAAGGCACACTACACGTAGCAGGCAGTCGGTGCGCCCACCATCATCCTGAATGATGGGGGTACCCTCATAATCAGTCTTACACTACATGTATGTGCAGACCAATGCCTGGCCAATGCAGCTAGTGCTGCCCTGCAATGACATTGTCACTGTGAGTGTGACAGCTAGAACAGTACAGGCAGGTAGTAAGGGGGAAGAGTTAGACGCATCACGGATATCATTAGTACAACTGCTGCAAGGCGATTTCCTCCCTGCCTGGCTGTGGTCGCTCAGTCTTTGCCCTACAGTAACATTTCGGCACACAAAACTGCTCAAAGGCAGTTATTGTACCCGGTGTTCACATGCATATTAATCAATCATTCTGCTGAGCAACAGTTATAATTATCCTCACATGTGAACTATGATCTGACATGTGAACTATGATCTAACAAATAAAACTATGATTATTCTGTCAGGCTTTCTCATTCATACACATCTTTAGCCACCAGGTACACAGTGACAGCGTTACACTATCACTGTGTACCTGGTTCCTCCTCTTGATAAGCACAAACTGAACACGATGAATGGGAACTGGACACAGGTCTACACCCTAAACAGTAAACTCAGAGTGGCTCCTGGCTCAGTTGTATGTTACAACGTACAATGCCGTACAGTGACTGTGTGGCAGTGTGCAGGCCTAGGTGGTTGAGCACTGGACCCTGGCAGGGACTGGTATGGAACTTTGGAAGTCTAGCAATTACTAGGAAGCAAACTTGATGCCTTTCGTCGTCTAGCCAACATTCGCAGAATGCATAATGGTTTGCCTTGATCATAGTCTTTCGGCACAAGCCACCATCATGATAAAGAGCTCTTTTAGAAGTGACAGCCTGGGCTACATACACATGGAGTAATAACATTGTAGAGGTCTAGGAACATTTGCTCAATCGCCTGTTTTACTTGGAGCTGTTGAGGCGAAATCATTGTAGAGCTCTTGCAGTCTCGGAACATTTGCTCATTCACTGTGTTTTACAGTGCTACTAGTACTTGAGACCTTTCATATTCTGAGCACCATTTCAGGCTCTCTGGCCAAACAGGCCACACTTTGAAGAGGTCCGGACAGCACAGATTTGATGACCTCCGGTGCAGGTCTGGTCTGATCTACATCCGCGAGGCTGAAGCCTTGTCGGACCACGACAGACATGATGCAGCTAAATCATATTCATATGCTCCACGTGTAGATCTACAACACTACAACTAGTCAAAGAAACAGCAGTCACAGATCTGCGAGATCACCGATTGAAGACAGTAGATCTACTCGATCAGTACTACAGACAGTAGCATGACCATGATGACTGTACTCATACACCATGTACACAGTACAGTCATTCCAAACGGGAGCTGTCGACTGTCGTGCTGCCTACACGTCAGGGACGAGATGGCTGATGGGCAGACAAGCAGATGTTGTCGACCTGCTACCGGTGTTCTTCTGCCTTTCTCAATACGTCCAGCGAGGGGCGCTACGATCAATGGCAAACAACGTAAAGATGTTCCTTCCAACCGGACTCTAGTACTGGCACTTCATAGCCACTGGTAGTTATGCTCATAACAAAATATGACATGACTGTATGTTCTTCCACAAAGCAAATAACCTGAACACGCCACAGCACGGTACGCGGGGTCTGGTCAGGTTTGCAGTAATTCCTGCAGCTCTGCCCATTCGACACAACGATGGGCCGTGGCAGTATTTTGAGCACAACACAAACTTCATAAGGGACTACATGATTGTATAGAACTAGGGCACCGGTTCGGTGTATAGGGTTTGTTGACAAAAAAACAAAGCAGCCGCAATTACAAACGGAACGGTTTCGCCGTTCTATCAGAATCTTGACTGTAACCGGGCGGCAAGATTCTGCTCGCACACACTTGCCGACCAACAAGACCATGGCATAGGAATCGAATCGCTCCATGGGCTAGAGAGAGTGCTGATGCCCAGCACAGCCGTACAGCTACCCTGTATTACAGATTACTACTTTCCAATGTCCTACCACTACCACTAGGAAGCGACTGGTTAGTAACGTGCTTACCTGGCTCGTTCGTCATCGATGAACCCTCCACTCACCAGCATCCATCATTCCGGACATAGCGCACCATCCTGCTCAGGCAATCCAGTGGTTGCAACCTGGCCAGCAAGAAGCGTAGGCACCGCCACGAGAGCGACCTCAGCTCAAGAGTCAACTGCAGTGAAGACTGAAGTGGTTTTGCGAATAATAAAAAATACGTATTGTCATTGAGTTCAGACTCGAGAGCCGAGGAAGTACTGTACATTGTACAATGTACCTGCATACATGTAAACAGTCAGTGTCCATAGGCAGATAGCGGAAGAGATGTAGTCGGTGCGACACAGGCACGGATCGCGGACGTCGGTACGTAGATCTTCACACCGGATCAAC